TGAAATCCAGAAAAATTTTCTTCTTCACAACACTCAACAAGTAAGCAGTTGCAATGAAAAGAGTGGGGGAGAAATTGCCAATAATTAATCCTAAAAGGGTAAGGGAGAAAGTCCAGGATGGGAGGAAAATTGAGGGGAGAATTCATAGAAAGAGTCAAATAAAAGTCCATCCGGTATCCAGTCCAGTTAAATTCAGTATCCAGAATCCAGAATCCGGAATCCAGTGGAAATTTCAGTACAGGATCCAGTGTCCAGTGTTGTGTCCAGCATCCAGCATTCAGTGTCGAGTATCCAGCAGTGTGAAGATGAAGATGAAGAAAAGAAAAATGAGTAAAGCGGAAACAAAGACTGTCTTATACACTTTGCATTACAAAATAGTAGTAGTTTATCGGAGTCCATCATATGAAAGGACGCAGATCTATCCAGTACTAAGATAAGATGATAGTGGTATTAGCTCCTAAAGTACGGCATAGACTATTGACATTCTCAGTATAGTGCAACGGCGATTAAAAATTTTTCTCATCATGTGGAAGTACAACCCAATGGTGTCCTGATACTGAATTCTAGTCTCGCAGTCACTGAAAAGGTCAAAGTAGTAGCGGGTCGGTTTTCTTAGAAAATATGAAAAATCTTCACGTCACGGGTGATTTCAATACTTTTAGATCGCATTAATTCAGCGAAGACTTAATAATCATTTTGAGCAGTTATGTAATCTTAAAATAGTACATGTATTATCATTCTCCTATGTAGGTACCATTTACTGATGGCAAAAACAGTAGTTGTAAGTCAAGATAGAATTGCAGCTTTTGGATGTAGACTATTTCTACAAATTTCTCCCATTGAGCCAACTTAGCAGTCAGACTCCACGTCCAAATATCTATAAAACAGACAGAAAGACAGAAAGATTGAATCATTTCTCGCTAGACCGAATATTGTAGGTGTGAAGGTAGACAAACGTATGTGATGGTCAGAGTTCAGTGACAATGACATAGGCCATCTATTTTGAGGTCACATAAATTTCAGATTACCATGTAATGGATTAATACTCAGCTAGATACATATGCATTATACTTCAGATGGATGTATTGTCACTGTTTTGGAATTGAACAGATTTGGATGAAACTATCCTCAAGTTATTCCAATTGTTAGAAATGAATTACTCTGTAAGACCAACTCTATTAGGTAGCATCTAGACGTGCAACAAAAAGTACCAAATCTTCGTCATGCACTTGAAGAATGTCACCATTCCAAGTATTTGGCGCTGAACTAACTTTTCATGGAACTAATCCTCAAGTTATTCGAACCGTTAAATAATTTACGCTGTAAGACTAACTCCATTAAGTAGCATACAGACGTGCAACAAAGAGTACTAAGTTCTCATCATGTGCTTCAAGAAACTTAAAAAATCTTGCTACAGTAGAACCTGGTTATAAGGGACTGTAAAATTCGATCAATCGAATCCCTTATAAAAAGTAATCCTTTATGTCCATTCAAGGCATCTATAGAATTTATATGATCAATTTTAAATTGAGTTCCACTTTAGGTTCAATTTTATGAATTTATTATATGATTAATCAACGCTTGAGTCTTTTCGCACCAAATTTTACTTTTTTTTTTAAATTTTCAAGAGATTGATAGGCTGCGCAACGGGGCTCCGTGGGGCGGATTATTACCCTCGGAGGGTAAACCGCGGATAATCCATCTGTAAGGCAAATAATTGAAGAATATGAATGAGCAACCCGCGAATTATTTATAAAGTAAATATTCACTTAAATTTTGAAGTTATTTTTACATTTTTTATATTAGTTTTTATATTAATCTTTATAAATTATATTTTTTTTATATAAATTATATCTAATTATAAATTAGCAGATTATTTACAAATAATCTGTAAATAATCTATATAATACAGTTTATTTTAAAATCCCAATAGATAACCCACAGAACAGATTGTAGATTTATTGGATAGCCCGCAGAACGGATTATTTACAAATATCCGTAATCCGCGGGTTATTTTTGCACAGCCTAGAGATTGATCAAAATTAATCTCATAATCTCTTATAGATTAAAAATCCTTTATAAGTTGAAAACCCATACAAAATAAAAATAGTTGAAAATTTTCTTTTGTATAAAGAATAATCCCTTATAACGTAGTCTCTTATAACCAGGTTCTACTATATATAATAATTAATCTGATAATCATAGAAAGTATCAAAGTAAGATATTACATAAGCCAATGTCAATTAGCCGAGGGCTAAGACCAACCTCCTATTCTAGATTCACTATGGTTCACACTTGGCAAGCAAAGGTTACAGTCTAATTCTAATTAAAATATTCAAATTCAGCTAAGTATATAAATCACATTTAACTATACACACGATCTGACAAAGATATTTTATTATTAGTGGATGAACTAAAGGACTTCTTCCTACCCCAGGCAAGCCCAGGAATAGAATGAAACCCACCCAGTGACAGTGTAATGCTGGGCGAATTTAAGTTCCATCACCCAGTGTTAATTAAAACACTGGAATCCATAAAACTTAGCCTTTGGGGTTGTCAATCCCTGGCAGGTGGTGCACATCCGTGCGTTGGGTCGTCCGATCGTCCAGGCCCGCCCCTCCTTCCCTGTCCTCCCACCCAGATCGCATTTGAGCCGCGTAAACAAGCCTGTTTACTGCCTATACGAATCTGAGGCCACCTCCCCCCGGCCCTAGCCTTCCTCCACCAAATCGCATTTGACCCGAACAAGTAAGTCTACTTGCCGCCTATACGATCTAGCTTCCTCCCTTCCGTCCAGTGTTCGTCCAGTGTTCGTCCAGTGTTCGTCCAGTGTTCGTCCTCCCATCCCATCCCAACCATCCACCACCAGACTGCATTTGACCCGAAGAAGTAAGTATACTTGCCGCCCTGCAGCCTGGGTCCCCTCCTTCCAAACCACACTTGACCCGAACAGATAAGCCTACCTGCCGCCCTGTGGTTCGGAATTCCTCCCCCCCAACCCATTGTTGGTGTCGATCGTTTGAGTCGTCCTGAGTGGGGCTTATGGGGCCCACAGGCTGAGGTTTTTAAACTATACACAGTGCATTACTTGTAACTTCATCAAAAGAGAAACGCTGAAATGGGGGACAGCAAACTCAAACTCACAATGGCAGTCAGAAAATGTCTGTTGATGCCTTTACATGTCGATGATGTAATCGAGACCCCAAGGTGAAATTGGCAGTCTACAGGTAACATGCGTAAAAGAAAGAAGAAATTATCCCAAGGTAGTCGTGGGGTAGAAAAGAGAAGATGCATTTTTGTGGAAGAAGGAGGAGGGAAATTTGAGCCTTTTTATAGAAATTTGGAATCCGCTAATGCTAGCTTGGTGACGCAAAATCGCCCTCCAGTCTGGAAAGGAATTGGCCAATGATACTCTACCAACTTTCGTTTATGATCGAAATGGGCATGGTGTTCTCTAAAGCTTGAGCTATTCCATTATTTTTTATCTCACCTACCCCCCATTTCTCCCGTGTTTTTGCTTCTGAACCTTTACATGATATTTCTTTACGTGTATATGGCCTCATCCAGCTTGAAATTTTAGCCCTTCAGCATGTGAAACTGCACTTTTTATCTCTCAGGTTGTGGAATTCATCGTTGTCTGGCAAAATTCTTATTTTCATGTTTACAGCATTCAATATAATACGAGTTGATGTTCAAGTTTGTCTCCACGATATCTAGTTTCATTCTGACCGGTATCAGGTGTATAAGAATATATAGCAAACTTCTCAATGCCTGTCCTCCATCACACTAGATAGATGCATCTGGCACAGACGACATATTAGAGGCAGGTGCCAGTCCAGACTTTTGTCACCTCATGTCACGAATTCAACTTGCATGTAAAATATTACAGTGATAACTTGAGCTGAACATCCTGCATCATTTTCGTTACAATCTGGCATCTTTGAATCATAGCTTGGTATTTGCCATAGAGTATTATTGATTTTCTTTTCCAATTCACAAATCGGATTCGTTGTGGGCAGATCATATTGGCACTCTCGAGCAATGCTCATCGATACGTGCTCTTTAGGTCCCAGTTTTGATCATCGATTAGCCATAAGAACTATTTATCCATACAAATTTTCCTAATCTACAGGTTCAATCCATCAGCATATATGTCCTATCTTTATCCTCGGATTTCACGACTCAATGAATGAGGCATCATTGCAGAAATTTTTTCAACTATTGACACATTGAGGCCAATTTTTGATGGACAACGTCGGAATCTGAATGGACTAATGGAATTAACCTTGAATCTAGAGCACTAGTATAGAAACTAGAGTCAATTACTGAGATTAGGTTGTGGGGAAACAGCCCGTACACTTAGTAGCACAACGAGCTAATCTATGCTGTCCCTTGTGCCTCTGGGCCCTGAAATAAATCAAATCTAACAATCTGCAATGATTAACTCCTAGAAGGGCTTTAGAAGTTTCTAGCACTTAGAAAATACACCATTTTTGATACCGCGCTTCATATCCATCTGTAAGAGATGATGCCTTATATCGCTTGCCTGAGCTTACCCCCGCACCTGTTTGAAGCAGAGCTTTCTCTTCAAGGTAGAAGAATTAAACGCAGAAAGAAGATAAAGAAATGAAATTATGCAAACTTCCACTGACGGCTACAATACTATTTTCATTCTTCTCTGGTGGAATAACGATAAACTTGAAAAAGGGGGCACGTGATGCATCTAAATTTATTCGGAATAGCTAGATAGTAATTGAGATAGAGATGGTAAATTGGTTGCTCAAGACTCAAGCATCAAATATCTTACATACAATCTTTCAATGCCATCCTTGGGATGATCACTCGATGGCGACATTGTAGTTACATTGTGTCGAATGTGCCAAGAATATTCTTTTTTTCCCAAAACAGAAATTGAACCTGATCATCGCGTGCTTACGTAAAGATCTACACAATCCCAAAGTATGATTCGTTCCTTGCATGAAAAATCTAGCCTTACTGCGATTCCGTATTATTACCGTTGCTGTTGTCACTCACCAAATCACCAAATCACCAAACGAACCGTTCACGGTCCATCTGATCCAAATTCAGGATTGAAACTCGAAACATCTTTCTTTTAAACAATATACAACATATTCTCTCTACAACATGTTTATACGGGTAATTCGGTAATAATTGCTTTTACATAATGGCTCTCTTTGCTCTTCAAACAACTAGTCGAGGGGTATTGCGACGTTCACACTTTCCTGCCCATCGGAAACAAACAAACTTCACTACGAAAAGACACACCTCCAATAATTCCACTCATTCACCTCGTTCGAGCCCCTTGCCAGACAACTCCGCCAATGGCATTGCGATTCCGATTCCTGCGACTATTGCGACTCTGCCATTATGGCAACGGCTCGGTCCTTTGACTCGATCCTTTCAGGCGTACGGTCGATCGCAACGGAAACGTCCTTATACTACACAATTCTGTAGCTCATTGGTGATATATTTTCTGGGAGATCTGTCAGCGCAAAGTATCTGCGGGGATGATTATGATTGGAAGCGTACCTTGAGAGCATTGGTTATCAGCATGGGGAGTAGTATTCCATCTTATAAGTGGTTCGGCCCCCTATCACTACTCCATCGTCCATGGAGACGGAATGCGGAAATAGGCTAACAAAGTAAAGGTTCATGTTTCTCTCCAGAAACTTCAACTACTCTTCGAAAGCCGGTTCTCTCGCAACGAAAGTCGGCGTCAATCAAATGTTCTTCACCCCTATCTTCAACACATATTTCTTCGGCATGCAATCATTACTTTCAGGAGACAGCATACGGGACGTTGTCGAGCGTGTTAAGAGAACGGTCCCGACTAGTATGATGAATAGTATTAAACTCTGGCCCGCGGTCACAGCAATCAGTTTTGCATGGGTACCACAAGAGTATAGAAGTATTTTCGCGGGAGTCATCGCAATTGGGTGGCAGACATATTTGAGTTTCTTGAATACAAGAGTGGAGGGTGAAATGGCCGGAAACGTCGAAAATACAGAAAAAGAAATCATTATAGCTCCCATCGCGAAAGTGTCGAAAGAAGTTGCCGTCATGAAAGAGCGTACCAGTGAGGCTCAAAAGCAGAGAGCCTAGGCTTAGTCAGAGCGAGTATATGTTGTATTTTTGGGGTGTAATTTATGGGGCATTAGATGGGCAAGGCATAGACATTATATTAGAAATTTAGAATCAGCGGGTCTGATGGTCAGTGGCGTAACGGGCATTGGAAATAGATATAGAAGGCACGGCGTTTATAGAAGAGAGGGAGTATGGTCCCCAGCGAGGCCTTTTACGCAATGGATTTACATCCATCTAGAAAATGATAGTTTCATTTCTCCGCGTCCATATTTTACAAGTTGAATATCTAGGTAGTATGGTAGCCAATTTTTGCTCTTCACCATGGTTGGACGCTCATTCAGAACTCAACAAGTTATCCACCGAAAGTTCCAAATCGGTCCCTGGCAACGTTCAAATGTGAAGTAACCATTTACATGCTATTTTTTCAGATGATTTTCAACGATATCTATCAATGTATGAATAAATCTTTAAACATTGAAGGGAATCAACTGATATTTTGCTGAGACATTTAGGTTAAAGCCTGATATTTAGTATCAGACAATACATTCAATCATTATCATCGAATAGCCTTGGACTCCTTTTCCCCCCAATCCTTCCCGTTGCAAATGCATAGAGTCTTTGTTTTCTCGGGGATGGGGCGTTTAATTCGAAGTCATCTGACGATATGATTTGAATTGTGTAAAGGATGGAAATGAAATCCGCCAATAGGCATAAAATAAAGACTCTAGTCTTTTCGGCTATTGACTAGATGTCTCACAGGTTACCTCATGACTCCTATCTTCAACATATATTTCGTGTTCATGAGATTATATGTTCGTATATTCTATCTAGTACCTTTCTCTATGATCAGCTCTAGTCACCTGGCTCTGGGATCTCATCTTGAAGGTCGTCTGCTTCAAATCTTGTTTGTTAGTGTTAGATGATTTTCTAGGTATTGTAAGACTAAGATTAAGACTTGGTTACCTCTGTACAAGACAATGAGCTCGAAGAACTCAAGTAAGGGTTATCGTCTACGTAAAGTTATGCCAGGAAACAGCAGATGATATAGAGCGTTGATTGGCAAATCTACATGGAACTTAGAGATATCAATCAGAAATTCCTTCACATACCAAGTCCACCAGTCCATACAATTCATCTCTTCTTATCTTGTAAGATCATAATCGCCTAAGAACTTGCCATGCAGTAGCTAGGTATGCAATATCATAAGGAAATCTGTAGAATACGTCATGATACAAAGTTTTATCTTAAACTTAATCATAATTATCTCATGATTTAGCTCAAGAGGTTTTCTTTGTTGCATGTCTGGATAAGTGTGTAAGTCTTATCCTTATGTATAACCAGCTATCTGCAAATTCTCCCGTGGGTGGACTTTATTTGTTCTTTGGATTGGTATGTGAGTGATGGTCTGGTGACATAAATATAGTATAGGGGAATGAATTGGCTAGTTTCTTGTGATTCGTGTTGGAAAATTGATGGTTTGTTTTATTTGGGTGGAGGTGAGCAGTATCGTCCTCTGTCCCCCCCAAAGACTTTTGCCGTGGGGATGTTATTGTGAGACTCAGGATACCTGATTTCAAACTTATATTAGAATATCGGAACCGATGAGATCAAATATGATGCATATCGTTTTTGGCATGAGCTTTTCTTGAAGCACCCAGTAAACTTTAGGATGGACGTGCAAGATTGTGTTATGTTTGATTGCGGAATATGTCACCTTACTATTCTATTTCGGACCTGTTGGTATATGACTTGATGCTACTATGTACACGTATCCAGGAAAACTAAAAGATAGAACAGTAAATACAATCAACAGTCGCATTTATTTAGACTTGCTCCTCTCATGAAAACAACATCCACTCGGAACAATTTTATCACTTTCTCTAAACGGAAACTCAAGTATTTGAAATCCTATTATTTTGACTCCTCGGTTGCCTTTCAAACCAAGGTTGTAGCCCTCATACCATTTTAGTTCAACAGGAGCTAACACCTAGGCCATTTCTTCGTTCCCACAGCTTTTATATTCACAATTGATTTTCTTTTCAACTTTCATCGATACCGTTTTCATACATTATACCAATATTCATACCTATTTGTTACTACAACAATAACAATCCACTCCACGATGCCTACAGGAAAACCGTGGAAAGCCACCGTTAAGTGGTATAAAGGCAAATATTCATCATTTTTCGTCCCTTATTACTGCGCAATACCTATTCTCGCCGCTCACATCTACATGGATCCAAATTGGCGCTATAAAAATAGCAGTTTTAACCAACTGATCAGAATCCTCACGCCAATGTTACTAATCTACACATTGATTTGGTTTCTTCTAGGTCCATATATGGCACTAAAACGAGAAATCGCATATATCAAAAGATTTAACAAATATAGCTCCTCACACTCGGAATATTATGCTCAGCTAATTGCACGTCTTAATCGTATGAACGCTCTATCCTACGATCTTATATTTTTTGCAGATCCTAGCGATAGAGTTATGGAAATGAGGGTTTTGTTGAAGGAATTTCATATTTTTATGGATATGGCGCGGCGGTATCGGAGGAATCGCACGGAACGGTTTTGGGAATGTAATTATTATTGGAGGGAGTATTTAGGATGGAGAGAGGGAGATTTTCCAGGGAAGGAAGAGGAGGAGGAGAGGAATTTGGAGATGAATGAGAAGCAACGAAAAATCATCGAGACACATAAACTTGCCCTGACGCTCTTTGCTGAAAAATCTATGAGCGATGAGCAAAGGGATATCGAGCTTCATAATATAGATTGGCTCCATCTGGAGTTTCAGTCCATAATCCATAGGAGGGTTATGGAATGGGATGACAAAATCCTTGATGAAAAGTTCATGGCTATTCTGAGAAGACACTATGAGTTCTACTTACGACTGGTTCCCAAGACCGAGGAGGACCAGCTGGAGGTATTAGACAAGGCTGTGCTAGAAAAAAGGAGTAGAGGAATCCGGGAAGAGGATATACGACGAAATAAATGGTCAGCGCGGAGGCTAAACAACCTCAAATCTGGGTACTCTACATCGGCAATATCCGTATCAAAGGTGACCAAACGGATGCAAGCCAAATACGGAAAGCAGGAACTCCGCCGGCAAGAAAAGAAACGGCTAGAAGAAAACTACAAAGCCAAAAAACAAGAACAAACCATCACTCGACTGAGAGAAATAGAAACCCAAAAAACCACAACCGGCCTCCATCTCTGGGAAAGAGCAGAAGTAAATCTTCCTATGGCGAACATCCACACCGCGAAACTCTTCGACGTAAAAGTTATGGTGGATGCAGGGCCCAGGGTCCACGCTCTTTTCCCCTATGCTCATCCGGGGAAAATACTGAAAATTAGATATAATAGGGATATTATCGAATATAGAGATATGTGGGATATTTTCCATACACCTCGGATTTGGCACGAGGTGGCTGATACGTGGAATGAGAGGAAATATGGATTGATTGAGGATAGTTATCTTTGGGGTTTTGAATATAGGTTAGGGATGCAGCTGGAAGAGTGTGGGTTGATGATTATGGGGTTTTCGGAGTTTTGGGTCGCCATGGTTATGAGGTTTGTGGGTGGGAGGAAGGATGTTGCTGTCGGATCGATGGGCATCGGCGGATCATAAACTTTAAAGCTGGACTGATATAGGTGACTGGAATATAGGAAAAGAGTCGGATGTTTTAACGGTTGTAGATTATTCTTTTTCGCAAAACCCAAACACTTACTTGTCTTCCTGGTGCCGGGGTCCGTATTCTGGGCAGGATTAGTGAGCGTAGGAGGTGACTCTGGATATATAGAGCGGTATTATAGATACTTTTGTTTCTGAAAACCAATTCACAATGATTAGATATTAAGCAATTGAATTTTACAGCTGAAGCTGTTAAGTGAATGTCCCAGCATTTCGTGACACCTGCTGAAATATAACCTTACAATCATTTACCGAGCTTCCGTCCACGTTCAAGAATAATCATCACCTTGACTCGATACTTCATGTACCTTTCACTTTACCTTCCATAATCATGAGGCTTACATACCCTCAGATCGCTAATTCGCACCAAGATTCACGGCATAGAGCTAATAAGGCAGAAAAATTCGGTCGTCCGCGAACCTCGATTTCAATAAGATCGAATTGAATCACTCGAGTATTCATATGGAGACACCTCATAAAAGGTACGGTTCATTGAGTGAATCACAAGGTACTTTTCACACCATAGAGGTTTCGATCAATCTATAACTGCTTTAGTATTTTATCCCTAGAAGTCATCCACCAGGAATTTCAATGACGGTCATGTCCTTCCAGTTTAGTACATCTTCACCAACCTGAAAGTTATTCTCATACATACATCTGTATCTGAAGCTGTACATAGCGCAACACCTTCAACGTTAACTTCATGAGGCCATAAGAGTAGAACAAGGTCATGGGAGTTCACACTCCATCCACCAAGCTCCTCTTATCTTAGTCTTTCATCCATTAACCAAGGTAGATCTATGCCTCCCAAAAAAGCTTTTCCCAATTGAAAATAATCCGTTGTTCTTATCGTGGCCACAAACGCTAGAGTATCAACGAACTAAGAGGTTCCCTGCTCAATAATTCATTTCTAACATAAGCTGGTACTTTTGTCCTGAAATGCTTCTTCTCCAAGTCGTCACAGCATCTGGATCATACCATTCTAAATCCTGAGTGGCACCGTACCAGATATCCATCCAAATCTCCTCTTGCTTGGACTTTTGGAAGATATCAACTCTCTTGGGATTTCTGGATGATGATTCTTCCTCAAATAAGGAATAAGAATCTTCTAGAAGCAGTCTTAATAGTTTTGTGGCGGCATGGAAGACTACTTACAAGCCTGCTTCATTGGCGATTCGCTAATCCTTACATCCGGCAGTCCAGTCCAAGGTTCCCTATTTACTCCCAATCGACCGTTTATGAGTCGCTTTCCACCTACCGAAGAATATCGGAATAGACACGGAACCGTACCTTGGCCGAATGGCAAAAGCAGGCTTATGAACAGAAACAACAGTGGCATATTAACGATAAATGTCCCGGATGATGATCGATGCACCAGGCCCATATTTTTTGCTCAAGGCTCGAACCACTCGCTCATTCATCTGAATTTTGATGAAGTCGAAGCGTGGAAAGGTTTGCCTTAGCAGATAAATAATTCGCGTTGTCATATGGTCTTCCGAAAAAGCGACAGACAGTATCATCCGGTGGTTTTAATTCAGATTCCCCGGTCACCAATAGAAAAAGTTGGAACAAGCCGCTGCTCGAGATTTCGGTCAATTGAATGAGAATTATGTGTTTGAGGCTGCTGTAAGTGAGGAAACTTTAAGAATTTACTATTCGGGAAAATGTACCGGGAAACGAACAGTGGGCTCTGTGAAAATAAATTTGCTCTTCACTTGCTGAGTGATAAAAGTGGTTCCCAATGATGCTTTCCCGAATGGCCATCGAAAAACCATTCCAATGCTGGTGTCTCATCGGCGAAATCTGTACTCGGTGGCTGATTTCTACACCAATCTCGTGGTTCTTATCATGAATGCCACTTCATGCCTGGATTTTGGCTGAATCTCGATTCGCAGACATGGGATCCAGGAGGTAATTATGCGAATGGAATGTACCTTCCGAAATGCTCCATGAAAGCGGCGCTTCCTCCAAAAAATAAAGTTCTTGTCAAGTAAGACGGGGGCTAGAGGGAGCAGCTTATTTGGGATCCAACAATCGGGCTTGTTGATGGAACCGTTCTCGATACTTGGGACTTGAGTTCTGCGGAAGATAGCCCCTTTACATCTCAGCTGTGATCTATGTGGCTATGTGAAGTGATTTTGGCGAAGCTAACTGAATGTCGGTAGAAACACGCAAGATTAGATACGTCTCCTTAGATTGATGAATATCGGCTCAAAGTAACAGGGACGTATATCCATCGCGTAAGCAGCATGCCGCGAATCCAGATGAACAACTAAATGACTCTTGAACGAGAATCACCACTGAATCTCCGGTCGCCCTTTGGAAAAAATGAGTTGGATTCCTGGTGTCCTCAAAGGCTAGTAAGTGTCCCAAGAAAATTAGGACTATCCGTATCGATGAAATCTCGAAGGGGTCGCCTCTAGTTGACTCTAAAAGATTCAAACTGCATTGCGGCAATTCAAATGTATCGACATATCTCAATTTCCGACAATAGTAGCAAGATTCTCTGTACTTTATTTTCCACGGCCCATAGAAAGGAGTCCTATATTCTCCATGTGTGTGTCTTTTTGCAATCTTAGAATCCACCGGCTATCCCGATCCTGGGATTCAATGACATTGTTCCGGATCCGTGGTTGGAATTGACGACACCAGAAACGGGGAATTCGATATCATTGACCACAGCATTCCGTGACCCTCTAACCTTCATGCTTGCAACGTCTTCCTTGTGCGGCGGCTTGGATCAATTGATACTGAGGAAGTAGTAGCTTCGGAGTAAGTCAAGATACCATCAACGATCGCGACAAAAAAGATTGGTAATTATTCGTTCTTTCCACAGTATGAACGTTGGGCGAGAATTGCTGAGCTAGACAAGGTTGATGGACTGCAAAGCATAGTTCTTCTGATTTAAAACTGTTCTTCCGCTCGAAAATGAGAATTGTGACCTCTGGCCCAGAGATATATTACATAGAAGTCATATGTTTTGAGACCATGCAAACACAAATCGGATTTCATCCAAAATATTTGAGAACGACATTCCTGATCCTGAAACTTGAGTATCCTCAAAAGACTGAATCTTTGCCAATTCTGCAAGCCTGTGGTTACAGACACAATCGATGAATGTTTTCTTGATTATGTCAAGACAATTTGGACTTTTGCATGACTGAGTTCCCACCAAGACCGCAGCAGAGACTAGGATATCTCATCGCAGAGACCGAACTCAAGTATTGCATCTGAACTTGGATTATTTCAGTGTGGATAAAATCCCAAAGGCAGTATGGGCAGCTCAGATCTGTCCTTTCTGATAAGGGCGCGACCAATACATTCAAGACAGGATATGCTGATTTGTCTGCCACTGTATTTCACAGTGTTCCGCCCATGTTTACAACAACCTACAAAGATGTGAGTTTGGGGTGAACGACGTAAAGAAAATAAGCAGATGCTCGAGGGAAACGTACTCACCGGGGAGGTCCTTGAAGCAATTCCATTTCTATTTTGGGAGACACTTCACAACGCAAACCTTAGTAGAGTTTGAAGTGAACAAGCTCGCGATGGTATAATGCAAGAGCGACTTTGGGGATACTACACAAGAGAGGCATTAGCAAATTAGAGTGATGTTTTAATTGAGGTAATTTTTACCATAGGAGTTCCGAGTAGTAAAACATCTCATTAAGATATCAGGAAAGATCGGCGACCAAAACATCTGTTCTTTTATTCGCTAGAGTCGCTTTATTATGATCACGAAGACTTTCCAGTTGACAGGCTTACGTCCCCTAGTATGGTCCAGCCGTGGCAGTCAAAGCAGTGTTTTTGAGTGCGTGAGTGCATAGTGCAGCAATAAAATAGATGACAGGATACCGAATTCGTCTCTGATCATATTCGAAGCTTTGTGACAAAATCCACAAGGTGGCCCTTGAACAACAGCTTTCGGCGCACCATGCTAACGAACCACGATTGACAACTTTTTATGAGAGGCTTCTTGAAAAAAGTGACAAAAGTATAATTTAAACATGAAAGTTGAGAACAACAGGATAATAGAAGTCTTGAGGAAATGGCAATGAGACAAACGCCGCATTGGCATTACCACGACATATAGTTTTAAGAACGGCGACCAGCGCCAAGTAAAGAAAATAAATTCACAACCCGCGTGAGGAAGAAAAGATGGATTATCTCGAACAGAATGATGGGGTATATACCTCAACCTATTTGCCTTCAGCCTCTTTCTGTTTGTGTTCACGTGATGCGAGCATTGACAGCCGAAGCGATGTGTCTGTCGCTTTCCGAGACATAAGAGGTTTGCATATTGTGAAGCAATTGATCTTTTTGAGGGGCTCTAGAATCTACGCCAGTTAATTCGTTTTTACTGTCAACGTGAATTAATGGATCGCTGGAAGTACGCTTGCGGCAGGCATCAAGCGTCTCATAAATTTGTGATTTCGTATTTAATATTTTAGATTATTCACGGCTATTGTCCAGCCGAAAAGCGCCAGACGCCAGCAGCATGTGCAGGCTCAAATTCCAAATGCAGCCTCCGAAGTGGCATCATCTTGAGCACCTCCAATTTCCAAAAACGCGCACTAGTATGGATATGCTCTGACTTCGTCTTCCTTCTCCACATCCAGCCCCGCTTCAACTTGCTCTTCATGTTTCTTGTCCAGGTACTCCAATAAAACTTCACCATACTTCTCCTTGCCCTTGTACTTGCTCACGTCGTCACCCCAGCTTCTCACGGCACTTGCCAATCTCCCAGGTACATACGGCTCCTCGCATATTTCCGTGATCGGATGGAAATACGTTCTGATCGTGAAAACCACACCGCCAGATCTCGGCAGTCTCCTCAATGTCTGTCGTTCAGAACGAAACCAATGATGTTCAACCGCTCTATTCTTTTCCGCAGTATCCCAACTCACGCTCCCGGGTTCTCCATCTTCGGGACCAATGCTTGATGACCATGCTAGTTGATCGTCTACTTGAATGAAATAGTTGTTCTGAAACATCGGTTAGTATGCAGCTAGCCATAATCGCGCAAGCTAGAGAGGCTTACACGCTGAACGGGCGCATTAGGCTGCACCCTGCGAAAAAAGTTCATCATTCCTTTCTCCAATTTTGTTTTGTAGCCCGGCACGTCGCCGGATGTGTGGATCTCACTCAATGGCATACCTAATTTATCCTCCAAACGCCAAAATCCCGCAAGTAAAATGGCTCCAGCAAGAAGATAGTATTGGCCATCTTCCTTCTCAAACATAATGGCCAGATCATCCTGTGTGAAGCGGGCTGCCATTTGCATTGGATCTTCTGCAAGTGGCCGTTCCACGATGTTGAAAGATTCGTTAGTGAGAAGATTATCCATACCAACTGGAGTACGTCTGTAGAGTGTAGGGTAACGTTCTGGGAGATATGCGCAAAGTTCTTCGAGCAGCTCAACAGCACCATCAAATGCCGAAGGATCGGTGTAGCAAGATCTGGCGCCACGTTCGATAATACGTTTGGCTTTGTCGTCATGGTACTTCATGTAGTGGTTGTCCAATTCTTAGAGATGTTAGCAATGCTGCCTTCCGCTTAGGCCGAAAATAACTTACCTATCCACTCATTCCAATCCATGGTTCTCAGTCCCATGGTGATGTGATAAGGTCCATGGCGAAACGGTCGGTATGCGTTTGGCTTTGTTCGTTGCACATCCCAGTTTGGAAATGGAACTGCCGTTGGGCGTCTGAATTGCACGGGCTCCCAAACTGTCAAGGAATCAGCCGCTATTCATCAATTAATGGTTAATCCTAACCTCCCACTGGCCTTTGCACTTTTCCATTCCTAGATGTTGGCTTCTCCAAATCCGGCGTTCTCGGTCTGACATGTCTCGGTTTCTTGAAAATCGTCGCACCCCGTATAAACAGCCACGCGGTTAGACAGATCAAGCCCGCACCGTACAGCAACATGCTCGGATTATGGGCAATCATACGGGCGGCTTCTGAGCCTTTGAATCGCTCACAGGTAGATCTGGTCCATAGTTGGAGGTCATCCAACTTCGTCTCACCCATTCTCACGAGAACTTAATTTCGAGTCAGGGAAGAGATGAAAATCTAGATTGTAATTTATGAATTAACTTGAATGAAAACACTGTTGATAACATCAACAAAAATATATATTTATATATACTCTTGAATTGGTGAATGGATGATAAGGTCTTGCCACGGGCGCAACCCCACCAAATTTGTTCTTATCGCGAGGGACTTTTTAACCGTTTCGGGTATGGATTATCACACTCAACAGCATGGGCGGCGTACAAACACCTCATCAGGCATAAAAGATACTCTTGATCTTAATTCACTTGATGTCAATTGATTGAAATGGCATGAAATTCAATCATGAGCCGGGAGGAAGTTTCGGCACCATTCACTTTTATGAGCCACTTGGCCATAATTGAGGCGGTCGTAAAGCGTGGTACATTGCTTTGATACTAATCCGTGCAATTGACTTGGAAGGTAAAGGGTCTTCATCGAAATTTATGTATCTGGAGTATCATCAACGAATGTGGCACAATTTTATTCTTAGAAACAATAATCATACATAGTCCAACATGCATCATCTACTCCCTCCATTCCCATTTTGCTGACCCGGATTGGTCCATTGGTTTACTCCGTTTTGATTTGATCCATTTTGCTGGGCGAAGAAAGCCGGGTTTATGAACGCGCCTGCTGGTATGGTAGGAGGAGGCGGCATACCCGGCCAATTATTCTGTGCAGGCAGGAAACTTGGTTGGGGTTGTTGATAAGGTTGCTGGTAACCTGGTGGGTACATTGGCCATACTGGAGGTTGCAGTGATGGGTATTGTTGTGGTTTTTGATTATGATATTGTTGCGGCTGAGTTGAGCTGGAGCTGCCGTATATGTCTAACGAAGGTAGCGGAGCTAGAAAGTTAGGCTTTTGCGGTAAGGAAGCTGGTTGAGAGTTGAATAATCTGGGACTTGGATTTGGCGGAGGAAATGCATTGTTCGCTTGAGATGAGCCACCACGAGGATGGCTGTTACTTCGATCATTATTTCCGCCACCTCGTCCTCGCCCTCGACCCCTATCTCCTCTGCCCCTATCCCCGCGACCTCTTCCTCTGCCTCTCCCTACATGATCACTGCGTTGATTTGCTCTATTATATTGAGAACCCTCTTGCAGTGCTTCACCACCACTTGCACCACCAGTGAATCCGCTTGGTCGAGTAAGGGTTTTATAAGGGCCATCCTCGGCTTCGTCATAGTTCAGCACCGCGCCATTACCGGCGGCGTACGACTGTTGCGACGCTTGCCCGCCATGTGAATGACCACCATTCTGTTGAGTCTTAACACCTCTCTTTTCTGCCTTCTTTTGTTTTATCCTTCGTTTATGTTCAGCTTCCTTTTCATCATCCGAGAATTCCATTTCCTCATCGCCGACCTCTTCGTCATACAAGTTGGAAGCATCTGTGCCTTTGTATGCCTTCAAAGCTTGTGTAAAAACGTATGTTGAATGTTGCTCGGAATAGAAAACTGTTGTACCAACGGACAGTCCTGCTTCGGTAATTGCGGCGGCATTCGTAAACCTAACACAGTACAATGGCTGTTCCACTCTGCCCAATGTTTCTGACACCACACCTATAACACTGCGATCCTCTAAACACAAGACAGATTCCTCTCTCAATACTTGATATTCTCCGGTTGTGAAAGCTTTGATGAGAACGATGTTGTCTACCACTCCTTCCACGTCTCCCAATTTTGTGATGGGCATCTCGCGTGTGATTGTGACGTCTGGCTTGGGAATTATTTCCTCTGGTACTTCATTCTTCGTCCGTAGCTGAGCTCCAGCACCCTTAGCGCCTTTGGAGGCTCCTTCGTCATCTGAACCGCCATCACCTTCCATCAGAATTCTAGCTTGCTCTTCTGGGCTTAACAATTTATATGTATTTTCTCCGTCCTCATCTTCGCTGTCTTCTTCAGATGAACTATCGCTTGACGAGTCGGAGGATGATTCATATGGAGACGAGTCGATCTCCCATTCTGGGTGTTCAGATTCTGTCGTCTGTGCTGCCGGCGCGTCTTCCGTTGTTGAAACATCCGCAACCACGGCCACAGGTTGCATGAGACCTCCTAGCATCGCCTCCAAAGCATGTGTCAAATTGGGTGGGTCGGATTGGCTCTTCGGTACTTGGATGTCGTTCGTACTAGGCTGACTTCCTAGAAATTCATCTGAAGGTACCTCGACTATTTTTTCGACATGTAGCTTTGTGGTGGGCTTCAAATTCTCAGCGTCCACCGCATTACTATTGGTGTCATGTGTGCTGACTTCGGCATCTTCTTGAGAAAGTTGTCGCATCTCAGAATCAATTGGTTTCTCTAATTGCTCTGAATCGATCCCCATCACCTGCAAAGCCTCATATTTGATTTGAGAGGGGATTTCTGAGGTCGCGCCGTGGGTTGTAGAGGTTGCAGATTCTTGAAGGAAAGATTCGGCATCTGCCATCGTAGAATCTTCTTGAGCTTGACCATCGGTGGTTTCTAACAATTTCTCTTGGGAAACAGCCAATTCTTCTACGTGGTTTTCAGCGGCCTCGCTCCCTGCGCATGGTTTTGAACTCTCAGACTTCGACGCATTTCCAAGACGTCCCAATCCAGGTATGCCGGAAAAGGTTGATGAAGATGAGGCAGATTCTTCACTCCCCCCTTCTTGGGGAACCATCGAGATTGAATCAGAATTATTCATTCTTCTTCTCGAAATCTAAACAAATTGTGAAAGGGCCGTATATCAGCTTGTTGCGTTCGAATGTCTTTGGTGGCAGGAATATCAAGTTTCACAATCCCAATGTGTAAGAAAAACAATCAGCAGCAATACAATATTATAAAATACAATATGAATATGAATATTAGTATCAAAAAAAGTTGAGAAAATTGGATCCTATTCAATACTGAGATGTCATTGACAAGAAAGTTTTGATCTCAAAATTTCCAAATTATTTCCCAAAGCTCGGGTCTCGATTGACAAGGGCTTTCTAATCTTAGTGCCACTCCTTATCAGCATGCATAAAATCCGGATGCATAAATATGACTGCATGTTTTATGCAATTATGATTTTATGAATATTATGCTGGAACACGATGTCATTGTTGAAAGTCTGCGCTGAACATTAAGAATCTACTTACTACTCCAGTAAATCCCATTCAATTACAACAATGGCTCCTCCGCAGCCAGTAAATTCGAGTTCAGCTCGAGGAGGAGGAGGAGGAGGAGCAGGCTCTACAGCTTCGCATTCAAATAAGAAAAAGTTCGTACTCACAATGCTGATGTGCAAATGTTAACTGACCAAGCTTTCATAGACCTGCCACTCCATTCGCCGTCAAACCCATCAGCGCATTTTACGTCTTCCTAGGAGCAAACATTTTGGCAGCTCTATATGCTCCTATACAAGATTGCGATGAGACCTTTAATTACTGGGAACCTACCCATTATCTCAGCCATGGCTATGGATTACAGACATGGGAATATTCTCCAGAATATGCAATTCGAAGTTGGTTGTACATCACTCTTCATGCCTTGATGGGGAACTTTAGAAGACTACTCCCATTTCCGACGAAGGTACGGACAACCCGATCCATGATTGTCAGTTAGTATTCTGATTCGAAAAACAGCTTGGTGAATTCTATTTCATCCGATATGGTCTCGCATTTACCTGTGCTCTGTGCCAGACTCAAATGTTTCGAGTTATTAACGGAACTTTGAATCCGCGCGTGGCCATGTTCTTCTTGATGGCAAACATTTTTACTCCGGGTTTCTTCCATGCTTCTGCCTCTTTCTTGCCCTCGAGCTTCGCTATGTACACAACTATGCTTGGAATGGCTGCTTTAATGAACTGGAGAGGAGGCCTGAAGACCGCGCAGGGCATCTTTTGGTTTGCAGTCGGAGGCATTCTCGGTTGGCCATTCTCTATGGCCTTATCTGCCCCTTTCTTGATTGAAGAGGTTGTCTTTGCTAGTTTGAGTGATAAGGACGCCATCATCGATACCGTAATGCGCTTCCTTAAAGGAGTCGTTGGAGGACTTGTTGTTCTGGTAAGGTTTCTCTGGGCCAACCCGTCAGTAGTTACTAACATTGAAACAGTTCTTGGAATTCCTTGTTTCTGGCTTTTTCTACAGACAACTAGTGGTTGTCCCTCTGAATATTGTTCTTTATAATATTTTCAGTGGTGAGGGAAGAGGCCCTGAGATCTATGGTACTGAACCATGGCATTTTTATATCCGTAATTTACTTCTCAATTTCAATATTTGGTTTGTGCTTGCAATTTCCGCCCTCCCTCTTTTCATACTTCAAAAGGTATTTGGGTCGCGAGAAGGCGGTACCACAACAGCTCTTCGCAGCATTGTCTTTGTAGCACCATTTTACATATGGCTTGCGATCTTTAGCTTTCAACCACATAAGGAAGAGCGTTTTATGTACCCAGCGTACCCATGCCTTGCACTTAATGCGGCCATGTCACTACATATTATCCTGGCGGCTTTTGGTCGCTCGGATCCTAAAACCTTGGTTGGTAGAATTCCAGCAAAATTGAAGCTATTGTTTGTGAGCTTCTTTGTCATCGGATCCGTGGATGTCGGTCTAGCAAGGATTTATGGAATCTATACAGCATACTCGGCGCCCTTGAAGATATATAGCCCTCTTCAGAATGGTACCCTTGGGTCACGAGGAGACTCAGTCTGCTTTGGTAAAGAATGGTACAGATTCCCCAGCTCTTATCATTTGCCAAATGGTATGAAAGCAAAATTTGTAAAGAGCGAGTTCGATGGACTGCTCCCCGGCGACTTCTCCGAAGCTAGTGAGGGATTTGGTATTTGGTCAACATGGCTCATCCCCTCAGGTATGAATGACCAAAACATTGAAGACATGGGCAAATATGTAAGTAGTTCTCGCCTCATCGTATTTTCGGCGGTGGTCTAATTGTTAACAGGTTGACCTGAAAACTTGCAACTTTCTGGTCGACACATACTACCCTCACTCCGTAGCCTCCGAACTTGAGCCTCACTACATTATGGATGTCGAAAATTGGGAGTCAGTGAAATGTGAACCATTTCTTGACGCGTCCCAAACCCACATCCTTGGTCGGACCATATGGTTGCCAGATTTGCCCTTCGTTCCAGAGAAATTTCGCAGAAAATGGGGAAGCCACTGTTTGTTGAAACGAGCGGCAAAGAAGTAAGTTGCCAGCTATGTATAATAATTCGGATATATCAAAAGTTCGGGTCTAGGGTTTCGGTGCCGGTTTAAGCATTCATGTATCTATAAACCATCAAGGTATGTACAACCACAATATAAAATCGAATTTTCACGCGTAGCTCCTTAAAATCCTGCTGTTTTTGCCTCCTCAGCTCCTTAATCTACAGTCGCTCCATTGAAATAGTGGATCGTCTCATCTACACATCCGGTTGGCGTCAAATATGCATAATTGCCCAAGTTTATCCACAACTCCTGAGCGCCACAAACCAACCACGCACTCAAATTTGGCCTACTAATGCTAGCTACACTCCATGTTACGGCATCTCCACTAAACGCAAATGTACCAAATGTGTTTTGGGTTGTATTGAACGTCATGGATAATTTAACGGCAGAGGAATTCGCAGGTGGTTGGACGTTTGCATAGAGGAAAGTATTGGGTGCTACTAGCTGGACTAGTTGGCCGGAAACGATTTGGTATTGGCCCGCAGTTGATCTGTCGGCTAGGAGGGCTGTGCCGGGTTTGCCAGTCGGTGAGGCTTGGAGATACGAACTACGACACATGTGGTCAACTTCTCCGTCATCTCTAGTCTGATATGAATGTTACAGGCGGGGGAAATGGAGGTATACGAACTGGAAGTTTGGTGATTCAACAGCGCGAATCCAATAGTAGCCACTCTGGAGTGTCACTCCTGGGTATGAGGCTGCACCAGTAGTGGTCGCAGGGACTGTCGTGGTTGGTGTACCGGAAGTTGCTGTCCCGGATGTGGTTATACCCGTTGAGGATAATGCGGTACCAGGGAGACATTGGGAATAGTCTTTTGAATGAAGTGATAAGCGGAAGCTAGAACATGGGATGAGAATGCTCTGGCTTACAGGAACTGTTGCAGAATTAGCAAAGATCGAGGAGCGAGACAGTGCAATGAAGCTTCGGAAAATGGACATGGAACGAATTGGGATAAAAGAAAGTCTTACTTAGAATAAGTACACACATAACCCGAAACGCAGGTAGTTGCACCAGCCCAACCTGTTCCTCCGCCTACATTCCCGAATTTATTAGTTATATCTAAGATATCTCTTCTTTTCATAAATCTAACTTACATTGACCCCACGCGGATTGTTGTGCATACACCTCCTGGATTCCTGCTGCTAGGAGCAGAGTCGCTCGTAACGGACTATAGAAATGCATAATCGAAAAAAAAGGACTCTTCTTACTTTACCGGTATCAATGGAGTGAATTCACAGAAAGCGATGGAAGATTTACGATTGCCTGCCCCTCCATCGTGTACTTATATTCAGTGGCTCTATAGCAACATCTCACCCGGACCGACAAGTCCGTAGAGGCAGAATGTATTTAAATTGGATTCTCGTCCGTGTGACCTTTGCTCTCTTAAAAGAGACTTAATTTGGAGATCATATAGACCATATGAAAGCAATCATTGGAAAGAACGAGCGAATCTCGCGTTGCGAAATATACATTCTACATCTTTGTCCTCGAGGCTCACATCAGTACTGGTGCATCAATGGGGTCTTCCGCATGTAGATTAAAGCGGCGCTATGTCATGTGAAAACATCTGCACCACATCTAGACACATAAACGAAGTTCATTTACTACCTTGTAATTCTACCTAACATGGCTTCTCCTTCAAGCTCAAAGTACTATGTGATAATAGGCGCCAGTCGAGGAATTGGCCTCGAATTCGCTCGACAGTTACTCGTAGCATCACCCACCAATATCGTCATCGCCACTCATCGATCCAGTAAACCACCGCAGACTTTGCGTGAATTGGATAAGCAATTCCAGGAGCCGCCTAGATTATGGACAGTTAATTGTGATGTTACCGATGAACAGACTATCGAAAGTCTTTGTCCCGATATACGGGGTTTGTCGTGGGGGAATCCTATTGAGGCTGTCATTGTTAATGCTGGGGTCTTGGAATGGCCGAATAGAGTGCTTGGAGGGTAAGTTAGACTGTTTCTGGGATGGGCATCTGCTCTACGTTTGAGATTTTTGTTGTATGCATAATGGGATTGAGCACTTTTCACGCAATGGGCGCCAGGACGTATCCCGGTCATTCCATACAACGACCTCGCAACTCGGCAAATGAGTGTTTGACGAATGGTTCATAACCCTTTTACCGTTTCTGGATTAGATCGGCGAGTATATAGTACTAACAGTCACTCCTTTCATTTGGAAAGAACCTCCCAGTCCTACAATCACCACTTTCAGACTAATACCATCGGACCACTACTTGCCGCCAAACACCTTCTCTCCATACCTGGATCTCGGATCTCCAATATCGTATTCATATCCTCTGATTCTGGCTCCGCTGTAAATTTCCGCTCATTCGAAGATGGTTTCGCTGCATATGCTGCTTCTAAAGCTGCGCTGAATATGGGATTACGTGTAAGTTACTCTTCCCCCTCTGGATAGCCCTCTTTTCGCAACTATACACCCAAATACCATTATTCTTCCTTCCTCACACGTTCCTGGATATAGCACTTAGCCGCCGAGCTGCATAGAGAAAAAGGTTCCGAGGCTCCAATTATTTTAGCTCTTCATCCTGGTGAAGTAAATACGGATATGGCGAAAGATGTAGAGCTACCTTGGGAAGTCAAAGGGGTTATAGAAGTTGGTGAGAGTGTAAGGGGATGTTTGAAGGTGATAGGGGAGAAGGGAAGAGGTGGAATTGATGAGGGTGGAAAATCGACTGCTTGGGCGGCGGGGATATCAGAAGAGGTAGGGGCAGCAACATTTTGGACATGGGATGGGAGAAGACATCCTTGGTGATCTAAGTTGGAAAGAAAATCACCGTTTTAGTTTAAGGGTATTTATTTACCGCTCAAGTGTTTATTATTTCTCTGTTTTGGCACTTTTGACGTCTATTTTGAATGAAATATATAATAGCTTCTAGTTTAAGTTCTAGCAAATTACCAACATCTACCAATTATTCTTACGCTCCATTCGTCAATTTCCTATCCAAATCTTCTACAAAATCATTTAAAATCCTCCCAATCCACTCATTCATCAAGTCTCTATTTCTGAGCACCACAACCTCCCTCTCATTCCCCAAATCATACTCAAACTTTCCCGCCAGATTATTCGACACAATATGAAGATATCCAAACCTAATCATCATCTCCATCGCCGCGAAAGCCATATGACCAATCTCCGGTTCCACCCAACAAAACCTCTCCCTAAACTTTTCAAACCACACTTGATCCTCATCCAACACCGAAGCCGACGTAAAATGCACACCCCTCTGCACCTCCTTCCCCAAAATCTCCTCACTAATCGGATTTTCCCACTCGATAAACTCTCCTCGAACATAACTACTCGAGCCAGTTGCCAGCGTCAAATTCGGCATATGTTCCTCGGCTAGCGTGCCCAGTTTCCCAACATAGATCACACATTGCAGAGAAGCACCACAAATTTCCTTCAAACATCTCACTAATTGACCCGCCAGATCACCCCAGAAACAAACCCGACATTTTAAAATCGTCGCTTTGAATCCATTTTCTCGGGTACTAGTCTGCCACGCAAATAACTCATCTGTATTTTCTCTACCGCTCCAAGGCTCACTCAAGCTCAGGATATCCTCCGGAAAAGATCCCACAATTACCAAATTCGTCTTCTCGGTCGCCAGACCCCTTAGGTTCGATTTGAGGAATACCTCATACCCGTCTTCCACCTCAGGAAGTACAACTTTCACAATCTCGGGATCTCTACCCTCAATTGCTAAATGCGTGGCTATGATATTAGCATAATGCTTCACATAATCTCTGCCCGGAAAACAATTGATGCGGAGTTTATCGCCCTCTAATATCGTTGCGGTGGGTCGTTGCGTATTGAATAGTTTATCATTCTTCTCCCCGTTGTAAATGATAGCTGGAGCGCTGCGCGTGTGATGTCCTGTAACTTCGATTTCTTTCCAGCGATGCGAGGGAATCAGGTGGTGTACTTTCATGTCGAGGTAGGGGATTAGCGAGGCGCCCATAGTGTGCAGAGCTGTGCTTGTGACCGTGGGTTTGTGGGCTGGAGGATCAGAGGATGAGGACATGATGGATGATGTGGGAGTGGTAGTTTGAGATGGGAGGGAGGGGAATGAAAGTGAGGAATTGGAGATATCAGGTTGGATTTTGGCATTTATATAGCTTTTATGCTTACGCTTTGCTTTGCTTGTGGAAAAGGAGTTTGCTACTGATTGATGATAATGACAATGACCCAGAAAAGCCTGCAGGTTTCCACAGCTGTGGGAATATATCATGTTTGTATTCATAGTTGTACATAGCATGACTGATATTGTTGGATAAGATCAGATGACTCAGAAAGTCAAAGAGTTGCTAAATACACAAACACATTTCTAGCACATAGCCTAGTCGCGTAATCAAATCGAGCAGCAACAAAGATTGGCTCAATAACATCTCGTTATTGAAGGAATATTGATGGTCCACCTGGATTCGTTAGGCGTCAAGTAAACCAAAGAGCAACAATGTATGCACTAGAAAGGATCATATATAATTAAGAATCATGATATAAAAATACCATTGGTCATTTATAAGGTCATGACTTTTATTCAAACAACCCCACAGAAAACGCCATGCAGATATTAAAGAAATTCATGAGCGCAACTATACAACACTTTTCTTTCTCCTCTTCCTCAACCGAGCCTTCTCAGTCGCTTCTTCAACCTTGTGTAACCTCCATTCACAATCTTCCGCAAAATCACAAGTCCTGCATTTAAATGCTTCTTCTACTGTAACCCCCTTCGCTTCTCTTTCTCCTTTCCACCAACGTAGTTCTTCCTCTAGGTATGAATTCAATTCTTGATTATCCATAGGTATAGTCTTGATTCCGAGTATCTCTCCACTATCTCGTGATCGATATTCCGTTTTTAACACTTTTCCCAATGATTCAGCACCATCGGGGAGAGTGATTTGAAATTCAGATATCATGAGTGACCAAAGAGCGTTGAGATTGTTATGGGCAAGGAGAACGCCAATAGAATCTTGACTAGAAACTGGCGTGGAATTATCTTGTTCCTCAAGAGCGTCTTCGTACATCTCCTCATTATCATCGTTCATGCTACCCACTTGAGCAATAAATGCATCTGAAAAAGTTTTGGCTGTGTCCAACCTATAGCGACCAGCCAAGGCAGGAAAATTGACCATGTTTGTGGCAAGCTCGGATAGAAGGTGATGATATAGCATGAGCTGCATCTGGGTAGGGCGAAAGGATGCGTTGTTCGGCAGCGTGCGAACACCTCTGGTTTTAACATCGCAAATGTAAAGTTTGTTCGATCGAGCCCGCCTTCTTGTCCGTGTCGCGTCCGCAACAGCTCCTGGTGCTTTAAAGAAATCCGATATAGAAGCTTGATCTGAAGGTGGCAAATTCTTCTCCCTCTCGGTCTTTTTTTGTAAAGTTTCCTCCAATTCAGTGTCCGGACAGATGTAACTCAGTTCATCAATAACGCCATTCACCACCAATCCATCAATAGTACCCCATATTTCCAATTCCCTCGTTTGTCCCGTTTCCCGTAATGTTCGTAAACCTTGTATCACATTCCATATCTGTAGGCCCCAGGCATCTTCCCTTGTTTGGATGTCGATCTGGACAGTCCTATGTACTTGATCTTCTAGGACTTTGTGTACAGCACTACCCTGCTTCATAGCTGATGTTCGTTTCTTCTTTCCATGTTTCGTTAATGTATACCAGTATTGAAGCTCGCACCATGCAGGCGACACGAGGTCCGTCACCGAGAGTGGTTTCCTCGGCGCGGTACGAAATCGTTCGAGGGGCGATCGTGCATCGCGAGGTACAGGTTCTGCAGATTCTGCAGTCTTTGATTCGACTCCATTCGTGAGTATCGATTCGAATGCAGCTGGCACAATACCAGCTATTTGATTACTCACTGAGGGCTACCGCGTAAGTCAGAAATCTAGCAATGGAGAAGACAATATATGCTCACGGTCAGGATAGTACTCGCGTTTCGCGACTGAATTATTAATCTGCTCAGCAACCCTCTCCGCAGCACGAATGGCCTGAAGCAGAGGCGAAATCTGCTCTTTTCCAAAAACTCGAGGGAGGCGAAGGGTGCGCTCCGACTCATGATACTCGATTTCATTCACAATCGGATTGTCTTCGATCTCAGTTGCTTCGTTGAGTGAATGGAACGGCAACAACAATTTCTCTACTATCTCAACTTCTTCCGGTGAGAAGTCGGAGCCATAATCACTATCCTCAGCATTTTGAGGATGCTCTGCTTCGTCTAGGGCAGGACTAGCCATGCCTATACGTGCAGTTAGTTCGATCCATGAGTGTTTTTGGTAGTTCTCGTACAATCCATGACGCTTACTTGCCACTCTGTTGGCACTTGGCAGACGCGAAATCACGTAATCACGTGGCGATTTGAAGGGCAATTTACATTCATTGCTTGCAATTGGTTGAGATGATTTTATTCAACAATATGAGTACTCGAGCATTCATTCCTTATAAGTTCTGGGAACCCTGAGCATTGTTATACTCCTGATAATCGGTGTAGACAACCATCCGGATCCCATGGTGATCGTTTACCATTGCTACAGTAGACTTTGCGAGAGTACTCTGTTAGCATTCACCTGTCTCATGAAGCGAAGTACTATTGCGCATGCCAATCTGAGTCCTGACTCTAGTGAGTCTGTATTTCTCTCCTGAAAACGCTCATAATACGGCAATGATTACGAAACATATCTCCATCGATTCGTCACTTCAATATATTCTCATCCTTTGTCATGAATCCAAGAACGAATCACAATCCTCCAAAAGCGGCAGCCTGGTCAGAAACACCACTTTTCAAATCATCGTATTCAACACGAGAGTGTCTCTCCGATCCACCCATTCAGTTACAACTGCTCTTCTATAATACAGGCAGCACGTATTATATATCAATCTATCTTCCTCTCCATGGATCTATCGAATCATATATTTATCTCTATGAAAGATCCCGGTTACATGGTATAACCACACGATGAAGAAACATCATAGTCTTTCCACACCCGAGGCGGAAAATTGTACTTCCAAACTCAATCTTTTAGATTTACCACAAGAAATTCATTTGTTGATAACTTCTCATCTGATATACCCAGATGCGCTTTCCTTAAAGCACGCCAATCGATATTTCTACTCTTTTGTATATACCGGGTTACATTTGAAGATAGAATGGCTGATTCAGAGGCGTCGGCTACATTTGGATTGTCCAAGTGATAGTAAATGTGAATTGGGAAGTGATCTCAGATTTTGTCGAGGGAGTGTTGCGTGAGGCTTATCTAACCTTCATCATGTCAAGATGTGAAAACTAATGATATCAATAGGTTGTTGATGAAGAGAAGGAGAGAGCATCAAGAATGTGACAGTAAGCCAGGAGGGAGGGGATGTCTGGTATTAGGAAGGAGCATTTGTTTGGATAAGAAACACGACAATCATTTGAAGGTGTTCTGGCGATATCTCAGATCGGGAATCCCTCTGTGGTTAGTCGTGGTGACCATTGCTTTGCTGGCGATTGTGATGGCTCCGACGAGAATATCTCCTATCACGGAGAATGTTGATATACTCAGAAAGGGGTGGATTTCATTGATGCGTAACTAGAGATCTTCGGCACGAATCCCTCCTATAGCAATATCTAATAATGAAGGCGGCGATATCAGCAATTAGCATCTCTTTCCATCATCTGACTGACAAGTAGTCCCGATACCGTCGTAACGCGATATTCTCATTGCCTTTACTTCCTTTAAATCCCTCTCACTCTTACTATATCCCGAAAGACAGCAAGCGAAAATATGCTACTAACTCTTAAGCTTTCGGAACATTATAACTCCTATCAACACAAGCATTTTCGTCTCTGCACAACCCTCACACAGTTTACAGAGATACCCAGACTCAAAAAGCACGCCGTCTAGAGCACCTCTCAAACTCCCAACCAATCACTTCCGCCACGTTGTTTCGGGTCATCGCCAAGTGGTTGTACAAGCGGCAGGGTAACGCATCTGTAACTGAAAAGAGCATCAGGGGTACAGCCTTACGGGCCAGCACAAGCGATTTCAGTATTTCAGTCAGTCTCTAGATAGGTAAGTTGTGACCCGTCTCATCTTCTTATAGATGCGATAATAACTTTCGGATAAGAACCGCGATCCTGTCATTTAAATTTTTCTGCTCATACTCTGGTTCTCCTATCATGAAGTTACATTACGGTAATTTAGAACCGACTGTGTTCAAATTATTCACTGGAAATGAGTATGATGTTTGTTTGTCCTTGTGCTTCTCTTAGAAGATTAGATATAAGAATTTGGAGATGTATTTTCGTAGGAGGTTAATATAATTTATTATCTTTCCCCTCTTCTCCCAATTTGTTTCCCTTTCTTTTTGTTTTTCTCCTTTCTATGGAAATAAGTTAGGTCGTCGCTCTTTTGTTCCTTCATCCACTTTTCTCTTCATTTCACTTTTACTTGGATCGGGTTAGATACCTGATCGTATATTCTTTCAATTCAATTCAAATACACTACACACTCTTTCAACGTATGATACACTCCCTTAACCTCAAACCGATAAACCAGCGCGCGAATTCAGAGCCGTTACTCCATTTCTTAACTTCAGCACGCACTCAACCATAAAACGATCACGATGTTGTTCAAATCAACCAAAGCACTCAATCTCGCATTGCTAGGATCTCTCATTTCACCAGCAAGCACCACATTCGTTATCCAATGCTACAGTCGTCTCCTTGACGAGCGTGTCGATCCGGTAGTCAGTCCTGGAATCCTCCCGGCATCTCATGTCCATGCTATCGCTGGCGGAAGTGGATTCAGCGCCAATATGACATATGCCGATGCTCGTGCTGCTAAATGTGGTACATGCAATGTGAAGGAAGATTTGTCAAATTATTGGACTCCGAAGCTTTATTACAAGGCACAGAATGGTAGTTTCATCTCTGTGCCTATTAATGGAGATGATGGGTATGGAAATCTTGGTGGGATGGCTATTTATTATCTGTGAGTTGGGCTCTTTGAAATTTGGAAAAACTTCTAGATGGTTTTTACTAACACTTTCTCAAGTCAACGTCCAGGTCCAGATAATGATCCGCTCGTTCCGTTTCCTGAGAATTTTCGCATGATTGCCGGAGACACAAATCGACGAAGTTACAACGACTCTTCTTTTGCAGACCGAGCTGTTAGTTTCAGATGTACTGGAACAGATCTTCAAACAAATGGATTTCCAAATATCAACTGTCCAGATGGTCTCCGGCTTCAAGTTACAATGCCTTCTTGTTGGGATGGGGTCAACGTAACTGCCGCGGATTACAAATCGCATATGTCGTATCCCATGGATGGTGATTATGACGGTGGTCGTTGTCCAGCTTCACATCCTCATCATATGATGACTTTATTCTTTGAAGTTACATATCGCACTGATCTTTTCGCGAATGATTGGTATGGCGATTCTCAGCCGTTTGTTCTTGCTAATGGTGATACTACCGGTTACGGATTTCATGGCGATTTTGTAAGCTATCCACCACTCCACCTTCAATGATATCTCGTCAAGCTAACATAGCCCAAGGTCAACGGCTGGGATATCCCAACACTTACTAAAGGAATCAATAACTGCCTCGATGGACAGCCAAATTGCCCCAGCGAGACATTTACCTTTTACGAACAATCCGATACCCAAGAATGCAAACTTGCGCCTCTGATCAACGAGCCGGTAAGCGGTATCCTTCACGCGCTTCCTGGCTGTAATGCACCTTCTTCAGGACCAGCAGAGTATATACCACCTGCCTGTCCCCAAGATGCAGCTTTAAAAAAGTCACTTCAGACTCCTCCACTCCGCTTTAACCCTGCTGCCTCCATCGCTGCTACGCTGCCAGTCGGCATTATCGATCTAAGTACTTCCAAAGGCTGGAAATATCTCGGATGTGGAATCGATGATGCAGGAAACCGAACATTGAATGCTGATTGGGAGGGCAACAATTCCATGACCATTGAAACTTGTGTGGATTTCTGTACATCCAAGGGACATACATATGCAGGCATGGAATTTGGAAGTCAATGTTATTGCGATAACAGCCTATCTGCAGATCGGGCACCCGTTACTGGAATGCTAGGTGACTGTATTATGCCTTGCGCCGGGAACAGTTCGGAAAAATGCGGCGGTAATGCTGCCATTACACTTTACCAGAAGTGTGGTGCACATGGATGTGCTCCCTCTAGTGCATCAACCACTGCTTCTACTCATTTACAGAGTAAGAGAAGTAGAGTTATGAGGGGTCTGAACATTTGAATTCAAGAGAAAGTCATAACCATCTTGACATTATGTTTGGGAGCCGATGCGCGCATGGCGCAGGGATGGAAAAGAAATGGCTTACATTTCGTGTAAATATATATCGCACCGTCTCACAACTTTTTGATGGCCTTGAACATGTACTTACGATTATGAGAGAAAGCATGAACATACAATATAGTATACACCCCTCATGGTACCTGTGACACACGGCACATTCTGTGACTCGATAATGTTTCTTGACAATATTTCTCTCGCAAATAGAGCCGAATAGAACAAACCTCGACTCTCGGCACACATGCCTTGTAAGGAAAAAAGCCGAATTATCCTGCGCGAGGGAATTTCATGCGCGCAAGACTGCGGAGTCCGGAGATGGAGACAGCTGAACAACTGAGTGATATATGATCAGTGCTCTCAGTGACATCGGCATTCGGGACGTCCTAATTTGTAAGGTCTTAGCATTTAAGCGTTTGTGGATATCGCCATCATCATATCCGCGGCGATGAGGAGATTGAGTTTGCAGGTTGAGTTTTATCAGTTTGTTCATCCCTTAAGTCCAAATCTCCTTCTTTCATCATTCTCGCGTGTCCCAGAATTTTTACAGTGGGTGCCCGCGACTATCACATGCATATATTTGGCCGTGTAACCAATCATAGCCCGGAGCCGGGATGCAAGACCTAGTCCAGGTACCATTTTTCGATGGCTACTTCCCTGTAGTGTAGTTCCTTGCGTGCCGTTTTTAATCCTCGGCTTTCGAAGATGGAGCCCAAATCGATTAATTCCCGCTAATCCGCTTTTTCTTTTTTCAATACAGATATTTGTTCCAAAGTAATATTATAACTAACGCAATTCGTTCAAATTCACGGCGCAAGTTTCGATTCTGGTTGGTGTAATCTGCGCTGCGGTAACCGTACATGTTCCTGTTTTTCGTCGGATCATTACGTGGTTGACTTCTTGACTCTTGTTAAGAGCTTGTGCCGCATCTGCGCATCAATCAGGGACATCATGGCCTCAACACAAGACTGGAGGAACGCTTTGCCTTTGATCTTCGCCCTTAAAAAGTGTCGCTGGGTCAACCCTTCCCAATCACATCTGGGTCAGGCGGCCGGCGTCCATCCAATGTGAATGAGCGGGTCTGAAGTTCAAAAGATTTTCATCCCCTGCTCCAAGATCTTTCATTTACGGGCGACCAAGAGACAAATCTCGGGGCATTAATCGGCTCATACCGCCGGATCTGGTAGGTTATCGAGATCTAGAGCTTAGCTTAGGATGGGCCCGCAAGTTTAATATTTCTTACTTTACCTTAGGGAAGCGCCAGTTCGTGCTTCAATATGGTTTCTACATTTTCCTATGCGTTCTGAAGCTTCTTCGCGAGTTTGTCGGATACTGCAGCGCTAAATAATTCATTCTGAATTGAACAGAAAAATGACGGACTCAATTGACCACTATTATCAGAATAGGGATGCGACGCCGTCGAAAACTCTCTGCAATGGAGATTCCTACAACAAAACGGCTCCTCTACCTCCATTGTCCACCTTACTAGAAAGATCCGAAACTCCAAGTTCGAGACGGGATCCGATCAGTCCCAATTCCACCAAATCCACATCCGAAAGTCCACGTCCCGTTACAAGCTCTAGAGGTGCTGAAAGTAGCACAAGAGGCTCGATGCGAACGAGCCCCAGTGACAGTGGTAGTGTAAGCAGTAGGAATGGTGTAGGTTTAAGTGGTGCAGGAAATTTTGCAGATTTCTTCAGTCCTGAAGTTTTTTATATTGTGCTTCATAATCCGACGACCGCGCATCGATTTTTGAAATTTTGTCAGGGTCGTTCTTGTTCGGAAAATCTCGAATTTTTGCACAAGGTACGCTAAAATGGTTTGCCATTGTATATATGTTAGTGCTAAAAATACTAACTAGATCGATGAATACAATCGACTGATAGATGAGGCAACTCGTCTTCTTTCCACCATACACTCGTCTTTCATCTCATCCGAGGCGCCAAAGCAAATTAATATTTCTAGTTCCCAAAATCGAGAATTATCACATGGTGTTAAGAACGCGACATATAATGTTCTTCCCGGCCTGCAAGATATTTTCAATGAATCACAGGAGCAGATTGAAAAACTACTGGCTAGCGACTTGTATCCACGTTTTGTAAAACATCAGGTTACTGCTTCCGCCACTATGGCATTGGCAAATGATAGAGAAAGATATCCAGGTCTAGGTGACTGTTTTTGTTTGACTGATCCAAAGTATGTCCATTCAAAGCTACTGTCCCTCTAGATTCCAAGCTAACAGTATGGAGGCGAGCGGATAATCCAATTGCATTTGCTTCAGATGGCTTCGTCTCTGTCACGGGATATTCTAGAACAGATATCATTCCTCGAAACTGTCGTTTCTTGCAGGGGGCATATACTGATCTTCAGGCAACAAAACGTTTACGCACTTCCATTCAAAACTGTGAAGAAACCGTTGAATTACTTCTTAATTATCGCAAAAACGGTGATCCATTTTGGAATCTTCTTTACGTGTCTCCCTTATTCGACGGTAATGGAGATGTCAGGTTTTTTCTTGGTGGACAAGTAAACTGCAGTACGACGATTCACAGTCGTACCGATGTTCTTCGGATTTTAAGCCTAAATGATGAAGATACTGAGAGTGTGAAAGAGGGAAGTAGGAAAACTCCTAGTGTTCGAAGTAAGGATTCCAATAATCCGAGTATTTATGGAAAAAGTTCCTTCTTTAAAAGCTTCAAAAAATACAGTGCTAAAGCTGTGACAATCCGGGATGAAGCTGGGATGGAAGGCGAATTGATTGATCGAATTGGGAAATTACAATTTAAGACACAAGTCGAAGAATTCTATACAGCTTATTCAAAGGTAGGTTTAACATCTCAAAAGTTGCCTAACATTGATTAACATCAAAAACAGTATCTCGTCCTATCCTACCAACCGCAGTCACAAAATCTCACTGTCAAATACTATTCCCCAGGTATAATCGACATGCTTGGTCTCCACCTCCCTAATGGTGAAGTAGCTCCTATAGTTGACAAAGATATTTTCAAAATGCTCACCGAACACTCCCCATCATCCGTGCCACGGACATTTAAAAACGTAGTCAAGGAAGGTATAAAAGCAGGAAGAGCAGTATCAGTCGAAACGAGTCTCTTAACTGGAATTGAAGAAATCAAAAAATCGCAAGGAATTTTTGGAGGTGCGACAATTGATCGAGAGAGGGGCTGGAAAAGGTCGGAGGAAAAATACGTTTGTCATTTTACGCCTTGTAAAGATGAGGAGGGAAGAGTTGCTTGGGTGGTTTTGACCGTGGCGCCGAAAACGTAACTTAGAATTCTTTTGTGGGGTCTTGGTTCTGCTTGGGCGTTAAGGTGGCAGACATGTTAATGATACCCGGAATGATATTTTTGTATTCGGATCGAGATTTTGATTTTTTTTTTCTATTTGAGAAGGGAGGTTAGAAATGGGAAATGGGAAGATAATATGATAGTAGAAGATGGGATAGGAAAAAATTAGACGATAAGATGAAGGGGTTGTGGGAATAGACCAAGGAAATATCATACATGTCAATAAACTTCAAATATTGAACCTTGTAATTAATACCTTGCGATTGAAATATTCCTCTACAAATTTATACGATTATTGCCATTCATAAAGATTAATCCCTAATTCATAAATTATCAGAAGTTGCACCAACGTCCTTAGATTATCATGCTAAAAACACCCTTAAATTTTAGCAAACAATTCAGGGCGTCGTGACGGAGTGGTTAACGTGATTGACTAGAAATCAATTCCTTTCGGGGGCGCATGTTCGAATCATGCCGACGTCGAAAATTTCTTTTACTTTTTTGCGTCATTTTTCTTTGAACGATGCGATAGGTTGGATATATAGGTAGGTAGGTGGATGGAATTATTTGTGTGTGGATTTCTCTTTTGTCTTTTGGGGCTTTGGGATTTGATCGGGGGTTTTCTTGCTTTGGTGTTTTTCGTCTGTGGCTTTGAGGGTGGAGTTGTATAGGTTGGATGAATGGGTGGATGGGTGGATCTATTCTACAGATGGAGTATGGTTATGGTGCTAATGGTAAGGTCTTATTCCTGTATGTAAGCTGCATCTATTCTATTAACCGTATGTGATTATCTCCCGGTCTCTGCATATCAGACTGCGTGTTTGGTCGCAGTTACATTCTGTAATGTAAATAAGGTTAATGTCAAATTGCGAGGCGGCGTAACCTTAATGTATACCACAACATGAACTGTAATCTCTATTAATCCTTTGAATATTCATATATTAAAAATATTTTTCGTGCATCCTTCAAAGGTACTTAGCTGCAGTTACCCCGCTGTAAGCATCTATGTCGCCGGTACAGTCATCAGGTAACAACTCCATGGACATTCCGACTTCGGTATGGAAATCCCGAATGAAGGGGGGAAGGATCGTAGAAGATGGAGAAGTAGGATTACATTAAATACCCTGATGTACAGTCTCTTTTTGAGATAAAACCTCATTCAATATCCTTCCGTTGATTGGTTTCAATATTGAAATACCTATAGCTAGGTATCTATCGACATGTCTCAAGCAGATCCTAAAAAAGTCATCATCATCGGCTGCGGTATTGCAGGTCCGGTGATCGCAATTCTACTCCAGAAAAAGGGATACATTCCCATTATCGTAGAAAAAGTCAGAGTACTAGGTGATGCAGGTGGATCGCTGTTTCTACAACCAAATGGGTATGTTATGTCAATCACACAACTATACTATGTAAGTAGGTACTCGAATTGAAATGGCTGATCAGGCGATAGTTTGAAAGTACTTAATTTGGTCGGTCTTGCTACAGCTGTGACGGCTAATGCGCCGTGGGGAGAACAGGTCTGGGATAAGACGCATACTGGGGAAGTTCTTGGGGGTGGAGATTCGCTGGCGTTGCTGAAGGAAACCTATGGTCAACCTGCTTGTGGAACTAAAAGAACTACATTTAATTTAGCTCTTGAGAAGGCTGTCTTGGATGCGGGTATCGAGTTTCATCCCGGCTGGAAATTGGCCAGTATTGAAGAAAGCGAGAAGGGTGTGGTAGCGATATCAGAAGCCGGTCAGAGAATCGAAGCCTCGTTTCTGATTGGTTGTGATGGTATTAAAGCTGCCTCGAGAGATATCTTGCTTAGACGTAAAGGGTACAATGAACCCGAAGCTTCGTATACAGGATTAATACAGGTATTCTTAACCCTCAACCATTAAAACTAATGATACTAACTTTACTCAGACGGTAGGATTTTCACCCACGCCGAAATCTCTCCAGAACACATTATTGAATGTTTTCGGTCCTGCTGCGCATTTCATTCACTATCCAATCTCTCCCACTCATTCATCATGGGCAATCACACAACGACAAAGCGAAGAAGAACAAGAGACATGGCGTCTAGCAACACCAGAAGAGCTTGAAACTGAAAAAGCGAATCTCCAAGAACAATTCAAAGATTGGGCTTCGCCAATACCAGAAATTATTAGTAGTGCCGGAAGATTGCTCAAGTATGGCATCTTCGATAGACCGGGCTTGAATGCCGAACAGTGGTATGATGGGAGATGTATTCTTATTGGTGATGCTGCACATCCTACAAGTCCACATTTGGGCCAAGGTGCTAATCAAGCTATGTATGTTGATACCATTGATTGCACCAACACATTCATCAAATTAACGTCTTTGTAGGGAAGATTGCTATCACCTCCAACGAATTCTTCCTGACGCCGGCGCGCATATCTCAACAGAAGACCTAACTAAAATCTTCGCCGAATTCGCAGGTTTAAGACAACCTAAGACAGCATCGCTAGTAGCAGCTGCTCGAGCACAAGGAGAAAGAAGAGTTGTGGCGCTGGAAAAAATGGAGGAGAGAAATGAGTATTTGAGACAGGTTTGGAGGAATGTAGATGTGTTCCATAAAGCTTATGATGAGATGATGAGAGGACCGTTTAATGCAATGGCTTAGAGATGTAGGTAATTTTACTATAGCGCGTGCACGTTCGAACGGACAAGTGAGATTGCTTGGAGCGTCTTTAATAATATTATTTTTTCTTTGATACTGGTGATAGCTTGATAATTAACGCGGATGTACGTATAGGATGATGCGAGCATAGCCCATTACCTTCTTTTTTTTCCCTCATTCAGCAATCAGAGAACTATTTGCATATCAATCGAAGCCATATACATTCAAACAAACACGCTCATAACAGCTTTGAGCTGAGAGAATTCAACAAACTAATAATTAAGATCTTACATATCTATTATCTAATAAACTGACTGAAGTATATTTCCATCTAGCACGGTAGGTCTATTCTCAAAAACGATAAACTCTTTCTAAATACTATGTCTTACACAGCTAGTTACCATTTATATATTCTAGTCCACATGCATATAAGAATAATAATATCTGTGATCATTATAAAAATATCACCTTTAGCACCAGCATTCCCATTTTAGTTATTCATCTAAATCATTCTGGCCTGCTCTGATAGTAGGTAGCCACTTCAAAAGATTATGTGCAAACCCTAAAAGTAAGTAAGTGAGTCATCTTATGAGTCGGCGACGCTTTTTAGCTCTTTAACCTCTATCTGCAATCACTCTACCGCTTCCATGCGAATGTGCTCCAGCTCAGTTTCTTACTCCTTCGCTTGAGATTTTTTGTTATTTTCTGTTGTCTTGTGCCGTCATCAGGGGGGTCATTGAAAGCAAAGCTAATTTTCGTCTATCGCGGCTGTAGAGTTGGGATAACCTAGCCATGGGTTGTCACGAATTGTTGGGAGTTTGGCTCGTTCTTGGTGGGATGGAAGACTGCATGTTGCCTACCAGGTGGTGTGGTTAAGTTACCCTTATAGATTTATTCTTGAAATCGAATATATTAATTATAAGTCTCAAATTTTTTGACGCGAGGAGTATGGCTTGATAGGTAACTACTTACTAAGTATCTGCCTTTCTCGCCGAAAATATATGTGTTAATCGGTGCAGGATAGGGTTCATATCGCTTCTGTACAGTATGCGCTCTATTTTCCGACTGAGATGATGCATTCAGAAGTAATGAAGTTCCATCACCAGCGTGAGCTTGGGCATGAGAGGGCCCTGCAGTAGGAACGTCCCTTAAATCCGCATCATGCGCTGCCTTGTAAAGACAGGAGCTCGATGCTGTTTTGAACGCCGACAATCACATCTGAGCTGTTTTGTTCTGAATATACGATTGCATACTTACTTTCAACCTTCAACCTTTGGTTCCTTGTTCCCATGGCATCTATCAATACTGGGTCTTTTCCTTACGTATCTGGTATGGGAATCGCTCATCGTTTTCGACTGAATTGCTATTCGGCCCAGTATGAGTGACTTTGGCTTGAGGTTCAGCATCGATATCCGACTCAGGATTTGATCCATCTAATCCGATGCTCATGTCTTCAGATTTAAAAAAAAATCACTATCAAGGTCGAAGTTTATCTCTTTATTGTCCATCATCAGACTCACTGCCGGAAATTGGCTGTGATGCCGGGTAGATATTACTGAATTTGAAACTAGTTTCAGGATCAAGATCAGATTCGTCACTAGTTCCGGCAGGATCTTCATTGGAAATATTGGACGATTCATTAACAGAACAATCTGTGACTCGTTTTTTGCATCATCAAGCAACTCGTAGTTCAAACTTCTTCTCCCAATCAATCTCCATTTCATCTGAAAGATTATTAGCACAAGTTCGGACACAAGGAATATGGGACAAACCCTGCTTACTATTTAGTTCGTTTTGACCCAACACAGAGAGCATCCCATATAATCAACCGGTAACGAATGAACAGCGGACAAGGAAGGCGTAAGGTATCGTGGGTAGCATCGACGCATGTGAGCTCAATATGGATTCCAATTGAACAACAACGCAACGGATGAAAGCTCCGAAGAGCCATCGAAGCTAAAATTATTGCGAGAAACTAAACGCCTTGATTTAAATTTTTATCTTTAGGTTCAATGCTGGTTAACATGCGGGCGGTGCTGGATTGCATGAAGATTTGGTTATCACGTGACCACCTTCATTCTCACTTGCAACCTTGGCCGCACTTTCGCGCCTCATGGCAATACTACCCTAGGAAATTCTTCCTACTCAGGTTACTTTACTTAAAGGGCACATGTTGCCAGTTAAAAGGACAAGCCTCCGATTGTCAATCATTCAGAATTTCAAAAAGCACCTTAAGAACTGTAAGAAATAATCGTATCGAGTTTGTGATGCTAACATGGATACCAAGGTCACGGACTTCCCCACGGACATATGACGATCGACCTGCTGTGACAACCCCGGATCTCTATTGTTATTGGCTGACCATTTGAGTCTATTGATTGATTAATATAAGCTATGTTTCTTACATTAATCTGCATACAATGACTTCGAAACTGTTGGCAAACAGCATCAAGCCCTTTAAAAGATAAAAAAGATGTCATCTCAACTTACAGAACTTGGGAATGGGAGAACGTGGACATTAGGTGATAAATTCGAGGCAAAGTATCCTCATCACGAGAGCGTGAAGGCATTGTGGGAGACGAAATGGAGATTCCCAGTGTGTGCTCCCCGGGCTGGTATGAATCCGGCGATCATACTCATATTTAACAGTGTACGAAAAGTGTATATCCTTTCCATGATGGAAAATTCGAAGATTTCGAACCTATATTTGAGAATCTAATTGCTGTGAGTATTCCCCATTGCCTCCCTTCAGCAATTGACAATTATTAGAACGATATAAATGATGGATATGGTGATAGGTACACTGAAGCCTTCTTTCCAATTGCCGAAAAGCTCACCGCACAGGGAGATGACGCCGTAGCTTCTGGCAATCAAACCTTAGCCTCTGAGCTCTTTCTTCGAGCTGCTTGTGTTTATCGAATTGCACGATTTCCATACATCGGTAAATTCCCGAAAATCAGTTCCCAAGTTAAATGGAAAGCATGGGATGCCCAAAAGGCAGTATATATGAAAGCTGCAACGAAATGGGATTGTCCATTTGAAGAAGTTTTGATTGAGCATGCATGTGCGGAGGGGCAAGATCAAATCGAGATACCACTATACGTGAGATATCCTTCTAAGGCTAAAAGCATTAAGGTCCCCGCTGTTCTTCTTTTGACTGGACTTGATGGATATCGACCGGATAATACAGTTCGGAGCGATGAGTTCATCAGCCGTGGATGGGCATGTGTGATTGCGGAGATTCCAGGGACAGCCGATTGCCCTGCTGATCCAGGTGATCCTTCAGCTCCTGATAGGTTATGGACAAGTATTCTGAACTGGATGAAATCAGGAGATAGGTTTGAAATGAGCCAAGTGATGGTCTGGGGTTTGAGTGCTGGTGGATATTATGCCGTAAGACTAGCTCATACACATAAAGATCGATTGAGAGGAGTAGTTGCACAAGGAGCTGGAGTTCATTACTTCTTTGGTAAAGATTGGCTTGAGAAGGCTGAAGGACATGAGTATCCATTCCAGTGAGTGTTTTGCTGACTAAATTTCCGAGAACCAGATACTGACATTATCCAGACTTGGTCCCGCTATGGCATTAAAGCACGGTTATACCTCTGTAGAAGAATTCCGGGACAATGTTCAGAAGAAGTTCTCACTCCTGGAAACCGGAATAATTGATAACCCCTCGACAAGACTTTTGCTCATCAATGTATGAATAACATCTTCAAATTTGTGATGTATATCGTGACTGACGCACACTAATAGGGAACTTTGGACGGACTGATGCCGATTGAGGACTCCCAACTACTGTTTGAACACGGAACACCGAAAGAGGCTCGGTAAGTTAGAAAGATATTCGTATATTCGGTAACGCTTTGTTAACAGTATTAGTTTCTTTGCCGGGGCGTTGCACATGGGTTATCCAATGGCCAATTCGGCAGTGTATCCATGGATGGAGATGGTGATGGAATAGCGCAAAGGATATACCGTATTTGAAAGAGTCAGAATTCGAACGAAAAAACCACCTTCATTTCAAAGTCCCTATGTGAGATATTTCGGGCAAATATTATAGTGCTTTAGAAGCCTAATGATTTTTATTGTGTATAGCAGCGTGTAGTATACCGTGGCCCATATTTTGACTGGTCATCGTGACGTCCTAGGCCCAATTTGACTAACAAGAGATGGGCATCCAATGTCTAAAATGTTGCCGAAAAGTGCAATTTTTTCTGGACAGAGAAGAGTTGATCCTTTTCATAACTTTTACGCCCGTTGCGAGTCATTGCCGCAAGGCCTGGAGTTTCGGCTTCAACCAAATAACCCACCTGCCAATTGAACGGATGAGCTTAATTGAGAGTAGTATTCCGACCTTGATTAGCCTGGTGGTATAAGATAACAGCGGTGAATTTGTTCTATGCTTATATCACGTGGTATGTGGCTGGTTACGCTAATGCTTTCTCCACATGTCCCGATCAGCAATCAGAGCGCGTCGTAAAAATGAGCAATTTCTACCCAGTCGATATCGCCTCGTACTCCCTCCTATTTATAAACTTAAGCGAATAGGAAAACCTCTGGATGCTGAATGCTCACTGTCTTTGAAGGAAGCGTAACCTGCGCATTGTGGAAGCCTCCTGGGTCGAAACTATGGCTACCAACGTTGACACTCACTCTCCGTTGTATAATAGAGTATCAAGATGTATTGCAAGTATTATACGTTTCCATCGAGCCAATGCTTCCAAAGAGGGTTTGTGCCCTCAAGTGATCATCTCATGTTACCGTCTTCGGCACCGATGGTCTCCTAAAGCTCTGTCACATCCTCAATCGCAGAAAGAGGAAGTTGTAAGACGGATTTTGGATAAGATGATTGAGGTGAGCATGACTATTTTGTCATAGTTGGTCAAGCCGTTTCTAAAAACACAGGTCCATATGCTGGTGAAAGTACCTCAAAAAACCGCACCCTCTGGAAGAAATCTACCGGCAACAATCGAGCAAAGCTATATTCTAGATCCTACCGGTGAGACGGAGAGCTGTAGACCGGGCGAGTCCTGTGATGATTTATTGATTTCAAGCGTATTCAGGCCCAATCAAGTAATGTATGATTCAAGCCTCCCAACACCAAATAGCATAATAAATCGGGAATATGTCTCCATGAGTGAGCTTGGACCAAATGCGTCACGCTTTCTCATTCCCACCAATACAAACATTCTTGGCTCTTCTACAGAAGTCCACGGTCATAAGAGGCGTCGTAATTCCGCTGTTAATGGCGGTTCAAGTGCCATGGAGAGATCTAATAATGAAAAAGAAAGCCAGTTCAACCAGCAATCATTGACTATGGTTTCACCAGCTGGTAGAAATCAAGTGGAACGGGGGCCACAAAGCTGCGAGGTTAATGGTTCAGATGAGACCCAGTCAAATGCTGAAAGGCTCGCACACGAGGTAATTTATCCTAGCGCTATTTATGCCATTCTCTAACTTCATCAGGTTGCCAATCTTCCTTGGCTAACCCAAGGTCTTCAAGGATTGAGTGAAAGATATCCCGATGATCGATACGAACTTGTTTATGAAAATGATCTACTTCAGATCAAATGTCACGACTGTAAAGGACGACTGTACAAGGTTCATTATCAAAATTGTGACGTTTCAAACATGGAGTGGCATGCAAAATCGACGGTACATGCAGATAGGGTAGAAACGAGGATTGCTGAATTAGGAGGCGAGGCAAAGCTCACAGATGAGGTGAAGAAGAGGCGACAGGCTCTTGAGTCTGCTAGAAAGACGGCCCCGCAAAGGTTTCGGAAACCATATTCCAGGCCTGTGGCTACATTTCAGCCAGCAGCTCCAAGAAATTCAGCGCCGCAACATCCAGGCTCTATATGGAATGCATCTCTCCTCCGTGAAAGGTCCCACCAACTTCGAACAAGCAGCCAACATAAACAGTCTTCCATTCCAGAGCAAAGCACACCCAACATTCGACAAGATTTTGAATTAGATAGTCCCAGTGGCACGCCACCCAGCCCCTCACTCATCGTCGAAGACTTCAGCCAAAATGAACGATCCTCTTCTAAAATCCAACAACTAGAGTCGCGCGTCCAGAGCTTAGAACTTGAAAACATCGCCCATGAACGCACAATATCCGTGCTACAAAACAAACTCCGCACACAACAACAAGTCAACAATACCCATCAATCTGTTATTAAAGATTTAATCCTGCGAGTCCAGGCTCTGGAGCAGAAAGGATAAACGGCATGAATGGCTTTCCACGAAATGTTATATTCGAGGTTCTCATGCTACAAGCGAGCATTGATTAGAGGCATAGACAATAAATTAAGTGGCCTAGTCTTTTTTTTTTTTGGAGATAGGATGCAAGTTGCACACGTTCAAGTCTCGTATTCAAGATAGGCCTCTGCTTCTGGAGTTCGGGGCTGGGATTTAAATGGATATGAAAATTTGTTAACAACGCAAAGTTTATCACTTTAATGCTGAAACAATCGAAAAACCATAGGCGACCTCGGAATCATCTCAAATGCAGAACGGGGAAAATATGTATTGCTAGTACGGTACATATTGCTAATTTTGCACATATAATTAGATTAGTTGATTTATCACCACCGCTTTATCCATCCATCTAGGGAATGTCCGTATTCTGTTTAGTTTTTCCTGCTATTTCACAAAAATGTTAGATGTATTCTGTTTGAATTCTTCCTGCTCCATCTTCATAGAAGAGAAATTTCGGCATTGTAGGGTACTTGTTGTTTGGAGTCAAAAGATTTTGCGTTTCAAATGATTAAGAAATTTGGTTTACTAGAGTTTATTTTATAAACAGAAAAGACGTATAAATGTTGTAATCTTAGCTTGCACCATCAATTTTGTTCCTGCGGCGAATGAAAAATAAGTAAGGTTACCAAGCGGGGAAATTACTCCAGGATAAGATTTTCGCTTACTCGATCTATTCAAATGCTGATGTTCATGCCCTTAATTAGATAAGTAATAGCTCTCAAATTTGTCGGTGTTTCTTCTAAGTTCTAATCTTTCCAGCATTCTTTCTCAAGCCAGGTAGAGCCCAATTTCTGTCGTTTCTTGGAAATATTATCAACTAGCCATGCATTGATGTAGCTTCGAGGGACCAACGAGTCACAAGAATTAGGCACGCCCGATGTCTGTTGTAGATACCGATGCATCCATGTTGATATGCGTCATTGAAGTTCGTTGTCAAGTACCTCATTGAGAAATCTGTCAGCGCAACGGCAATAATGGCAAAATGTAGATTTGAGCAGGGCTGCCTTCAGTAGTCAACTTCACGGATACATGATTCAAGCAATACCACAAATAGCATCACCAAAATGAGTTAAGTATAAAATTCATAAGCATATCGGTAGTTCTATTGCTTGTGTGTGCTTCATCTCCGAGCTGCCCTGGAGATCACTGCAGCCAGTCTCGACTAGCAGGATCAGTAGACTCAGTGAGTGACCAGAAGGCTAGTCAAACATTTTTTTGTAGATATACACGCGCCGCACTCTTCTGAACGCTCTACACCCTTCTGAACGCTCCTTCCAGAATTAATCATGCTTCTTGAGCCCGAAATATTTTAGCCACTCGGTTCCTATGAAATTATTCTTCTACTATGGCTATTGGCTTACAGAATCATAGTATCTTCTAATTTTCGCTGCCCAACGATTGTCGGCGTCGTTTCCACCTTTGACCCCAAACCTCGACAATTCGGGTGCGAAATCAAACATCCGGGAGGCGGAATACTCGATCGTCTCTTCTTCATAGTCATTTGCATGCCGGATCTGCCTTATATTGCGATCGAAAATTAAATACAGTGAGTTTAGAGCAGGAAGAATGTATTTTGGTTTACCATTCATAGTCTCCTGCCAATCAAAATCGCATGGTATTGCCAAATCTTGTAGGTTTCTACAATGTTGAGCGAGGGAGAGGATGGACTGCCATGTGAGCAAATCTGAGGTATCAAGCGTGATCCTCAACAAAAGGATTCTAGCACCTAGCGCCCGGGCTACTTCATCAATGAGATCATCGCTGAGATCGTCAATCGAAGGACAGCATCTACAACCTGAAGGATAAGGCGCTCTTCTAACATATGATCCAAATTCAAGACTCTCTAATAAAGGACATTTCCGGGCGAGGAGTAAAAGATCATAGCCACTCACCCTACTCTCCACACCAAAAGTGATCTCTAGAAGAGTGAGATTTGGGAAATTTGATGCTAATTCAAGGATATTGTTTGAGCGAGGAAAATTTCGTAAATCGAGGACTAGCTCATACAGATTGGGTACTAGTCCAGGCAAGTCTTCTAATTCTTGATCAGACATGCCCGTATGCAGTTCTTGCAGGCTCGGAAATATAGGGGTAGAAGAGTCCGTGTTGCAAATAGAATAAAACCAATTATCCTGAACATCAGGAATTTTTAGGTAGGTCAGTTCCGGAAGCCTGGCTATGGCTTCGAATGCCTCGTATGACCAACTAGTGTAAGCCCCGGCCCGGATTGCGAGGTAAGTGAGAGCATGAGCTTCGTTACAGAATCGAGTAAGTCCATCTCTAGATATATTACCTGCACTAATTCTGCTGAGCTCGAGAATTTCCAGCCTTGGACAAGATTTTGTGAATTTTTCAAGAAGAGAATCCGAAATACCGCTTCCTTGGTACACTACGAAAGCTTCTATGTTCGGCTGCGCGTAATGAATAATCATATCCCCTGTGTTCCGTTCTGTCGCTTCAACTGATTCGTGAAGGGTAAAGTGTTGCAACTGAGGAAATTGCAGGGAAACAAGTTCCTTATGCCATGAAGCTTCGTCACGACATTCAGCTTCAAATCTCTTGTCGAAGGTCAGGACGTGTATGAAATCGGCGTAGTATTGCGCCCGTGTAACATTCTGAATGACGATTCGGGCAAGGTTTATTATTTTTGGTGTCGCATGTTCTTCATTTTCTTCATGTTCGCAAGCTCCGCAAGCGTACCACAATATCCGACAAGCTTCAAATGAGAATGTTTTTGAGATGAAGAGACACGTGTGTAGAAATCCAGGTGATGAGCTTTCACTTTGAACGATTGTCGCAACTATCTCGGGGAGAAGAAGTGCGTGATGCATGATGGGAAACCGCAGCTTACGGAATTGAGAAGTCAATCAGGGCGATATTGAACGGCCAAGGTTGAATGTGTATCGCACATAAGAAGAAGAGAACATGTATGGCGTGGTAGATGTGAAGAAATACAACACTTTCAAACAGTAATAAGAAGAAAGACGCTGTTAGGCCCAATATGGCAAGTGCGCTGATTGTGGGTCTATATAATCAGGATCGTAGCTCCAATAATAAGACAACCCTCTTCACACCTACAACTATAACCCTTTCAACGCAACCTTAATCCAACTAAGGGGGTGCTTACCTTCAAACTTGGACCCTCCATATTCGTAAGGAGGTAAGAATATAGAAATAAAGACAAGTACTCTTTCATATAACTTTTCATTATATAAATAAAATTATAAATCCTTATTTCAAAAATCATATAATTTACAAAAAAAAAGCTCAAAAATCCTAAACTGCTTTTTTCTGTTTTAATCAATCCAGTGAAAATAAATACAAAACCTATCAATTTTATCAATTAATTGATAATTAGGCAAAATTTCTAAGCCATCCTGCCTATAATTGTGTTTACTATACCGAACCCATCAACTCAAACCACCCATCGACTACGCTGGAATACCCCTTAGGTTACCAACGCCAACCACGGCCACGAAAAATGAGATGCCTAAATCTACATTCCTCCTACCTGATAATAATCATCACCAGCAATTATGATTCAATTAGAAACTGGGAAACCAAATCATGCGATGGCTGTAGTAAAAAAGAATAGAATTATTGATTGGAGATCAAAGACAGAATGTAGAACGATGTTATCAAAGGAGACGGCATGGTGTTACGCTATGTATGATGCTGCAGCTATTTAATCGTGCTCCTTCGGAAGTCTCCTTACTTTCCTCGTGCTTTGTATCATCCGAAACAAACAAATAGGTTGCTGAGGACAAGCTAGAGAGTGAGCAAGAATATCAGATCAGGATAATGTGACAATCCAATGTACTGTTATTCCATATCTTGCCACGATTTATCTCAAAACCGTTGGTTGGGTGCTATTAGTCCTACCAAATATGCAAGTGTTATAGTTCAAATAGCAAGAAGTAACGCATCGTGTGTATCGCTTTATTGAGGCTAGCTCTAATATCATCTCTACACCTTTAATGCGGTCCCTCACCAAAGGTTCACCTCGAGAAGTAGATGTGGCACTTTCGTCGAGTTAGTCGGCATTGTGAAGGTAACATTCCAAAACTCGAAATCATTAATGGTAGTATCCGCACCACCAAAACCTCCTGCGAATGACAGCGTATAGTTCATGTCAACTGTGCCAGAAACTTTCAGATTCAAGCCTTGGATATCCTCAAGGCTTGAAATGGTCCTCTTTGCGGTAAATGGCGAGAGCAGAAAGGTAAATATTGAGGTATCATTTCCTTCCGGATAGGTCAAGTTCAACGAACCCGGACCGGCTTCGGCAATGACATGCATTTCCGTCGCGTAGAGTGTGAGCCATCCAACTCCATCACCGGTATTCCATTGCATAAGAGCGGGATTGAAAGTGTCTTGATTCTTAGCAGGTCCACCTATAACATTTTCATTGAATGTTTCCGCGCCAATGCTAATGTTGTTTGCAAGCCAGGCTGTAATGTTGCGGGGGTAAAGATCAAATGGTGGAGAATACGTTGAAGAAGTGAATGTATGCTCGCCTTTGAAGCTTTCAAGTGCGTCAATCACACTGCTGGGAATTAAGCTGTTGTGAAATTCAGACAAGATTGCGAATAATGGACCATACGCAAAATCGGAATTATGTGACATGATGTACGGCTTGTCGATGATTGATGACTTGTTTTTTCCCACCGCATTCCATATGTGAAGTGCAAGCAAGCTAAGGTACTTCGTCATGTCAAACCCGTACGAACGATCCCAAGGACCTCCAACATTCAGGAGCTGAGGATGCCACAGATTTGATACTGCTTCCCAAGTATACTGAATCATCGAGGCACCTCTTTGTTTCATCACGGAGTCATCAGGCAAATACTTAGCCCATAAAGTCATAGCAAATAAAGAAACTCCAGTGTAAGTGCCGCTGTTAAATTCTGAAAGAGTATTGGCTCGGTCAAACAAGTCAATAATTTGCTGAGCATAGTTCTCTCCGGCGGTTGTCATATTGCCGTCGTTTAGCCGGCGGCCAGTCCACCCAGAAACGAAAGCGCGCATTATTGACTAATATCTCGTTAGTAGAGACTATCGAAGGCTGGATGAAGCACTTACAGGATTGGTATAAGCAGGATATAGATTATCACCGTCCACTCCACCAACACGATAACTGTCGCCTACAGTCGAGTTATACAAAGATTCTAGCATCAGGCTAGTCACTTCTGGCGAAATGAAGCTGCCAAATTCTTCAAGACCAACAATAAAAGCAGTTGCTATGAAACCACGCCAATTCGGATCCCAAGAACCATACATCACCGGTGGGTAGTACGGGCTTCCCAATTCTGGTTCTTCTGGTTCTTGCTGATAATCCCCATACCTATAGTTGTCAGCTGTTGGCTCATGCAATCTGGGAATGGCTAAACTCACCACTGAGCTTTAGGATCCTTGAACTGGCCATTGATGACGTTTACAATTATGCTCTCGGCTTCGACTACATCCGAGCCTTCATTTCTTGCCAGAAGTCCAATGGCATACCATGCTGAACTTCTAGTATTGTGTCTCAACGCCGCAGCACCGCCTGTTTCATAGAGATAACCAGCTGAGTTGTCATAGGCCCTATCCAGGTAGTCCATAGACTCATTGAAGAGTCCCTGGGCATTGTAGGGTAAATTAGCAACAAAGGAGTCAGCCCGAGCAGTCGCACCGACGATGAAAAATAGTGCAGCAACCTTCAGAAGACCCATCTCGAAAAGATAATTATTACTACTGATATTGGACGGGGAAAGTCCTTTGCATATAAATCTTGAATATATCCCTGCCATCAAAAAGAAACGTAAATACTCCGTACAAGGATGGCATGAAGCCTGATGACTGCGGGGTAAAATGGGCCCGCCGGAAACTTCGCATCATCAATAGCGAAGTCAAGATCCCATTCAGGTCGTAACTCCGAGATAGTGGATTGGGTCTGTCGGCTAATGATTTATACACGAGTACCGTGGTCTAAACTGCGGTTAATTGAGTAACGTTGCACTTTTCGTATCTGGGCGCAGCACAATCTGGAGATTTTAATGGAGTAAGGTGTTAAGATTCTCCACAGTTGATAACCGAAGCTTAGCTTTGCTATGTAGAGGATAGATGACGAAGCTAAAAAATAACACAGAGCGGTATGATGGAGTAATCTTTAATAAGTGATAGTAAATGATAGTGGAGGGGCTGATAACAGCCCACTTTTCAAGAATTATCTGAGCATTGATCTCGTATTTTGCGGACAAAATGGGGCGTATTAGTGAATCTAACCTAGCTGCAGAGTGCATCTTCCTCTCACTCATATACATTGCTTGAAAAGATAGATAGCTGACACAATGCCATTGACGAAACTCGATACTTCGTGTCCAAGGCTCTCAAGATAGAGGAATTTCGCATCACAATCTTCAATATGGTGCAGATCCATTGTGACAACCTATCCTGTTAGAATGATAGGTTGCAAAGTAAGTAGCTTCACATATTCTAATTGAGCTGAGATTCTGAGTGCCTTGATATGTATATTTCGTTGTCGTTTGTCTGAGATTGTTCCTGGTTTTACCTTATCTTTGGATGAGTAATCGACGCACCGGCAAGTCTTTCGGCTAAGCCTATTTAGATTAGATCATGTATTAGCCCAGGATATGAATCATCTTAGTGAGATATTACTGAAAATATTTCGTAGTATTGATGGAGTTTCTTGATGTTGTCAATCATCATGCTAAATTCCCAGACGAAGGAACAACTTCACAACTGCTACAAGCTTAAGTAGAAGTAGGTAATTAGGCATTGATAAGTCGCACCTGTTTTTATTCATATTGAGTCCGGTACCTTTTAGTGCCTGACTAACGGTAGCCGGGCTGTGACAGCTAGTGCTGTTACGTCCCCATTTATAAGTCAGGAAAACGAGGAGGCACTTGACTGGATCACCACGGATCATCATTAGTAATTTGCTTCAATCCATGGAGGATAAAGGTATACATAGCTGGGAGGGCTCCCTTATAGATCTTCATGCTCAAGATACGTTCTTTAGTATTACCAATTCTTAGGTACCATGCGATAAGATAGCGCTATTGTTATCCTTGGACCGATTCCCTGCTTAACCCTTAATAAAACCTACCACAGCTTTTCTAATAGTCCTAGTACATCCACAGAATACTAAATTGTAGCGGCGTAATATCCCGATGGAAAAATACTTGAAATTAATCTCTGAGAGAAATGTGGCAAGGATATCTAGGAGGTTGTGCAGGGCAGGCAAATGTTGTATGTAGGCTGCGACCCTTCCGACTTCCAAGTATATTGGGACAAGCCTTCGGAGACAGTCAAAGAGCTCTGCAAGAAACGGAAATTAGATTTCGAGGATATGTCTTTGATGGAAAAGCAAACGAACAAACTCAGGGCACACATCGTACCAGGCACTCTCATCGATCTTGGATTGCATAGTATACAATGAATGGAAAGTTTCGAAAGGTTGCAAAATACAATTTCTTCATATCAAATGTGCTACTGGCTCCAGGAAGTCTTTCTTCTTCTATTATTGCTAGGAGCAGCTTCAAAAGACAGCAGTATCAAGTCAATCATCAAATACGGCTCAGGGTCCTACCGAATCGAGGAAAACCACCGAAAGTCAAATCCGTTGCACAGTTTTTTTTTTCGAGTCCGGAAAAACGGCGTCCCATCTATTTGGGAACGTTCTAGCCTCGATAATGGCTCGAATTCCTGAGCTGGATGACCTATTCGCAGGGCTCATCCTCAGAAGTTAGACAAGAAGCCGCAGAAATTGAAACAGACTCCAGGCAAAGTAGAAAAGTATCTTTGGGATGAAATGATTGTTGAGAACTTCGCGCAAAATCTAGAACCACGGCAACATCTGTACAATCTGCTCGATGGAGCTTAGAATATCAGTGCGAAGATGTAGACGCACAGGGAATACTTGCATTTCGTCGGTGGCTCGACTACGTATCCAGATAATGATGACCGGCATCCCAGAAACTGATACTAGATCACCAGCAACTCGTACTATAAATGTAACTTCACAGGCTCAAGCTGAATTTGAAAATCAAAATCCATACCATATCGATCTGGACGGCGCAGACGAGCGAGCAACAAAAGGAAAACCTGAAAAGGGACCTCATAAATACTTATCACTGACTGCCGAATTAAAGATCTCAAAATTCTTATAGGTTTCAATGAGAAGTTCGAGGTGAATATCGAAAATAACCTCACCCGAGCTTTCAATTCCTTCCACCACAAGTCGCTAATCTTTAGCAAGTTTATACTTGCTTTAGCTATGAATTCATATGACGTATTTTCTCGCTTAAGCTGATTAGGGGTGATTGCTGGAAGACAAAGCAGTCAGATTCTCAACACTCAAAGAAAGGCCGTATACCTTTTTTCCCTGATAGTTATTACGGCTAGAAATTCTGAAACCCACCATCACGAACTTCTTTCTCCAAAATCTAAGGGTGATAATTGGTCCAATTGATGTGTCTTTATGAAGACATCGATATGTTATGACATCGTCACTATGGGAGAGTCAAAACGTTAGGGCGAAGAGGGTTAAGTCGTATGATTGATGAGGCTAGTTGTAGGGACACTAAATTCTAGGAGAGTTGAATATTTCGAAAGCGGTATTGGAAATGTTGAAATTGTTATTAGGTAGGGAGGAGCTCGATTGGTGAACAGATTGAGAGATTTCCAGGGATGTTTATGCACATATATGGCTGCTCCTTGTGGTTGTTTCAATCAAAAAATCAGAGTTCCAGTTAGAAATTGGGTGTATAATAGTGGAAAGCCATGGGAAGTAATTCCGGGACTTGATAATCTCAATTCACAAGGAAGAAATTTAAAGACGGCCTGTGAAATGTATAGCCCTTACCATGTTTTCCTGCTGCGGCCGACACGGCCGACGCGGCCGCCCAAGCACATCTTCTCAGCATATCACGTGCTTGAATTCCCATCGCGGATTGTGTTTTAAGATAACTTTGTAGTTATTAACGTGGAGTTTCGTACCTGTTATAAAAATATGCTGAAAAATATATAACCCATTTTCCAGTTTTGGACGAACATATTTATGGCCTGAAGAAGAGTGAAGTGGCAGGGTGTAAGTTTCCGGCCTCGGTAGAACTAAGAACTCGTGCATATTGATATCCATGTTTCATGATGCCAATTTTCGCATCAAACATCGTCACCCCCATATGTGTCTTTGCACCACCACCATCATTAATCAATTATATACATTCAATATCTGACGGATTTCACTACCATCGGCCTCATTTATACGGGAGGGGCATCCCAATCAAGGCCGACCTCTGCGAATTTCCATTCAGCTGATTCGTTCCCATATCGTAAGACCACTGCAGTACAGAGCGAGGATTTTCGGAAACCAACATGTAATATGATACCTACCACCACACGCCAGAACAAATCCGCCACCAGGAAATTTTTGGTTCCTCCTGTAAAGGTGGCATGTTTAGAATGGTAACGTGATTCTTATCAAGATTCTGAGAAGATGTTTACCAACATAATGCAGTCGTGGTGCACGTACTCGATGCAATGGTAAAGAACCATGTGCAAATGTAAGTGATTCTTGGGGACATAGGAAATACAATACTCATTTCCATTAGTGCGCCAGTCGTGGTTGTGATTGCGTCTATACGGCGAGTAAGAGAGGTGGTGCAAGAAGACGCAAGAAACATGCCGGTAGTGAAGGGCGTATAGAGCAATCACCACCAAATGAGCTCCGTATGTTAGCAAGCCATTTCCAAAGTATTATGCTAATGTGACATCAGTTACTGGTCCAGCTCCAGTAGTTTCATTGGCCACCCCTGGTGCTGGTCTTCATCAAAAAGATGAGCAACTGGACTTTGATATGGATTTTGACTTTGATCCAAATTTTCTGGGTAATTCTGAGCCTCTGACTATAAACAATGGTTCCTTACCACAGCCCATATTCGAAGATACCTCTGAAAATGAAGTTGAAACCCCTGTATTAAGAACTTACGCGAACGATGAGGACATGTAAGTTCATGCCAGCCTAGGTGGTTACGTCGATATATTACTAACTGAATTTTGACGCGATAGCTTGAGCGCATATTATGTTTACATTCATCCGTATTTTCCTGTTCTTCCACCTCCTTTTTTGCATCAGGCTATTGATAATTTCGAAACCGGAGTGCGAGGAACAAACGACATTTTATTTCATAGCAAGAGCAATCCACAGTTCCAGTCTGCTTCCCCGATGACTCTTGCAATCTCCACACTCCTTGCACTAATCCCACATCCCGATGATCCGAACCCCACATCCCCCGAATCTATTCTACTACGTCGAAATCAAGCACAAGTCTTCGCCCAGTTGGCCATTGATGGTGTTGAGCTTGAGAATGAGATGATAGAGTCTATATTGGATCCTGGAGAGGCTCTAAGCACACAAGATATGCACATATATCGTACACAAATTCACCCTCAAGTGAGGTTGGAAGTAGAAAGTACAGTCGCCTTGCTATTGCTCTGTACTTATGAGTACTCTGAACGAGGAAATATTTCAAAGATGCGAAAAAGATGCGGGCAAGCTTTGATATCTGCTATGGACTTAGGATTGCATTCAAAAAATGAAGAGGTTTATGATTATGCAGAATCAGACAGACGAATATGGTGGATGACGGTATGATTCTGACTTATAATCTATGTTTATCTTCAGCTATAGCTTCTAATGCTAACTTGTCGGGAAGTATGTCTGCGTCTGTCAAGGTTCCATCCTTAGTTGCATGGTACGTATTAGTCTGAAATTTTTTGTTATTCCATGTTTTGACCAAGTTAAACAGGCACCCTCCATTCTTCTTTCCGATCCAAGATTTACGACGCCACTTCCTGCTTTTGCGTCTGATCCGGATGTAAGTGCAAATGCACAATTCCACTAGATTTATAGCAAACTAAGAGCATCAAATCTAGGTTTGGAGCGTTTTTCTCGAAGCACAAAGAGTCATTGCCACAGCAACGCAATTTGTGATTGATCTTGAAGCATCCTTAAAATTGGAATCTCACAATCTGACACTTTGGGCGCAAATGGCAGAATTAGAAAAGACCATTGAGCCTCTGGTTCAAGAGGCAGAAAAGTGGTCCTGTCCAAACGCAGATGGGATGGATCTCTCCGAAAGAGTCGTCGCGAAAAGCCTGCGGATGATGACGCGCATCAAGCTGAATAGGTACGTCCTTAGATTCTCTTCAGTACCATAACCATTGACAATTGTGGAAGTGCGAGAATCAAGATCCATCGATATTGCGCATTCTCTGACATGCCAGTTTTCACAAAGAAGCATTGTGACTTATCTTCCAACCCTACCGCTGGATATAACTCGCCCCCTTCTACCTGTGGTTGCAGCAACAACCTACAGCAGGCCACGGCCAGTTTATCATTAAGCCACGGTATCCTTAATTCGCCCATACCAGATAACGCTTCTGTTTTTGACTCTCCAATCTTGCCATTCAGCAGTCGGTTTTCTTCAAAAGTATGCATGCAGTCCGCATTTAATATTGCCCAATCATTCCACGCTTTGCCATTTCCACAACCTTTTGATCCGAGGAATCCTTCTTATCAGGCTGAGACTAAGAAATTGAACAATCCTCCTCGCATGATGCCCATATTTGCATGTTGTGCTATGCAGAGTAGCTACGCTATGATTATGCTTTGTCACAAGACTCTTGCAATCAAGCAAGCCAGCCCCTTTGAAGATGGACTTAGGAAGCGAACCGACAAATTATTGCTTCAGCTGCACGAGGGTGTGAAGATGATTTTAGATGCCTTGGAGAATTATTCAATGGCAAATGAGGCTTTGACGGGAATGCGAGGTAAATTCATAAGTTATGAAAATTCTGAAAATATGCTGACGAGAAATATCTTAAAGACCAAATACGTATGGCCGTGGAATCTGTCGCGGCTACCCAAGAACAATTCTCGAACTTGCTATCAGTGGGCGCTTAACATACATATACTTGAAGCTTAGGGATGAACACAAGTTAGGCTTGTGCCTGTTGAATTTCGAACGTTGGCAATTTTTAATTATTGTACCCGGTCTGCACATACAATTCATTGAGAGATTTGTGCCCCCAGGTTGAAAGGTTGCAGGCTATGAATGATTTACGCTCGACCATATATCAAATTACTATCTATACTAGGAAAATTGTCAAAAATGAAGGACTTTGGCTGTTTTAACGGAAATCTGCTATAACGCGATATGTATGTGACAGCACGTGATATAAGATTATAGGTTACTTGGTGGCATTAGTAATTTATCCGGGTTGGAAAAGCAAGTATGTGCATGTTTGGGGCGGCAACATGCATGTTCTTCTTTCACCGAGTACGATATTATGTCGAATGATTTGGATATTGCGTGAGTGGCTGCATTCTGTCTACAGAACATGTTCGTGTGGCTTGTAATCGCTTTTGGTGGAAAAACATGTATTATATTACATGTATTGCTAGGCAACACGGATGGGTAACATTTAAAGTATAATTGCTTGCTTTTATTTGCAACTGATCGAGTCTCATGGGCCCAGATCGGATTTCTTGATATAGATCACCTTAAATAGGCTGGAGATAATCGATTCCATTATTTGGTGACAGCCAATTTTGATGCACTCTGAGAGGTGGAAGGGGGATGGCGTTTCTCCTCCAGTCAACTCTTTACAAAACATGAGCACTTCTGTGTTCCTTTAGTTAAACCTTGCGAAGTCAAACGGATCGTTCGTAGCATTTTGATCATTTTTTCCGTCAGCTACTTATTTTTGACCAGTGCATTAGGCTTGCTTTTCGTTTTTCTTGTTACCCTTTCCAGAGTTTGAACACGGAAGCAATCAGGCAATCAAAGCATAATAGTAAGAACTGCTTAAAAGCATATAACAAGTACTGTGCATCGCATCCGCCCTTTACGCACAGCAAATGCACACAAAAGGAGTCACTTTAGAAATTACAAGCATCTTCCAACCTCACTCAAGAAATGCACCACCTCTGTCTTCACCCAATGAAGATGTCGATAGACCCCAGATAGCTCTTCGGCAAGTTGCATTAACTTCTCTCTTGAACCTCTGTAGGGAGGTTTCATTTTTTGACATTCGAACTTGATACAGCCTAGTCAGCCGCAAAGGGAAGACGGCGAGGTGTATCAGTGATGAATAAGCATTTGACTTCAACATGAGTAAGACTCACCTAGGTTCGACTTTTCCTAGAGTTTAATCAACAATCAAATTATGTGGAGAAGTTGAACACAATAACTCTGAGACAATTATTGAGCAGTCAACACAGTTCCTCAAGTGAATCCGCAAGGATGTCAGAAATTCTGTTATTTTATAGAACTATTCAACAACATTCAGTCCCTACTTTTGAACAGTGACAAGCTATGGACAGACGGCATAATAAGGATTAAATTGCATACGAAAGCCACTTCCACGGAAAGCTTGCCCTTATATCCCTATATTCACACTACAACGCCGACTCGACAATACTAAATCAACAGCGACAGGATTGCACCAACACTTGTAGGAACAATAGACTTAAAGCAGACTGAACCTGACCGTGCAAATCAAACCCCTATATCTTCAAGCACATTCCGAATTCCAATGGGAGTTACAAACCCTCACGATGAGAGATCCTAGGTCAGGCACTACTAACCTACCTTTCTACCGAACGAGGTAAATAAGTAGGATACTCTGCGATTAAGTACAATTACCCAATTCTTCACGATTCTCGATCATTATGGGCACCATATATGAAAATGTTAACATTAAAAAAGCTACTCTGGTTACCCAATGAATCCTCTACTACTCAACTCAACCCTAACCAAAACCAGTAATCTTTTAGCAGCTCAACTTTCCCTCCCAAGTCTACCCGTCATATATATCCCTGTGCACAGTTTTCCTCGTCCCACTTCCCCAAAAATAGGGCAATCCCATCCATATTCCCAACCCGTTACCATTACCATTACCCATCACAATAATAAATCCTCCATAAACCCATCCCCGTCATCCGCAGCACAAAACAACCACGTGCAACCACCCCTTATATCCGTCCGGGTCACTCATCCGATTCCCAGATAAATAATCCATCCATACTATTAACTATTAATATTCCATAAAACAAGACTAGATACATGCTTACAAACATGTACACAGATTACCAGAAACCGCTTAATAACACACTGAGCATTTTAGCGAGATGACTCGAATCCTTCGTGTAAGCTTTATGGTGACTAATCAATCGGCATCCTATCGGTTGAAATGTCAGCGATGTTACGGAGTACTAAGATGCCGGGCATAACCTTAAATCCTTGAAGGATTTGTAAAATCGTTAAGAGAGTGGATTTGGATTTGGATTAGTATGAGTGTATGGGGTGTTCCTTCTCGTACTGAGGATTTATGATCCTTGCTTTTCGGGGTGGAATAAGGTTACATGGGATAGCGTGGATTGAGATGGGGACGGGTAGGTTTCTATAGTTGGGGACGGGCGGATTTAGGTAGGGGTTTTGTGATGTGTGGTGGATGTGGTGATATTGTTGTTCTGAGGTTATTGGGTTATGGGAACTTGGAACACGTTTGTGTAAGCCTTTGATTGTTGAAGATATATATATATATGAGATGTTTGTTTAGATTTCAATATCATCATCATCCGATATTCTCTTCACATTCCATCGCTTCTTCCATACTCTTGTTGAATTCAGTCTTTACTGTTTTTATTTATTCCACCATTTCCCATATTGAAACTAAAGTGAAATCTCCAAAGCAATGTCTTCCAAATTCACTATCCCTCAACTCCTTGTCCTCCTCCCCTTCCTCAGCCTCGCCATCGCTGCACCAGCTCAAAAGTCAACTCCAAGTAATGGCCTTATGGCGAGTAATCTAAAGCCCACCTGTGCTCCAGGCGGAAACATCGATCTCTCAAAATGGACTCTCCAACTACCGATTGGCACAACAGGTCATCCCGATTCCATCAGCGGTTCCAAGCTCGCAGGGTGCAATGGCTACACCCAAAAAGATTATTTCTACACCAACACCGATGGATCCGTCGTGATGAAAGTTCCAGGCGGAGTATCCACCGGCTGTGTCACCACGGCCAACTCCAAGCACTGCCGCACCGAGCTCCGCGAAGCCAGCCCCAGTTCCTGGGATCCTAGCTCTTCCAGCAATAAACTGAGTGCTACTCTCCAAGTAATTACCGCTGATGATTCGACGCACGGCACTGTCATTGGACAAATTCATATCGACGATAGTGTATCTTCCAAACCCGTGTGCGAGCTTTTTTATAATTCTAAGGGGGTGATTTCAATGGGTGTAGAACAAACTAGAGCTGGTGGTAATGAAATTGTTACACAAGTGGGGAGTGTGGCTGTGGGATCTAAGTTCTCGTATGAGATTGCTTATGAGGGGGGAAAATTGAGTGTGGCTATTAATGGGGGGACGGCGAAGGTTTTGGATACTTATCAGTTGAGTAGTCCGAAGAGTTATTTTAAGGCTGGGAATTACAATCAAGGGGATAGCAAGTCTGAGGTGCATTTCTTTGCTATTGATGCTCAGCATTAAGGGGTTGCTGGGAGATAGTGATGGTTGAGGTGGAATGGTCAAAACTGTAAGTTAGAAAGGGTTGAGGACGATGGATGGTTTGTGCTTGATAATTTGGTTTTTGGTTTGAGTTGTTGATTTTCTGTTGGTACTTTCCATTTCAAGACTTTCTTTTTTGATTTTGTATTATAAACAGACTATGGACGTGGTAGTGCGTTCAACTCCCGAAGAATGACGAATATATATTTTCCGGGTCTACATTTGTCTCTAGACATACCTGACCAAACTTTTCAGTCTATTCCTTCGACATAGGCGCGGAATAAGTCTCTCTATATCAGTTCCTTGCGGCAACGAAAAGGATCTAACTGCATCCTTTCAGTCCCACTGAGCTGTATGATCATGAGCACTTCATGACCACAGTCAACTATATATGATTCCCGGGGACGACTAGTCCGAAATAATTCGCAAGTATATCTGGACCACTCGAGCCAGGTGCTTACCGCAGTGTTTAGTCTGACTTGGTCTGAAAACATGATCTCATCATTCGACCTTATCAAGGCATCCAGGAATAAATATCATTTGCACATGCCCTCCACCTTCTCAAGATGAAGCTACGATATCGATAGAAATGGATAGCTGCGAAACGTTCCAGCAAGAACAAAATCCACATCTTCTTTATCGAGTAACGCAAATGCACGATATATGAAGCTCGGTTGTAGGATTCATATTGGTTTATGAATGATGCGCTATATATCTAAGCCTAAAGCAGAAAATCAAAGGTAAAAATCGGAGGGTAAACTGACCAGCCACATACGCAATAGCCAGCCACACACAGCCACACTAAAACAACCACTCAAAAATCCTCCGCCCCACCTCTAATAGCATATCAGTAATTATATATCCTAACCCACAGCCCATTTCTAACAAACAGAGCAAACTGTGACCATTCGAGTCTACTCGAACCACTCTCGGTCGTCTAGTTGGTTTATGACGTCAGACTGTAATTGTACATTGTGATCTGGATGTCGCGTGTTCGACTCACGCCTGAGAGACTATACATTTTTGCTCCTATTTTTGCTTTTCCTGCCCTCCATTTGATACATACAAAACCTTTTTGAACAGAAGAAAGGATTGTTTCAGGGGGCGTTCCTCTTTCGATATAGGAGAGCATAAAAGATTAAAAAGAAGCGGGGTAGTGAGTGGGGTGATGGATAAATACGGAGCACGGAGGGGCGCCCACGCTGTATTGCTGGCTTAAAAGTGTTTTTCAACCCTGTAATTTCGTTCATTGTATGCTAATGCTTAGAGGGCTCTTTTACCTTTGGGTGGTCGGGGGGTAAAATTATAGGCCTTTCACAGCGCTATTACCCTGTAAAACCCTACAACCTCATCCATATATTGTACGACATCCGTAATAGAATGTGATGTTTACAATGTTAGTTTAAGCAACCCTATAGAATCAATAAAACACTTCCATACACGGGGTATGCAATTTCAATTGGAATTGCAATCGTCTTCAATCCTGGTAAAGCCCAATGGATGGAAAAGGGTTATGGTTTGAGAATTGTAATAAGACTTTGTGCATTACCTTGCTCGAGATCAGGACGGTAGATTTCTAAAAACTGTAATATACTCCGCAATCCTGTAGATGACAAGGGGCTCGAGTATGTTTCGGACACTCTTGCGAAAGGCAGCTGACCTGGCTTCATCCTTTGTATCTCGTCTTTAGCTGCCAATCATATATGCTCTGCACCTCAGAATTGCGCAGTGCTCCGGATTTTCTCTACCATTCCTTCCTTGCCTCTGCTAGTCTTTTCTCTTCTTTCCCCCTCCTATCCTTCTCGTATTCCCAACTTCGAAGCTTTGCTTTCTATCCTTCCTTTATATTAGGAAGGGTGAGAAAGAAAGGTGTTGATGAGGAGACAGACTCAACCCGGATATCTTAAGGCTACACAGTGTCTGCGGATGCGGATTATAATGGACAAGAAACAAAATGGATTATTCCGAATCCCAATAACTCTCCCATCATCATGACTGACAACTAATCCGATCAATTTAGATACTCTGATGAAAAAAGCATACTGAAACTCCGCTATGTTTTTGAAACACTTATATTCACACTGTACAACCGTTCTGTGAATAAGCGTCAACATCCTGAAACACATATCATATCGCTGATACAGACTTTCGCGATATACGCAATTCTCATAAGTTTCCTAGTAAATAGAACCTTCTGTATTGAATACCTAGACGATTTCAATATAACATTGATAGCGAGACGGGGATAAAATTCGATCGAGGGATATTCTTGAACTATATCCAAATTATTCTCGATCAATGATAACCAGAGAAAAGTAGAAGGTTTCCGGACAGAATTTTGGAGGATAGGTAGGCTTGAAGGACCTCTTTCGGTTTCAGGTGTTAAGAGAGTAAACTTTTGCGATTCGGCTTCGCAGATTATATCCTTGATATCATTTTTGACTTTCTCTAGGTTTTCGTCATCGTCCTCCAACAATTCTTTGTTGCACTGAGATGGTGACGATATTATGAAATCGTCGGGAAAGGTAGCAATAGGACTGGAAAATAAAAGTTTGCCATTACACACCATAATAAAGTCGTAGCGATATCCATCTTCTCCGTCAACTTTTTGGGTAAGGAAGCTAGGATCCTTCTTCCACCAAGCTCTATCCTCATTCACCTGGCGATTCTCCTTTGTGAGAAACACCCTTCACCCCCTTCCTGACCTTTTCACTATTGCCAGTATCTGCAGCCATGGCATTATCCTCTTCATCCTCCATTCCCATACTTTACACTCTTGAACTTTTGCCAGTCCTCGTTGGTAGTCGACGTCGTGGCATAAAGGTGACAGACCGAGGATATTTTGGAGATATGTTTGTGATTATAGTGTCTTTGAAAGATGGTATGTAGTTGACAGGAAGAAAGACAATTGAATATGCTCGTTTGTCCATGTATTTCTAAAACGGAAGGTGCGCACGACGTTGAAAATCAACGAGGACCAGAATTGAATATTATAAATGTGAAATAATCAGAACAAAACAATAATTAAAATGTATTTTATACATAAAATATATTATACAAAATTAAAAAATAAAACTATAATAATAATTTATTATAATTAAAAATACTTTTTAATATAAATATTATAAAGAGTTAATATATAATAAATTATTAAAAGATTAATATTATCACTTTTATAAAGTTTTTATCATTAACTTTAAAAATATTCCAATTATTTAATCTTCAAATATTAAAATCCTATTTACAATAGACCAAAACAGGGTTCTATAAAGTTTCCTACCCCACTCTTTCTATTTAAGCGAGAAAAAACCAGAACCGAGCACGATTAAACCCACAACAAGCTGACAAAATTTTTAGAGTATATATATCTACTTTGCTAGATAACAGATATCTCAAAGGGCTTGTGGTTTAGTGGTATAATGTTCCCTTAGCATGGGAGAGGTCCGGCGTTCGATTCGCCGCTAGTCCAAATTAGAAATAGATTCTTCTATTCGTTTTTGATGTTTTTTTAATTAAGATTTTTGAATAAAAAGTTATATTTTGATTTCTTTTGAGATTTAAAATAATAATCTATTACGGATTTTTATAATTATCCTTCGAACTTTTAAAAAAAAATTTATTTAATATTAAAATAATATTTTTTTTTTTTTTTAAATATCAATTTTAAAAACATTTAAAGTTTAAACTTTTTAAAGAGATAACATAGTGTATTTTTAATTTATTAATTGTTTGTATTTATTTTTCATTTTTTTAATAATGATCTTTAATAACCTATAGTGGAAACTAAATTTCTAATTAAGGTAATTTGACCAGTTGGTTATTCAGCGATGATGGGCATAAGATGGTCTTTCCTTTTTCGATAGACTTCCCTATACAGCAGGCAGTCTTGCCAATATCTTTTTCTTTTCATCATTTAATTTGTGAGAAACCTACTTAATCATAACCACTGTAGTGTCTTTCTCTTTTCCGTGTCACTTTAAGACTTCTCCAAATTCCCCACACACTCCTCGTTTTATTTTCATCACCAATCTTTCTGATCGTCTTTCTTTGATTCTAATCTTCTTGCTTTGATTCTAATCTTCTTGCTTTCTTCCTTAATCTCTTCTCTTTTGTTTTTACCCTCCTGTCTTTCTTTTCTAATCTGTTCCAATTGCCTTGCAATTTCCTCCTTATCTCTTTTAATCCCCTCGAGCTCTGTTTCAAACCTTTCTCTTTCCCTTCGATATCTTTTTCATTCCACTCAATAGCTTCATCATCTTCAGAGGTACTAAAAGTCTCCCCACCATCTGAATGAGTATAAACAACTTGAGAACTGGCTAATGAAGCAAGAGGTCTTACAGGTCCTGGAGGCCTATCGTCCGTCATCGTCTCCCTGTTTGGTGTTCATTCCTTTGCATGTATTGCCTTCCTTACTGCCAGATATGTATCCTCGATTTTGGTCTTTTCCCATGTCTCAATTTCGGTCGCTCGCGCATAATTCGCCAAAAGAAAATTCCACCGTGAGTAACATGCTACCTTCCAATATCCCGTTCTTTCTAACTGAGGAAGTCCAGCCTGTTTTGTCTCCGAAATAATTGTGATGTATTCGATGGCGCTCCTATGATAGTTTCCCAGTTGCCGCAGTTAGTAGTTGATGAATGTTTTATTATCAGGAGTCTGCCTCGATGAAGGGGCATCTATACCCCTCCTATCTTCCAGCCTATAATGATTATAATTTAATAATTAGCAGGAACTTCTACCCCTAGCCATCTGGCCTAGATGTTTACTTGAATTCGACGAAGTCAGCCTCATCGGACTTTTGGCCATTTTGAGCGAAGGTTGACTCTCATAAAGTAATCCCTATTTGACTAGCTTGCAAGGAATTCTAGGCGTTATCTCTGCTCGTTCGAGGGTTAATAATCTCTGGAAGATTCACTTTCGGGTAGTCAGGGTTTAGAATTTGTGAAAAGCTCATCTTCCTGATGTCAGGGTTTAGAATTTCTGAAAGATTCATTTTGTTGGCAACGTGGATGGATAAGTGTCGGACTTAACTTAAGCATTATCGTGTTACAAGTACAATCTCTGAGGTGGGTTGAAGCTTGCTAAAGTGATTTGAGTATGTTCGCTATGAGGATAGCTTTTGAACTTATCGATTAGAGCTAATTTTTCTATTGTATGGGGAGGGTATGTATAAATGATGTAGAATCAATGCTTTTACTATTGTAACGATGGCTAAATCATACAGAAAAACGGGAAAGGTTTCCGAGAGATTTTTGAAGTGAAAGGTAAACAAACATCTATGGTGGTTATGGCCATAAATGGGAGGAAAGAGGCTCAAGAGTCAAAACACTGAGCATGCCTCCTATCTCAGAATTGGCTGATTATTGCCAACATCAACACCTGTCAACACGGCTTTGTTTGATCAGACTCGACATCATACTCCTCCATGCCAACTTTTGCTCCTAATGAGCTGCCGGACAGTCACCCATTTTACTTATTTTTTGTTGCATATCTATAAGATTTAGAATATTATCGCTTTGTCAATGATTCTGCTATGTTCCCGTTGCATGTCTTTAATCTAGAAGCTCTTCCGAACTCCCCTATCTACATAGTCAAATGAAAAGCGTTCAGTTCCATTCCGCTGAAGTGAATCTTCACCTATCTTATACACATGTTCACGATTCAATGACATCGCATCCTATCCTATCCCACTCCGTTCCGTTCTATTTCCTTCTCCGTCCTTCAAAATGTCTAGACCTCTTTCACCGTTCCCTTCTTAGAAGTTTCACAAGATGAGAGGGATGAATAGAATCCATACACTCCGCAACAAACGATCGCTCGCACATGAATGAAAGTTCTTACTTGTACAAATATTCACTTTAGCAACCCTCACTCCAGCTTCACTTCAAACTTGCTTCATTCCTTCACCCAGCTTCCCAATCACATCGTTTCCTCCCAATCCTAAAAGTTTTGTTGCATATCTACAAAAAGTCGATCTTGTGATACCTGCTTCAAAGGCCTCTCACACCAAAATGAAAAGCTTCGTATTCTAAACTCGGTTTTTGGACTTGAGGAGGAGAATATAAATTGAAATACTTTTCTACTTTCTTTGGAGTGGAAGATATGTTCTTTCTTCTGGACTTCACTGCATCAACTTCACCTTCAACACACCTCGCTTTATAGATTACCTTGATAAGTTCGTCCATCCAATCAGCCACCCCTATCCCGCCCAGAAAGTTTTGTTGCATATCTAGAAATATACGATATCCGGCCGGATATCTGGGTATCTTCAAATAGTCTTTCCCATCAAAGGAAGTAAGTAGCTTTATCTCCAATATATGATTCTGTATTTCTTTCTATTCAATGTGATAAGAAAAGAATTAAATTGAATTGTAAGGCTTCCATTCAAAAAATACTATCTGGGTACCAAGACATTCTCCTCTCAACTCCTGTCCCTCCACTCTCCCATTACCAACCATATAACACCTTGGTAAATCTATCTCACAATGTAAAAGTAAGCAGATATAAATAAACAAAACCTCATAAAAAGTTTCCCGACCTTCCCATTCCACATCTCTGTTTAAGTCCAATGCTGTGATCCGCCATAGCCTCAGTGATATATACGGATCTTTTTCGAACTCATGAGTTGGTGCATATATTTGAGGGCTGAGATATGGGTTTAGGGGTTCGATTGAGAGGATGTCAAAGTGTTTAATATGTAGTATTTTCCGAGGGGATTCGAAATGAGATCTTCCAAGGTTTATCAAGGCTGCGGGTGCTTGCTTGTATAGCAGTAGTGCATAGATTTGATAGTATTTTTTTGAGATATCATATGCATACTAGAACAAGGCTGCAAGTGACTTCTAGATTGATTCTCTTGAGGATGTACGGAGTAGGTATGCATAGGAGAAAGAGTAAACAAGGGTTCCCTTCTGATCACCTCAATAATTAACATCAATGAAATATCGACCTTGTAAGAGATCAATACCAAATAAGGATCAAAGAAAACTTCGACGTTATATTAATTATAAAATAGGTAAAAACATCTTTCTCAATAGAATTTGAAGAGCATAATTGAACTGTTGAAGATGTTTCAAAGTCCAGCCTTGTTTTTTCTTCGTCGAATGGTTCAAGGTTGATTGGCTGATTGCACTCTCCTTGGGACTATAAGACTGAAACCTTACCTCGGAAACTAAATCGACCGACCTGTAAGGTGACTAAGCAGAAAGGCTTTACATCTAAGCCAATGGATAACAAACAACCTAATCATTTTTCTGCAAGGCTGCATGCAATCAATCGTTGAAGATATTGTAGTCAGAAGATAATTTGTGCCTTCGCAAATAAAGTCATTCGTTCCCTTCCTTCCTTCCTTCTTTTCTTTTCTTTCTGTTCTTTCTGTTCTTTCTTTTCTTTCTTTTCTTTCTTTTCTTCCCATGAAATTTTACCCCTCTTCTACAAAATTATCGGTTTGTGCTTGACCATGGAACTGCAACTTTCGAGAACCAACCTGCATCCTAATGGATTTGTCAAATACTGATCGCGCGGTTGAACCAAATGCTCCAAAAGTAACACGACAAAGGCGTTTAAAGCGCAAAAGTCTTGCAGAATCTCCATTACGACCGCCGAGTCCTTCTGAGAAGAGGTTAAAGCAAAAAGAGAATACCCCGCCCTTATATAACATAAAGGGCATATTAAGTGAACGAAAAACTGGTAAAACTACCGAATTCCTAATCGATTGGGAAGACGACCCGGAAACAGGGGAAGCTTATGAACCAAGTTGGGTATGAGAATCTTATCGCAATATATGCCAGAGTGCTTGAGACTGATGATGAGAAATTCTAGGAACCTTATTCGAATGTCACAGAAGTTGCAATTTATGAATGGGAAAGCAAACAAGCCATTAACAAATACAAGTTCCAATTACAACACGCTTCCTCCCAAGATAGCGGACCTACACGGCCGAGAAAACGAAGTGAAACTAAGATACCCAGAGCCCCTGGCTTATTAAGGAGGAGACAGGTGCGGAATACCAATGAAATCGCTGGAGAAAGTGTCGGAACGAAGAACAAGACCAGGGAGATCAGGGATAGTTACGAGAACCAAGGCTCGAGCTCTAGCAATGGTCTTTCAATTGTGATTCCTCTCAATAGGGAAATAAATCCAAACGAATATACTGTGTTCAGGTCATCTCAAGTGTCAAATTACTCGAGCACTCAAGCAGATCTACCAGCGTCTTCTCCTCTGCAAGTCCCAAATTCCCTGGATTCTCAATTATTATTGCCACGTAGAAAATCAGCACCGGCCTTTATCTGGGACGAGGATATTGAAGCAGGTTCCCAATATCTATCTGGCTCATCTTCTTATAACCCATCCATCCCGAGAAGAGCAAGGGATTGTGAAGAAGACTCTCCCCAATCGTTGCATGCCGAGGTTTCGGACCGAGCCCGGAAAGGTATTGCCCGTAGTAACCTTAGCCCAGAAGCCCTTATTACACAACATACCGATACCGTCGATACCGTAACCGTCGCGAATGAAGAGGAGCCAGGAGGAAATTCTAGTAATAATATAAATCAAAGAGCACCCTTTGGGGAATCCTTCATTCCGGACAGTTTTACAATTGATAATTCACTTTCATCAATTAATTTGAATCTAGTACAGTCCGCCCCACAGGAACCCTTGACACCAAAGCCACAACATCAACAACACTTAAGATCGCAACCCTTGAGATCTAACCGTAACCTTACAGACCGTACAGACTGTACAGCCAGTGAGGAACCATCTCAAATACCACCAGTCACAGATCTTTCTCCGGCATCAGAAAATTCAATATCTGATTCTCAGCAAAGCTTTGATCATTCATCAGAAGAGAAAGCAGGTCCGTTTGAATCTCTACAGCCACAATTATCGCTGGAGATACCCGATTCGTATCTTGTGAGCGATCCATTCACGAAAAGGTCAGTCTATCATTATCCGGTCTAATTGTATAGAAAAACATCTCATGTTATTTCTATCTTATCTTCATTGGATTAAAGCTTACAAAACCATTCAGCTCTCAAGCTCAAGGCGTAAACCCGCAAAGTGGTAGTCAAGATCGTGCTTCCTCTTTGCCTAACGATCACTCTCATTCCAGAGCATTGCCGTCTGATTCTCAGCGTTCCCAGTCACTCCCTTCATCCACGAAAATTGACTCCAGCCCAGAATCAACTTGGCAAGCTGCACAAATTGTCAGCCAAATTCCGAGAACCTCCTCTCAAGATAGTAACCGTGAAGATTCACAGTCACAGGCCTCTCAAGACCACGTGCAGGCTGATAACTCCGAAGTCTCAGAATTTACAGCCACACACCTAAAACGATATCTCGAAGGTCATCATCATCGTCTCTCAAATTTTGTGTCCAAAAAACAGCGCATTATACATAGCCGCGAAACCCGTACTGAAATACCTGAAACGCAGCCTTCTACGTCCGAGCCTTCCGCAGAAGCAGCTTTCCCACAAGTATTAGCGAGTATTGAGTCCGGCGCGCATCTTCAAAACGCAGAATCGTGGTCTCAGGAACCGCCATTGTCGCAAGATCCATCCGGATTAGCTTGGTCCAGCGGCGGAAGTTCACCAATACATTCGTCTTACCTTGTTGAGAAAATGTCCGCAGTCGGATCAAGTGCTCCTCATCTTGCTGTTGGCGAGAGAAGAGCGAGATCAACAAAATCTAGATCTCCATCGAGCATGCCTCCTCGAGTAGCAACTGCACCACCAACCAGTTCAGCCAACCACCTGTTGCCTATGCGGGATAGCATTACTGATACATCGAGGTCACGCAACAGAGCAGTCTCGATGCCAAGATCTTCAATAGAGTCTACAGACATGAGCCCCAATGTATTGACTGTACGCAAATTAGGACGAAATGAATTTATTATCCCGCTGCCAATGATGACACAAGTTCGTGATGTATATGATACTACAATCAGGAATAAGAAGAACGACATCATATCGTTCTTAGGAAGGTCATCAACAGCACCAGATTCAGATAGCATGGACCTGATGATTGAAGAATTAAAATTAATCTGTGATCATCAAGACTTGATTGTGGAAGAATCTTCAACTCAGAGCCTAGATGACAGTGCGCAAGCTAGGTACGCTGTGACTATCAGCACCAAGTTTCTGTTTATTCAACAATTTCTGGATTCACTTCGAGCAGCTAAGGTTCATGTGGTGATATTAGCACGCGATGCAATTCTACCTATCCTTGAATCACTCTTCAGATGGCAGCAGTATAATTACAGTCGCCCTGACATACCAGGGAATCCGGGGAAGTCTGAAAAAGATCTAATGCGAATCACGCTACTTCCTACATGGATCGATGTTCGCGATTGCATTGTTGCTCCTGCTTCAGTGGTTGTAGCATTTGACTCGTCATTCTCAGCGTCTCAAGGAGGAGATGAGTATTCTGAGATTTTACCTTTTGACCCCAGGAACCCGGATAAGCGCGCACCTTTATTGTGGCTTGTCATCACAAACTCCATTGAGCATGTGGAACTATGTATCCCTACAACATTGGAATCATCGGAGCGGAAAGATAGGTTAGTCCAATATGTCGCTCAAACTCGAAAATTTATTGGTCGTTTAGATACGAGTATCTATCCCGAGCCGCAACAGGCCGCCAGAGCGGCTGCAGAGTATGTCCTTGATGATTCAATTGAAGCAGAATGGCCCATAATTCCAATGCCAAACATTGACATTTCTTTGCCCGGTCATGGAACTTTCAACCGCCAGCCAGCTTCACTGACACAATCTTTATTTTCACCGGTAGAACCAATATCACAATCCGGTTTTAAGAGACCGTCTGTAAGTTCATACCCGTTTTGCTTGCGTTACTATCATAATACTTACATATTTCAGGATTTCGATGCTTTAGACGAAGATACTGCGATCAAGCGTCAGCGAATGACACCTTCGAGGCCTGACTCCAATATCATGAACGGTAACATGGCGGATCTCAAAGAGCTCAGGTCATTACGGGCTCGATGCGATGACTATGAAAGGAGCATCAAACGAATCCAACCAAAATATCAACGTGCTCTTGACGAGAAAGCCCGATATGAACACGAGAACGCTCAGGCTGTAAAACGTCAATCCGAATACGAAAAGAAGCTGGAGATACATGATGGAGCGGCCACCAAACTTCGTGAAGAGAATGCGTCATTAAAAAATGAGTTAGCCGTTGCGCAAAACTCTCTTGCTACATCTGCAGTTCCTTCTATAGCCGAACTTCAAAAGGCCAAAGATGATCTTCGTACTGCTCAAGCCGAAATCGAACGTCTTAAGAAAGGTCAAGTCAGTGTAGAAAAAAGAGCCGATTACGCGACATCTCTATATCAAGAAAGCTCCCAACAAGCCCAAGAAATGCGCAATCAACTCACGAACCTTCAGTCTGAACGTGAGGGTCTTCAAAAGCAAGCCTCCGCCGCCCGTGTCGAGATTCAGAAAATAAATAACGATGGAATCATTCAGCAACAAGTAGATACCATCAATGAACTCAAAAGGGAGCTCGCGGAAAGAGAACGAATGTTAGAGAGTCTCACTAGACAACTGGAGTCATACACCAATGGACGCAGAACAACACGCGGCACCAGCGTTCCAAGAAGCCCAAGAATGAGCAACATGAGTCCGAGACCGAGAGTATTGGGTAGCATGGCACCGGGAAGCAACACAGCCAGTAGGGGAAATAGTCCCGCGCCAGGGATCTTTGGTGGTGATTTATTTCAGGGCGGTGATGCCGGAAGGAGATTCGGTGCTCATTTGCAGTAGCGTGGATGATTTACTCGAGAGCTTGCATACATGCGTCTTTGCAGGTAATCAATCCTCTTTCAATCTCGAGGATGCATTATATCGCATCGCATACGTGAGCTGTCGATGAATGGAAATATACTAGCTAGCTAACCAAACGAAGCTTTGTAAGATCTTACATGGAGATGATTGATGGATGATGGATGATAGATAGGTGAAGGATGGATGAATAAATCTACAGCAACAATCTCGAAATTCCAACCGAGATGGAGAAATAAATATGAGGAAGGCTTTGTCTGAATGAAGTTAGTTGCATATGGCGTTTTTTGCATGCATAGGAAAGGATTTTTGATATTTGATATTTGATCTTTGTTTTTTTGTTTTATTTACTTACTTGCGTATTTACTTATTGATTGATTGATTAATCATTCAACAGGATGGATGAGTGGGTGGCTATTTTAATATTGTTTTCATTTTCATGTGTGCGTATTGCTTTTAACATTTATCTTTGCGTTGGAATCTGCGTTGGAGTCTGCGTGTAAGTTTAAGTTTAAGTTTGCATATATCAATCGGTCGATCAATCATATGGTACCTAGTAACGGATAGTAGCAAAGCAATAGATAGAAAGTAGCAAAGCAATAGATAGATAGTAGCAAAGCAATGAATAGTAGCAATGGATATAATCTCACAAGAATCGACACATCGAGGGGCGAATAGTACACATGCTGTGCTTCTTAAATTTATCGATTAATCTTGTCTTGTTGTGATTTTGGATATCGAGGATCTCGAATTGAGCTTACCATGTATGTATCTATATATATATATATATATATATATATAGACTCAAAAGTAAGTTCATATCGCAAGCTTAATATAGAGCTCACTGCTGTATACATTATTTATTGTGTCTATCTACGAAAGCAAATTGCTTTTATTTGCTTGAAATGTCCATCTAGCCACGTTCACCTCCAGCAACTTTCAGAAATATCGTCTTCCCATTTCTAACTCTGCACTAGTGACCCATACCCCTTCACCCATCCATCAAGTCAATCATTACTTTTCCCTAGCGCCTCCCCCTTCTGTATCATCGCACGACTCCTCCAGCACAGTCCCACAAAAAAAAGGAAACGTCTATCCATCAATTCAAAATGGAACAATGCTACCATAAGCAACTATAGCTATGATGTGACTCCAGAGTTTACATGCAAGAAAGACCCATCTGGTATAGATCAAAGTAAATAAACGCCGAAGACTCCAGAGAAAGAAAAATGATGCTAGCTGCTAGCTGCTAGCTGCTAGCTGCTTTTCGAGTCAGTGCTTGAACTGGGAAATCATCGCCGCCTCTACAGAATCTCGTCCAGACAAGGGTTGACTGTTTATGAACCCTTCCATACCAGGATGACGAAAGCGTTCTGGGGCTTTATATCCATCTTCTCCTCTCAATGTATTACTTTTCCGGCCGAATTGTGCCATGATAGATGATTGATCGTTTGATCTATCGGGTTCTTGTGAACCAGCCATCAGCGGGGAAGATGCAATTACTTGAACGTCTGGAAAGGAGGAATTATCCTGATCTAGGAGCATCTGGTCTGCACCATCTTCAGTCAAATCCACCACGTCACTATTAGAGTATGATCCCACGCTGACTGACAAATTTGTGTCAACTTGCTCCGGTAATGGTGAACGTAATCTCGGAACAAGCTGCCTCGGTTTCATTTCCTTTTTCGATCGCTGAGGCGTATTCATACCAACACGCGACGAGCTTTTCAGGGCTTGAGGATCATTCTGTCCTGGAGACTTGGGCGCGGGCCCTGAAACCTCGTCTTTCGAGGCTGTCGGGCCTGCCGATTTGTTCAAGTATTTTTCCACCATACCCACCACATTGCCAAACCACTGTGTACCACTTTGAGAGTCTTGTCTAATCTTAGCTTTGCCGGTATGAGACTCATCTTTATCGAGTTCAATAACAAAGTCCTTTCCCTTCTGTTGTTGAGACTCGTTATCTGCATTCTCCTGCGTGCTTTCTTGATCTTCGAAAGAATCACGAATTTCGATGGGTACATCAGGCTTGGGAGGACTGGATCTTACCCCAGTTGAGGTAGTTTGACGAGGCTTTCCATCGCGGCCCCTTGATCTAGGTTGTTTTTCAGCGGTCCTGTGGTCTGCCTCCTTGATAAAACTCGGTGCAGTATCTTCTTCGGATTTCCCTTGAAGGTTGTCCTGACTATCTTCAATACTGATGACCTCTTTTCCCCTTGAAATTGGTAATGATTTTGCGATAATTCTTGCAGCCTCTGTCAAAGATTCTTGGTTACCACGTTCAGCGACAGGAGAGGCAGTGGAAGCAGGTGGCTGTTCATCACTGCTTGACAAAGGGAAAGACGCTATCTGATGGTCTAAGGGCTCAACTTTGTCCTTAGTCATTAATGGAATACCTTTCTGCTTTTTGGCTATTTTCGCCTTTTTGGCTGCAATTGCCTCTCGAGTTTGTTCTTCTTGTAGCTGGAAGAGAAGCTCTCGGATCTTGGTACGAAATGCAGGTGTGTTATTCCGATCGCCATGAACCTCATACTTGTTCTCCATGATGTCTTCGATGAAGTCATCGGGACGTTCAAAGAATTCCTCCATATAGCTTAGGAGGTACACACCGCAATCACAAAAGTTGCCTTGTTCAGGAAGACCTTTGCCTAGATATCTTCCTGTGTCATCGTCTTTTGCTTGTGTCTTAGCTGCCATGCCGATGGCTTTGGGGGGTATAATTGAGATGCCTTTCTTTGATTTTATCTCCGCCACAATGTAATCCCTTAGATTGAAACATGTAGAAGGGTGCTTTAAAGCAAGTGAATCAAAAGTAACGATTCTAGGCTGTTTTGTGTCATAATTGCAAGTCGGGGGAAGTCTCTTGCCCTTCGTCCCAAAATTTAGCTTTGCTGTTGGCGAGCTTGATTCTGCTAGGTTAATCACATTTGTGGCAGCCTTATTTGCAGAGATGTTGCCGCGATCAACATCCGGTGAGATGGTGGGCAACCTGTCATTGCTAGGAAGGAGACTTTCAGCATGTTCGATATCCAATGGAGTTTTGGTTTCCTCGCCGCTTAACAAAGACAATCCTTTAAAACTACTGTCAACACCATTATCATCCATTTCGCTTACAGATCTCATTGGGACGGACTGCTGCGATCGAGATGGCGTCGGAGATTTGCTGTCTTCAAGAGACTCTACTTCTCCATCCATTTCAGATTTCGCATCCTTCTCCGTTGAATCCAACTGCTCTTTTTTCTCTAAATCCAGAAGCTTGGGTGCATTGCATATGATCGCCACATACCAGTGAGTGTTTTCGTTGACGGGCACAATAATATAATCATAAGAAAGAAGATCGACTTTTGCCGTCCATCTCTCAACTGCTTCATAATTGATCCCTCTCTTGCCTTTTGCTGCTTTGGTTAAGCTTGCGTAGAAGAATGTGTTATGAACGTAAACCCGATTAGCCAACTCTGGGTGTTGCTGCTCGAGCCAGAGAAGGTAGAACATGATAAGATTATCGTTCAAAAACTCTCCGTCATCAAGCCTGTGAATATCTTGCTTGTCAACAGTAGCTGTCTTTTTACCAGCCCTAGGATATACGACGGATTTGTTCCACTCCTTCACCCAAGCTTTATTTATTTCTGACCAGCGCTCTGGGCTGGGTGTCCTTGCTTTAGGGGCTGGTTTGGATTGCTTAGGCCTGTCAGAACTCCGCAATGACGCACGAGTTCCAGTGGCCTGGCTTGATCTTGAATAGAACTCCGTAGCATCTATTGGATCAAGATTATCATTCATATTTTGTGGTGTGTCGGGAGTCTGCATTCTCTCATGAAGCTTTTGCCTCTTTGCTTTTGGAGGATGAGTACTATTTGGCTGCTGAATTTCATATCTGGGTGATTGTATCAGCTGTGCTGTTCGTCTCTTTTGGTTTGACGCCAGAAGTTGAATATCTTCGGGATGGCTTTCAGCCCTATTTCGTTTATTGACTGCCTGTACAGCTCTTTTGTCGAGAATTTCACGGGCGTGGTGAAAGGTTTGATCAATCTCGGATCTAGATAATTTGTTAGCTTGTGGTATCAATGATGAGGATCATGAATATGTACTCTTCCATGCAATAAGTTCGAACACCTTCTGGGATCGGAAGCGAGTTCCGGAAATTTCGAGCAGAACTGGGCGAGTCGAATTCTATGAACATCTCGGAGTCTTGCATAGGACCAGTCTCCATTGATTTTCGAATTATCAGTTTGCGAGAATTATGTCCAGCTTTTATCCCAAGTATAGAAGCTGCTTTTATAGAAAATTCTGGGTCAGGCTTCGTATCAACCAAGAGTTTCACGAATCCACATTGATCCAAACCCACATACCAGCTCTTTGACGAATTATCGGGCCTATACCAATATCTACTTCTTGAGAAGACGCTTCGAACTCTGTATTGTTGTCCGTAGCTTTCCAGTTGTCGTAATGTCCTGTCACCAGTCCCACGATTGCCCCATTTGGTTGGGGTTATATCCCCCGTTTTCACGAGGCTCGGTTCGTTTTCGGAACCTCCATCACTGCCGCTATCGTTCGCCTTCCCTTCTTCCTGTGCTTTGTTGAGATGATTTCCATTTGCTATCCCAGGTGGGTTTACTTGAGACAGCTCATCCTCGCTGGTATCATCTATGTGTAGCTCTTTCAAAGCTCTTCTCTCTTGTGTAAAGTTGGACGAAGATTTCTTCGAAGTTTGTAGTTTCTGGTAGTTCAGTGATCTATGAGATCCATCTGCTCTTGAGTGTGGGTTCTGGCGTGCCGGTTTCAGGTTTGAAGTTCCGACGTATGAAGGAATTATCACTTGAGGTGACGTTTGGGAGCCAGATATTAACGTGTGCGGGTCATCGTCAACAATCGGGTCATCGGAATCCTCCAAGTATCCATTTGTATGACTTCGGCTCCTTGAGTTGTCATTTTGCCTCGAAGGTTTGATATGAGCTCCATCTCGGTTATTGCCGGGGCCTCCTGAGGAGCCGTTAATTGTGCGCGTAGTAGTGGCGTGGCGTTTTGGGCGACGTGGCTTTGGCCTTACTATCCTCTCGACGGTGTTGAATTCTTCAACAGACGCACATGTGTCAGGCGGCTCACCTTGAAAAAGCTTATGCCCACCAGATTCCTGACTTGCTCCTTGCTCCAGCTGGTTTGGTCCGCCATATTTTCCATGACTTGGAGGAGCCTGCTCTGTTCTCTGCTTCTTGCTGGGTCGGTCATCATGAAAATTGAATGGCTCGATCCCGCGTGTTTGTGATGTCGTAGCGCCACTCTGCCTGTCGCCCAACCTATTCACAGGTTTTGTTCCACCGTTGAGGTTACGTCTGACCTTCTAACTGTCAGCCAGTTGAACGTTATATCTGTAGCATGTTTAAATCATACCATTTTTGTACGGTCCTGGATGGAACTGTAATAACGAATTTTAAAACCCCTACGCAATTGATTAGCACATGCGCCATGTAAAAATGTTCACCTGGTCAACTCCCATACCACTCGGTCTTCACTCCAGTCTTGCTTGGCTCTATATCCTCTTCCTCTGGCGCATCATTGACGCCAGTTATTGCACTTATGAAAATTAGTTTTGAACCAAAGAGAAACCTATAACCTTCCCCGATGAAGATATACCTCTGAGTATCTGAACCATCAAAATCATTAATGTGTTGAATTATTGATTTTCCATGATTTGCATGGGGTTTTTCAGTCTTCTCGAGATGGGGAACTTTTTGGATGTTCTGCAGGTGCATGAAATATTAGCTAAATGCAGTGGGGCTAGCCAAGACAACTAACTCCATAGAATGATTCCATAGCTGTAGAACGAGGTATGATAGACAGCCTTGCCTGCCCTTGCCTTGTAGTACAGATGCGATAAGAGAACAAGACTGATTTGTAGGAAAGAACTTACTTTTGTCTTTGCTTCTTCCAGATCAGTTATATGGCAAACAGAACTATTTGACCGTGATTTCATTTCTGCAGTACTCTGCTGGAGTTCTTGCTCTATCCTAGCTTCATGGTCTCCGTCGGTTTTGGAAATATGTTGAAGATTCATTCGGGATTGATTGAATGTTGGTATCATTAAATTTGACCCAATGGATTCAATATTATCAAAAAGACTATATTGTAATCTGGGGCATGGTATTTGTAATCCTTCGCCGCTAAATCTCTCATATGTGCAGTGGTGGTAACTGGTCTGTCTGAGACTGTTGTTGCTATTGTTATTGTTTTTGTTGTTGTTGATGTTGTTGAAGACTTTGGAGATTGATTCAAGAGATTCATCGTTTGATGAGGTTCGGGTGGTGGTCAAGGCTTTCGTCTGAGTGGTTACTTTTGAAGTTTCTCCAGCCTCATCTGAATCCGAAGCATCAATTATCACAAGATTCCTGTACTTGTTAATCTTTTTGGGGGTTTCATACTTCTCCAGAATATTATCTATTTCTTCTGAGATCGGTATTGTCCGGCTTTTTGACTCTTCTTCACAATTCCTTGGTCCGTTTTCATTCTTGGATTTCGTCCATGGCTTTGAATTGATAACTGGACCCATGCTGGCCAACGATCTATTGATTCCTCCTTGTTGGACTTCTTCCTGCTTGTTGAGCTTCTCTCAGATGCCTTTTTCAAGGTCTCTCACTTTATTGAACTGGTTAGCTGTGTGTCCATATCTTGTGAGAGAAATGCGGCAGACTTTGTTTCTCTTTTCATGAATTGCAGAGGCAAAACCTGGTACCGCGCAAGGCACTGACTGACTTCACAACAATGTGCTTTTCGATAGTTTATCCGTTTTTAGTGTTCTTAAGAGACGTGCCTTATTTTGTTCTTGCAGGTATTGAAGTGAAAGACTACAAGTTGTAGAAGGTGAGAGCAACACACCTTGTCCCAAAGGCCGATCTCCCGTGATAGACAGAAAGTTAAATTGGAGACTTACAATTTGTTTTCGAAAAGGTTTCTTGTATTAGAAGTCAATTAGCTTGCAAAAATACATTGCCACTGAACTAGCAAAAGGTATTTGAGGGGTGAAACCAGCAGAAAAACGTGTCTGTCTGCACTTTAGGAAGTTGTTTTGATCGGATTGGGAAGATGGTATAATTGTATGGTAGCGAAACTTTCTCATAAGGGAATATCTAGTATAAAGTGAATACTACCATCTCTGTACCAACACCTATCTACGGCCAGTTCCCAGACTAATCAAAGTCTAACTACTTGTCATCCGGTCTATTCGAAATCATGCTCAATCTGTTTAGTCGGAGCCTGTTGGGAGCCAATTTAATACAACTTCTATGAGTATACATAGTAGGAATCCCACAAATTGCACACGTTGCCAAGGAGCCTGAAAGTGCGTACTAGGTTTAAAATAGTTTGAATGTGTGACTTGTGTCCTATGCACATAAAGCAGAAGAGAAGAACTGCAGCATCAACACACCATATACCAAAAGGACGTGGTGGAATGGCATGGTGGTAATATCTGATTCAACAGTCTCGTGTGAATGAATTGGGGTGTTAGCCTAACTACTGCTCAATCATATTGGATATCGGGTGAACTCTATAACTTGAAAATACTATAGTGAAGTGAACCATATAAGATAGAATAGCATAAATACTTTCAGCCTGACATCCTTGGATTTGACCTGGCCAACATTAAACTTTGTCAAATCCAAGTCCCATTGAACATATATCCTTGGGAGTAAGCTGATTTGGGCGAGGGTCGTAGTTGATGCATGCATACATACATTCAAACCGCAAGGTGTGAGTGGAACGACAAAGACCTGACGGCAGAAGCCGATATGACAGACTGACATGACTGATATTCCACAGCCCTCATCTCAAACCCTTTCTTGCCTTTGCTTTCTGGCTCTCCCCCTGTGCAACACTTACATCTCCATAGGTTCGTATGCTAATAGCAGGGATAAACATCAGAATCCTCCTTTTGTCACTGAATATGAAAGTACTTGATAAGTCTCTCCCGAACTGGTAGGGGTGGATTGTGGATTGTGGATTGTGATTCTTGATACAGCTGTACAGATAAGAAAAGTCGCAATTCAGAGTCTTGAAGCACTCCGTCCATCTAACCCCACTATCATTGTCCCTCCATCTACAATATGCCTTCCGGTCATCACCATTATCGTCATCTATTTAGCCTCTGGGTAGAGGTCCTCCTTCAGGCTCACGCCTAATTCCTCACGAAGAGGCTTAAGTTCCTCCAAATATTGGTCATATTGACCACGATTCTCGACCTTTGCCTTGATACCTAATGGGTGGTAATGTCAGCTCTGGACTCTTTAAGTATGCCTACTATCCACCCCACTTCCGCGATATAAAGCAATATTACATACCCTCGAAGATCCGTACGGCCGTGGGGAAATCGTTAACCCTTCTTGCAGCTTTCAATGCGGCAATAACGACAGATGGAGAAGGCACGAGATCGTAGGCAAAGGCGTTGTTGAGATTTCGCTATATAGAAAAAAGATCATACGATGATCAGCAATCTGTAGGTATGCTCGTAGAAGATGTGGGGGGCAAGGAAGGATAGATGAGGAGAGCACATACCTGAAGCTCGAAAACATCTTGAACTTGGTCGAATTCCTTCTCATATCTATCTGGCCATTAGCCAACCTTGGACCTTTCGTGCTGATCTTCATTCGGTTCCCTTCGGTTGTGCGGGAACATGCTCAAATGCGAGAAGAATGCCCCTCCAATTGAAGACCAACATACCTAGCTGTGAATTCCTCAAAACTCTCCTCATGATGAGCAGCTTCTTGGCCGTCCTTATCGGGCTCAGCCAGACTTCGGCTTGTGGTGCTGAAACAGCTGGCAGAAGTTGCGCTCATTGTTGGGGCAGCGCGGGGAGTGAAACTTCGGAGTCCATTGGATCGGAAAATTGCCGATGGCTGCGCGCGCGTAGCAATACGCAGAATTCTGGTTGACGACATTAGGAAAGTTGTTGTGATGAAGTTGTTCGGTATTGCGTAGACGTTCAACGGGTTTGAAGTCAAAATTGCACACTTTCGACAATTTCCAGATCAAGTCAAACAGTGCGTTATGATTGGTCGTCCGCCTTGCTTAGTCACCCGCCCAACACCCTTGCCCATAAAATGATGTTGATGTCTGGGTCATTTCATATTTGAGTATCTCATCTCCACTTTTTGCCAACGGCAACACGGTATTATTTTCCCTTTATGTCAATCCGCTTCACATGATGCGATGCTTCCGAGATCTACCTTGAAGCGATGAATTCGACTTCACCATGCCCGGGTGGTTCCTGTGAGGCTACATGTATCACTTTTTAGGAGTTAACGGCTTGATCACCCACCTACCAGTTATCCATTCCATTCCGACTCGATACCATGCGACTCTTTTGTTTCCTCCACCTTATTGTCGGCGTTGGCTCCTATCTAGGTATATCCGTAGCATCTGGACATCAAAAGGCATTTTCGGAGCACGTCAAGTATCAGGAGTATCTACAGAGGACAGCGTGACATCTCTCCCTTCCTTAATACTATACAATGTAAATACGTGATCTCTCAATCCAAGTTCCTTTGCCTTGTGTATGGGCGAAACTTTGACACCCGCACCCCACACCTCCAACTGGCTTGCTTGCCGAGGCTACAACCTATGGCGACAAACTCTGCACAGCTTTTCCATGCCAAGCGGATGAATTTCATTTTACAAACTTGAGCTCCGTGGTATCCGAGCATCCCCACATCATGGGAAGTCAAGGCTCGATCGGAATTCAGGGCATTCTATGGATGAAGTATTTGGTAGGTAGCAGCTCTCAATATCAGCGGCAGTCGAGCTCTTGAACCATTCCAAAGGCATCTTCCCATGTTCTTAGATTAATAGGATTTATGGATCGAACCAAGGTACTGGTGATGATTTGTTATTTCTAAGGTAATACCACCGACCCGTCCTTTTTCCATCAACTTTTCCATTGAGGGGTCGTTTGCTTTCGCTAGAGGAAGAAGGGGGGTGGGAGAGATCGAGCTCTACTTGAGCCGCATTAAATGCTGTATATAACCTTCCCATGGTGAGACTATAAAAAAGTAGACACTGTAAATCTTCTATATGTCCTTTCTTCAAGTGCCTATGAGCTCGGCACGATCTAATTGGTTTCTTCGTGTTATGATGGCATTTTGATGGTCTACTTGTTGTTCGAGCAGCTAGCCATCTACCCTCTACTCCAAATCTCCACCGTTATTCCTTGTACTCTTGTTACGCTGTAGAAATCCATAATAAAATTGTCAACATGGTGTCGTTCACATGATATGCATCCAAATTGAACCAATTAGCCAGCTCGGTATGGATATTTACTTCCCACGTATGTGACTTTTGACACTTCATGAAGACTCATTGGTTACACCACAACGCATGCTTGAAAAAGTCGGTGATAGGGTTGATGGTTTAATATTAACATGTAGCCTGTAGCCTGTACTCCGTCGTCTGTTACATACAGACTTAACATGTGAAATCCTCAAAGATCCAATTTCGGTAACCGTCTCCCGTTTAGGACCCCTTTCAGGGAAAATTGAACTAGTTGGCCATTCTGCAGCTATTTGGCAGGAACACGTCAAAAAGGCAACTTTTTCTTCTTTCCTCAAAGTCTTTTCAAACCTTTTCATTACGAGCTTCTTTAGATTCTTTTAGATCGGATTCCGAGGGTTTCGAGAACTTGTACCCAATTCCTTGTGCATCGTTATCCTTCTTCAATCTTAGTTCTCCTAAAAGAATATTAATTTATTCACTTCTTTCCCATTCCCTTCTTTCGTCACTCCTTCATTGAGTTCCTTATTACTTTTATGTTTTGAATTCATAAGGAAAGAACCAATCCTTCGTTATCCCCATCCTTTTTGAAGAATACCGTTGTTCATAGGTTGCTTTGTCGCGTTGTAAATAACGTCTCGTCTCGCCCTAGCGAATTCCACTTTTTCAAAAGAACACGCGACATCTTAAGAAGGGTTTTGTCGCAGATTCAATCACGGTCAACAATACATCAAATTTCAACCGCAGTTTTGTCGTGATGTCGTCAAATGGATTAGATATGAAGGCAATCCCTCTGCCAACAATTGAGAAGCCATTCGGAGTGGAATTATGGCCAATCTTCGACAAGGCCTTCACCGCGGTCAAGGGTTATCATCCGCAAGACTTCGATTTCCAACCACTGGTCACACCTATGTCGACCTTGAAGGAGAGCGGCTTGACCATTCTGGCATACTACATAATAATTTTTGGTGGAAGAGAGTTAATGCGAAATCGACCAGCCTTCAAACTGAATGGTCCCTTTATGATCCACAACTTCTACCTGACTGCCATCAGTGCTATTCTTCTAGCACTCTTCGTTGAGCAATTGGTGCCGACGGTTTACAATCATGGTCTTTTCTATGCAATTTGCGATGTCAAGGGTGGTTGGACTTCTCACTTGGTTATTCTCTACTACGTAGGTCTTACTGGAGATGCGGCCACACAAATTTACGGCTAACATTGAATAGCTCAATTACCTCACAAAATACCTCGAATTGATTGATACCGTTTTCCTCGTGTTGAAGAAGAAGCCATTGAGTATGTAGCCACAGCCTGACGATCCATACCACACCAAATGCTAATATTTTTCGGGAAGCTTTCCTTCACTGCTATCACCACGGTGCCACTGCCCTCTTGTGTTACACACAACTCATTGGGTTGACCTCCGTATCATGGGTTCCAATTACTCTCAACCTCATGGTTCACGTCGTTATGTACTGGTACTACTTCCAAAGCGCGCGTGGAATCCGTATTTGGTGGAAGGAATGGATCACCAGACTCCAAATTATCCAGTTTGTCATTGATCTTGGTAAGGATGCACAAATTCACAATCAGCCACAAATCCTACTTTTCAGCTTGCTAACATTTCTCACTATACAGGCTTCGTCTACTTTGCATCTTACACTTACTTTACCTCAACCTACTTCCCCAATATGCCAAGTGCAGGTAACTGTGCCGGAGAAGAATTTGCAGCTTTTGCGGGTATGGGCATTCTCAGCTCTTACCTCTTACTTTTCATCTCCTTCTACTTCGCAACCTACAAGAAGGATGGAAAGCGCCCCACGGGTCGCAAAGCTGCACGATCCTTGGTCGATGCCAAAGTTCCGGATGTCGCCACACTTACACACGGGAAGATTAATGCAGGCCCCACAAATGGTCGCGCAACAGGCGTAAGCCCAGCTCGTCCAGCTACCCGCTCCCGCAAGGCATAAATATGCACCCCGGGATGCGACCCTACAAAATCGGCATGACGGCGGTAGTCGACCCGATTATGCGATAAATGATAATGGATAGAACTCGCAGCCTCTTCCGAAGCGAGTGCACAAACTTCTCTGAGAATTAAGACCTTCTCCTTGTATAATGGTTTTTTTGGCGGCATGACACAGTTTCAGACATGGTGTCGCCGCTATAACTTTTCTCTTATGTTATAGAAAGAAAGAAAATATGTAATGAATGTTATGGCCGAGAACATGACAGCATGGGTGGTTGGGCGAACTTAGAAAAAGAGCAATTCAGATTTCAACAACCTTTTTTAAAAGACTTAATACTCCCTTTTAATTTCATTTCTTGTGTGTTGTAGGGCAATTGGTCATTTTTTGTCAATAAGACATGGTGGGAAAAGATGAAGTGAATGATAGCACAATACAAACGAAGATTTCATGAACCATTTATTTGTGTATGGTGTATGTGCGTATGAGTTTTTGTGATGGCGATTGTGGGAACACACAGGTTGCAAGAACCATATCCATATCCATAACTATAACATACCAGTTGGTTGGTTACTTGATTAGTTAGTTGACTGAGCTATGTTGGAGGGGACTTGGTTCTTGTTACCGGTATATACTATGTATATACTATATGCAGATGCTACATACAAACAGACAGTATTCTTTACAACTTGATTGTGGTATATAGACATATTGGCATATTGGCATGTTTTCAAATTTGGCAAGTTGGTTTCTGCATCTGTATGTGCATCTGTATGTATTATATGTGTGTACTTTCTTGTCGTTTGATAGGTAGGTAGGTAGGTAGGTAAGTATTAGATGTTTCTATGGTCTTTTTTTGTGGTTTTAGATGTTTGTATTTACTCATGTGTATATGTATGTATGTATGTATCTATATACTTGTATCTATTTATACATCTATATACTCTTCACCTGTTTATATATTTCCTCGTTGTATTTTGTTTTGTTTTATTTTTGTATTTTTTATAATCTTTTATTAATATCATATTACTCATATTATATAGTATAGTAATACTATTATATTGAATGATTTTTATGCAACTACTATGTATATATCTAAGTTTATAGTAATTTACTAACCTAATAATATCATTGTATAGGAGTGGGGGAAGAAAATTGTAAATATTATAGAGTAAATGTGATATTTAAAATACTTGTGATACTTGACATACTTTTGAGGTATCGAAAATAAAACACGGGAAACATGATACGATATAATGAAGGGTGAGTAGTTGGCTAACTAGCTATAATTACCTAGGTACCTACCTGCCTGCGGTTTAGAATTTAGGGATTGTTGTAGGGGAAGAGAGGGGGGCTGGTGGGTGACTGTGGAGTAGGAAGGGTAGGAAGGGTAGCTTTTTCTTTAGATGTGAGGGCATAGACTATTCTGGATATTCTGGCTGCTTGGGTTGGAGAGATAGAAAGATGGAGAGAGAGATGCGTTGGATGGAATTAGGTAATTATGGTATGGTATGGTATGGTACTCGAGCACATATATATATTCATTCAATCTAAATATCCAATTCCTACAATCCACATACGGGAGGACGTATTGCGCAATGTGTTGATATATAGCATATCTGATATTCGACATATGATACAATACATTAACTAGAAATCTAGAATGCGTAATATTCTGTGATATCTGAACGAATACTATTCCCCCATTGGCATGCGATATCTCTATATACTCGATGTGAAATCGATATATATGTGTGCGGGTATCTGAGTTGAACGGGGAACGGAGAATGGAGGTTTGCTATGGAGGGCGGGGGTGGAGGAGGTAAAGGGAATATTTCTAGGCTTGGCTAATAGTTATAGGGAAGTATCGAGAAATTGAGAAGAGAATATCTTTTGGCGATGCACTTTATATTCATGTGACGCGGCGAGAATGCTGTTTTGGAGCTATGTAAATGGGGAGGATTCTGGGTGAGACGGAACATGATTTTACATATTTTCCATTCATTGCAAGAATAACGAATACTCGAGTAGATTGTTGGCAGAATTGTTCACAATCCATTCTATGGTCTGTAACAAGTATCCCAACCAAGAAGAACCCAGAAACAAAAGCTAGTCTTGCTCTTCTGTTCCAACATGTACTTACTAAGATCTTATCTCACCTCATGCAGGTAACTACGCCATACATACATCCAACATCCAACATCACGCGTAGTTGATCCCAGTACCATGATTCAGGTAGATACATACATACATACATACATACATACATACACATGGACAAGCACACGAAAAAACTGCTTATTTTTAGACCCACGGAGATCTCTCTCGTCATCTACGCTACTCCGATGCTCCGCTTATGGCTGAGAGACGTGGCTGTAATATGTACCGAGGCGCGCTTACGCTTACATACTCCGTGTAAGAAGAATCATGATGGCGCTCATGCTGATGCTTATCGGATCGGATCTTAGTATTTCTCTAGTCTTTTTTGACAGTAAGATGGATAAAATAGATGATGTCGATGGGATGTTCCTCGGAGAGGATCTTGTTCAGCTCGGGTTTGTAGCATGGAGTAAAAATAGATGGTTAGGACTTGGGGCTCCGACGGAAGAAGATTCGTGATGTTAGGTTGGTGATGGCAAAGATAGAAATGTGAAAGTGGAAAATAGATCATATTATGTCATGTTGGATGATACAGTCGAGGTCTTTCGGTTATGAAGATCTAATGAATGCAGCCCATGCATGATGAACAAAATATGATGATGAATGAATGAACAACTTGTTCTCGTCGCAAAGAATATTTCATAACTTTTGATATTAACATTGGAGGCTATGTTAAGGATAATAACAACCATGAGTGACAAATAAGCTATTAATGTCCCCTGTGTCTCGATTGAATTGTGATGGGCGTTAGCTCGCAAAATACTCCATATCTTCTCAGACATCTTGACGTCAGAACGGAGCCCGTTAACATGATGTCTTATCTTTTACTCTAACTGTTGCAAAGCCTTAGATATGATATCTATGTATAGCTACATAGATATCATATTCCCGATTCTCAACCCGTTGTTCGTAAATTTGTGTATCTACAACAAGATGATTACACCAAGATATGTAAATATGCATATGATGTTCAAATATTATGTCCCAAAGATATCCGAAAGCCAGTGATAAGTGTTTGAGATAATAAGTTCAAGCATTCAAGCACTCACCCGTCATCTTGCATCGAATCGATGCTTCCACATCCAGATAATGTGATTGGTGGGCGTACTGATGCAGGCACTGAGTATGGTAACAATGCTGAAGTGGTGATTAAGGTAAGTATTAATCAGTGTCGGGATATATTGATGTTGCAACGTGGGCTCCGTGTTGTGATGCGAAAGGAGCAGAACATTTAAGGTTAGGGAATGAAGAGGCGGTTCTAAGTAGCACATCAAATAATCAAACTGAGCAACTATTACCTTTAATAACGGGTCTAAATCTCTTTTGAGGTGTCTAATCATGAAACTAGTGAGGGGTAATTGATTATCGCAATCATAAATGGTGATCACCATCTCCTACCGATACTCTTTAACATCATTTGTTACACAGACGATTGGAAATTATCTCATCATCTCATGACAGACAATCAAGTCTGTTCTCCTAAACTCCGCGAGTTCGTACATCATGACTTATTCGTGAGCCTCGTATCTGGTTAGAGGATAGAAGGTCGGTTATGGTTTAGCCCTGGTGGTCCCAGGTCTGTGATTCAGGGGTCAAGCACTAGGTAGCAAACCAATTTAGTGCCACGAACTATGGAATCTGTACAGAGTAAAGCCTTGTTGGCTCCGTAGGGTATGAACCTTGCTTTTCTCTTGCAAGCGCTGCAAGCTGCCAGCAGGAAATTAAGGTTGGGTTATCGTAAATATTGCGAATCTGAATGGTGGAGATGCACAGATGAAAGTCAAAGGAAATGCTTAAGGACCACAGACATTTCGTTGTAGGAGACTCCAAGAGGAATCATTGGAACGTCTCATGATGGTATTCTTTGATACGGAAGGTGTATTATTACGATGGCTCAATTGAAATAGAGAAACAATTCTCGTAACGAGAATTTAGCAGCAGAAACAATCTTTGTATGGCGCTTACTTCTCAAGAAATTAATGCCGTTGGTCTTGCTGTGTGCCAGTGTGTGGGCACCATGCAGGTAATGCGTGCTGTATGTACGTGCGTTGGAGCTTAGAAGTACTGTGCTATGGCGAATCATGAGCAGACGAACGGTGATCGGCGTCCTCTTCTCAATTTATAACGATAAGGTCGTAGTTGAAGATTGATTCCTAAAGGAAGCAGGAGCCGATTTGTAAGATTAACACCCTACAAACTGAGGTGTGATGATAATCCTAATGCAACCACAGACTGACTCGACCGATATCTTTACATCATAAAAACGGACCTGTACAAGTATGGCTATGAAACAGTGGAGGAAGAGACAGTGTATGACTTTGGAAATCAAGAGCCCTAATGCAGTCGGTATAAACCGTCGAAGGTGTATAGTGATCTGTAGAAAATTACCTTAGCATGAATGAATGATGTGAAAGATTCACGAAGTCTGGGATTCACCAATGGAGTTTCACCAAGAATAGTGTGAGGAAGGAGCTAAATGCTTCCTGAAGGAAGCTGGAAAGATTTGGTGTGAAGCTAGAGTAAAACGTATCGATGGGAAAGAAGAGATCCCGGAGACACCTTAAAAATATCAAAAGATTAAATCTCTTTTATTATATTCTTTGAAATCTTTATGAATGATTGATTCATGAATTCAATTGGTCAGGAAGAGGTTATCGAGATTTGATCAATGTTGCACTCTCCATTGTCCACGAATCCTCGGACCAGGGAGAGGGAAAAAAGAAAAGAGAAAATGCTGTGGAGCGGGATGTACGTGATAGTGATATCCTGTTGTGTATTTTGTGTATTATGCGTGTGGTGGTTGGATGGATGGGATGCTCGTAGTCTATTCTAAAGCATGAATGTGGTGGGATGGATATGTTGTATAAGCCTATAAGCCACTCGAGTGTGAGGATTCTGAATTTATTTGACGGCATATTATATTACTCTCTTGGAATTTTGATTCAGATTGATTCCTAATTGGTTGGTGCGTATATCGAAGGGGAAACTTCCATGAAGGAGAAGGAGAAGGAGAAGGAGAAGGAGAAGAAGAAGTTCAAGATCCCCCCTGTTCCCCCTGCAAAGTACATCTACATGCCGTACATTGTAAGATCTTACAATACCAACTCCCCCAGACTCCGGGGGCGTATTTGGTACCTACTTTATCACCTTGCATAACCAACAACGACGTAACACGCAACCTCGAAATATATAATTTTTCCTTGCCTCTTCTTTTTTTGGCTGGTCTGGTTTTTCCCCTTCACTTGCCAACTCGTTCACTCGGAGCATTCTCCCCTTCATCACCCTGACCTAACCGAAGTACAAATTTGTATACCTAACTACACATATACACATACATATATATAGACAAACACTTCTCAGCGGCTAGCAGGAAATGAGAATATCACCTCATCATCCCTCAGCAGATCTTTCAAGATCTAAAATCTCTTGGACATCTACTAGAGCTTATTTGAACTTACCTATCCCTACAGTCACAATTTACCCACAACACCACCATCATTATCACCTTACCTACCGACAGGGTATTTATTATAAAGATATATTTATCCCATCTTTGTGAACAAATTTAATTTTGAAGTCTTTTTGGCCCTTTTTGGCCGTTTAACTTATATTTACTCTTCCTTTCACGGTTACAACCATACGGCGCTCGACGACAGAGTTGCAAATCCGTCCTTTTCCGCCGTCTATCTTCTCCCCTTAACCATTGTTCACAATAAACTTTTTATACAATATCGGTACTCGAGTGGAAATATCTTCTCGAGGTTCTACCAAAGTCGTTTTTTGGACCGTCATATATTACCGCCCCATTTATTTTAAGAATCCCAACACACTTTTCTTTTTCTTGGTATCCCCCGCGTTGGCCGCCATTTCCAAGTCGAGTTTCGTCTCCTGTGAAAAGACATAAACTTGAAACGACGTAGGTTGAAAAAGTACCACCAAGACCAGGTATAACCATCATCTCTCCTCCTAGCATAATTTTAATGATGAGGAAGGTTTTCTGACTTATACATTCACAGTCTGAGATCCCCCAGAAATTAAATAGGCAAAAGACATACATACATTATTCTACTTTATGCCCCCATATCTCGAGGAATTCCATAGCAATCGCGAAATTTCCTTGACTCTCCTGCCAATTTTATTATATAAAGCTTGCATGGGATTAAAGTGTCTTGAAGTCACGATCCATTAATAAATCAACCTTTCATATCTACTCAACAACTTCAACCGAGCCATCCACTTCTACCTCGCCTGCTCAAAGGACCCAGGTACTGGGTCCCACAGAAGCACTCTATATCCTGGAAGAATAAGGATACTTCGTGCCGAAGAATAAAGACGATTGATTCGTTTTAATAACTTAGTCCCTTTATTTGCCCGGAGTCAATATGCCTCTTATGAAGAAGTTGTTCCCATCTAGGGAATTGGAAATCGAAAGACCAATTTCAAGAGCTTCGAAAATCTCAAATTTTGCCAATTTCGAGTACCACGACGATTCAAACCTTGACAGCAATATGGACGCGCCAGTGATGAATAGGTCGAGGACCAAGAAGAAGCCTAGCATGCCCAAAGTACCTTCTATCCCTCGCAGAAGCAGCAAAAGGATTTCTACAATATTAAATAATGTTGTGTCGGAATTAAAGTGTGTGGATGAATTCGAGGCTACGAAACAAGTGGTAGAGGAACCAGAACCCGAAATATCAGATCCTCATGAATTATACCTCTCGAGTGAAGAAGATGCTTCACTCTCGGACACAGACACCCTCCTCGATTTCGAAGTTGCTACTGTTACTGAATATAGTGGTCCTCGAAGTTCCTCTCGCGCATCTGCTCAAGATACTGCAAGAGTAATTTCATTTACTCTTGTCTCAAAACCTCGAGTTATAGAAATCCCCCGTCCGACAAGTTTTCACTCGAATCCTATATTTCGCAATGCTTGTCCTGTGACCGACTACCAAATCCGTCACTCGGTCGCGGACATCGCATCATTAGCACCACTTCCTGCGCCACAACCACCGCGACGAAGCTCTAGACAAAGCACACCGCTTAGAAAATCCGCGCGTCGCCTCTCCATCTCCACTATCGGTGCTCTTTCCAAACTCAACACAAGCCACGACAACGCCTCCAGCATAACACTTCCTCAACAACCCTCTAAACTCAATTCCGGTACAAACTTCCTGCAACCGGCTTCTGCCACCTCAAATGCATCCCCTCAGCATGCCTTTCTCTCCTCAGATCCATTCCCTTCGCCCACACCCTCTCCCCATACCGAAAATCGTCCAGTCTTTCCCGAACCCGAACAAAATTTCCAATCACGCCGACCAAAATCCATGCACCATGAACGTCCCAAAACACCTACCAGCCTCATGGAAGGTCTCCAAGGACTCACTCGCTCTTTCACCAAATCCGCGAAGAAGCGTCCTAGTATGCCGAAATTAAACTTAGCATACACTCCCGCTGTAGTACCTACCGCTCACAGCAATACCTCGAGATCATCCTTAGCTCACAGCAATACGTCTAAAACGAGCTTGCACACAGTAGATGAGCGAACACCCAAAGAGACTAAATTCGGAAATATGAGGAGATCCTCCACAGTGCCTCTGTTTATGCACGAAGAGAAGGAAAAGGTAAAGAGAACACAGGAATCGCAATCGGCGATCGATGAGAAGGTGCCGGTCAGATATGAAGATATCATGAGAAATGTTATCCGTGAGGCTCCGCCAAACCCACCAATTACTCAGCAGAATACGAGTAGTCCGGGCCTGAAGGGCTGGATGGGGATGGGGATGGGAAATAGAAGGAAGAGTATGAAAGGAAATAAGCTCTTCACATTCTAAGTCTAACACTTGACATACATATCCATATACCATTTGTTTATTTTGTTATTTTCTTTTATTTGTCTTTGCCACAGCACGACTCGCTCTGCTCTACGATACGATCTTCATTCGTAAACTCGTTTATCCACCACCACTGCAAATTGGGCGATTTTCCTTTCGGCATAGGAGTTCTGGGATGGGATTACCGGTACAACACAATGACCGCTACGGAGGCTATCTATCTTGCTATTTACTTGTTTTGCTCTATATTTTTTTTTCTTTGTTTCCGCAAGGCGTTTAGGATAGGCTATCCTATCGGAGGGAGAGGAAATACCTTCGCTTCTTACCACTTTTACTATCTCTGCCCGCGCGCATTGCATATGTTTACCATATCTCGTTACTGTCACATATCACAGTGAATGGATTGAAATTTTTGGATGGATTATTTATGGTGTTGGTGGGTGGGAAAAAAATCCTAGATGGAAGGAAATGTGTAATTTTTACTTGCGGGGTGGTGGGATTTGAGTCCGGGAGACTTTAGAAGGACTTTTGAAAGGAACTTTGTTTTGGGAGGGAAGCTGAAAATGCATATGCTTGCAGGCACAACATGAGATGAGTTGAGATGAGTCGAGACGGGATGGATGGATAGGATGGATGGATGGATGGGATGAGATAATTGTGTTTAGCATAGATAGCGTAGTGTAGCATAGCAAAGCATAGCATCGAAGAGTTAGCATAGCATAGCTTAGGAGTAGTGACAATTCAGCATTGCCATTTATTCATTCATTCATTCATTCATCCATTCATCGCATCGCATCGCGCAAGATTTACTATGAATTGAGTACATTTGCATGTTCCTTCTCCAGCCATACACAAACCACTACGCCATCCCATCAAGCATATATCCACCCCCTCCCCCCTTCTCCTCCCAAAATGTATATATATAATATATACATACAAAATAAAAAGTCACACAACTTACCTACCTTACAGCGTTACACCTTAACCTCCAACCCCCAATAATAATCACAACACAACACAACATAACATAACACAACACAAACCCCACGCTCAAAATATACCTACCTACCTACCGGTACGATACAAGTACTACACGTACAAGCAAGCAAGCAATCTGCATATTCAACCCATTTCCCTCTCCTTCTCCTTCTCCTTCTCCTTCTCCCTTCCCAACCCCCATCCTTCGGGGATTTTTAATTAATTTTTTATACGTGTATGTACGTGTACGTGTATGTGTATGTGTATGTGTATGCGGTGTGGTGTGAGTTTGGTGAGATTTATCTGTGATATATACACATATATACAGACGTACATATACATATGTATTTTAATTTACAAGTACAACATCACATCACATCATGTACTTCTGTATATTCAATCCTATTGCTGCGTACTACATACATATATACACAGACAATAGGAGATAGGTAGGTATTTAGAAAGAATAATTACTTTATGTAGGTATACATTCCTCATTCCTCATTCCTCCTTCCTTCATTATATATAGTATGTATGGTGCGAGTCTACGAATTCATGTTACATATATTGGTAACCTTGGGTAGTACAAACGTTAACCCCCAAATACCAAATATCAATATCAAATGCCCTCCCAAAACGCTTTTGCATCATGTATCTCCGAGTTTCGTAATACTACTGTGATTGATTATCTTATGTTGTGCATACTGCATTCTGTATGTATGTACATATATATATTTAAAAACCACGCCTTCATTTAACCCAACCGATGTCTCGGGTTATGGCTGCTCATGGCCTTTTATCTCAGTCTGATTCTTCATGTTGTCCTCCGTATTCGTCGTGAAATATCCATCTACCATTATCGCGACCGGGCTTTCGAATTCTTTCCATCATACCATATCCCTGTATACTGTATCAATCTCTCACCTCAACGCTCCTGAAAATTTCCCCTCATCGCCACCCCCAATATCGATATCACAAATGCCAAGTAGATTCGTGTTGCGCCCACTACTTCCCTCCTTCTTTTACAACCTATCTTCTCGAATCTCAAATCTCGAACCCTACATGTATAATTTCCTCTATATTACCCACAGACAAAACACGGTGTAGCTGTTGAACTTTTCCGCACAGACTCCTGCGTCTGCAGAGCTAAATAAATTCCCCGGCTAAGAAGACAAGGTAGATAGCTAGCTAGAGTTATGCATATCATAACATGGTAGATGAACGATATAAATGGGGGAACTGAAATGTGATTCGGCTTCAATCCCTCCAATCATGTTTGAATATCGTTTTCGTGAAGGATGTTTTCGTGTATTCGGAAAACTCCCTGTCGATATTGTGGAGAACTTGCTTTGTGGAGAATCAATTTCGAGAATAAAGCTTCAGAAATCGGTATCTTAAATTTCAACCCCAACAACAGGAGCTTCGCTAGGAGAATAATTTCTTTTATGCCCACTCGTAGATCCTTTTTTTTTGAAAATTTCGTCCAATCTTCGATACGTATCTGCTCCTCAAATTGTCGCAAAGATTTGCTTCTTCGAGCTTGGTTTTGGTGGTTTAGGACTATTAGGGTCTTCTTCACCGCTGGAGAGTAATATATATGAAGCATGATTTACTCTAGGATTCATGGATGAGCACGAAATTAGACATGAACATACATACCAGGAGGAGAAAGTCATTCTAGAAAGATTCCCTCGGTAGTCCGAGTGTATTGTCCCACTGTTATGCAGTTCATGTGGATGATCGTATGGTATGCAAGTGATATGATAGTTTGTGGTGTGATGGCAATCCTTGTTGTGTGCTAAGTCAATAGTGTGAATCTGAATCTAAACCACGGTAAAGTTAAAGTTTAAGGTATTCGTCATGTATGCGCAGGTATCATGCTCGTATGAGAGATTATGTCTTATACACCTTAAACGTCCGCCGATTGCGAGATTGAAAAGCCGCTGATCTGAGATCTGTCTAAATCTGAATTTCGGATGAGGGACGAGAGGATTTTTTATAATATTGGGCAACACAGAGCATTCAATAACTCGTAACTTCTATCCAGAATTTGGACCCTTTTCAGTGTCAACAAAAGACATGAACTAGGAAGGCGATTCAGCTATTTCAACAGAAATTTTATCCCAGCCAACGTTATATATGAGCTACGTGCTGCGGCTGCTTCGATATCTGAAATAGATGCGAAACTCCGGATGATCACGTCGTCAGCCTGCAGTCCAGACTATTGAGATACTGCTTTGGTACGATTGTGATTTGGGATAGATGCCGAAACTTGTTAGTTATTGCCGAATAGCGCAGTGATTCGATGCGCCTCTGCAATGGCTCTATGTATTCATAATTGTAATAAGATGAAGCTCAAGAAGAGGTAGTACCTGTGTTAAGAGCAAATTCCTGTTTTTAGTCACCCACGAATTGCTCCCTGAATCAAGGGATACTGGAAGCTAAAAGCTTGGATTAGATGGGGCACAGATCATGTTGGTGGATTGAAATCTGATCATGGGTGGGTACCAAAACCGGAACCAAAAAATGGAAAACTCGTAAAACTGCCTAAAAATAATGGATGGGACATAAATGCATTCTACATTCAGGCCTGCGCCTTATTGGTCTGCTTCATTGCATCCAACGTATGGAAAAGAAAAAGTGTCTTCCCAGGGCCGGAGAAGTCTCTCAACTGGCCAAAAAAGATGTTTTGTGCAAGAAACTCTCTGACGGGGAATTGAACCCCGGTCTCCCGCGCTTTGCCAGATGAGTGACAAGCGGAAATCATGACCACTAGACCATCAAAGATGTTGTTACTGTTGAAGTGACTCCCACTATTTGAAAATTTATAGCGCCAAGATGAAGCAAATTTTTGAGAAACTAGTGGACAGCACACTAAAAATCTTCGGAGATAATGCGTCAAAGCGTAAAACAGAGGCTGAGCCTGAGGCTGTGCAACTGAATGCTGGCGCAAGTGACCAAAGCTTCATCGTCCGCAGCTTTGCGCCGAATCGTGACAGTAAGTAGCAGGCTGACGATTTGTAAGTGAAATTCGAATGTTCTAATTTAGGATTTGGCTGATAGGGCTCCAAAACACTGCAGACAATATTCGGCTTGGTACCATCCATAAGCTTCCGGCGATGAGAATGTAGAACAAACTCAGAAACACGTGGACAGCAGTGTAGGATCGCGAGACTGGGCTGGCTTTCTGCACGTGATATGCATCATTGGTCGAATTGATATATGTTGCGAAAGCTACTATTGTTAGTAATACTAAAATCAAATATAAGGATATTCTCCAGAGAGTCAAAGTTGAGGTTCCAACCGGCATCTCCCGACAAAAATCACCATCAAAAAACTGATCAATAAATATATCACTCGAAGTGCAGATTCGATGGGGCAAGAAGAGGCCGATCAAGTACTCCCAAGCCGACGCCGACGCCGGGAAAGGTGAGTAAGCAGGTAGCATTGATTGTCAATTCACAACCATGCCGCAGTGACTTGAAAGACGCTAAGCTCCAGGAAAGTATGAGATATACTCCGTATACAGTATGGAGCAGACTGTATGCATTGAACTTGGGACTGTAGAGAGGCTCGTGAAAAGCTCAGGAGGAAGTTACACAACACTTGATTGTGGCCTTATTCAAATAAATCTTCTATTTTCTTGATAATTCTCATCGTGGCCAAAATTGCAAAGTCTTTGACATGTTGGTTGATAGTGATACAAGTGAAAAAGGATGAATGAGATATGTAGAACTATTCGACTACGCGATATTGGTCCAAGGTTCCCCGCGATTCCATGTGATAAATCTAGACGATCGAAGTTCGATTAGTCATTAGCGCACTATGCACTAGCCTGCTCCTGCCTGAGGCTTTATCAACAAAAATTCGCTAAGCGAGTTTCTCGCACAAGTTTTTCGAAGAAAAATTAAGTTCGAAGAACATCAACACCTTTCCGACAACCAACGACAACCACGACGCAGGTCATTAATCCGTCGAAATGGCTTCCCGACCAACAGTTTCCGTCTTGTCTGCCGATGGCACCGCCACCGGCACGACCATCCCTCTTCCAAAGGTACGAATACCGCGATGCGAAAAATCAAAGTCGATATAATGGAATTTTGAGGCTTTTGGGACTTTGGAAGGAATTGAAACTGACGGCAATTGAATAGGTCTTCACCTCCCCGATTAGACCTGATATTGTTCAAACTGTTCACACCGGAATGGCCAAGAACAAGCGTCAACCATACGCTGTGAGCGAGAAGGCTGGTCACCAAACCTCTGCTGAGTCCTGGGGTACTGGTTAGTGCAAATATTTTATACAATATAGAAGGATTGGGCAATTGGCTAGGCGCGAAAACTCAAAGAGCAGAGCTTTTTACAATTGGAAAAAGAGTTCAAGCTAATTGTGGTATCTATACAGGTCGTGCTGTTGCCCGTATTCCCCGTGTCTCTGGTGGTGGAACTCACCGTGCTGGTCAAGCTGCTTTCGGTAACATGTGCAGATCTGGACGTATGTTCGCCCCTACAAAGGTCTGGAGAAAGTGGCACCAAAAGATCAACCTTGGACAAAAGTGAGAATTCGATTTTGAACCTTTTCTCAAACTCAACTAATTTTATTTAGGCGATTCGCAACCGTTTCTGCCCTCGCTGCCTCCGGTATCCCAGCTCTCCTTTTCGCTCGTGGTCACCAGATCTCCGAAGTTGCTGAAGTTCCACTCGTCATCAACTCCGAGGTCTTTGAGGGTGCCAAGATTGCTCGCACTGCTGCTGCAGCTGGTCTCCTCAAGACTGTCGGTGCTTTGAAAGACGTTGAGAAGGTTAAGGATTCCCGAAAGCTCCGTGCCGGTAAGGGTAAGCTCAGAGGTCGTCGTCACAGACAGAGACGTGGACCTCTCGTTGTCTACGACGGAGCCACCGATGGCAAGGAACTTGTCCGTGCTTTCCGTAACCTCCCAGGTGTTGAGACCTGTGATGTTTACTCCTTGAACTTGTTGCAATTGGCACCAGGTGGACACCTCGGCCGTTTCATCATCTGGTCTTCATCTGCCTTCAAGGCTCTTGACAACATTTACGGTACCACCACTGCCCCCTCCGCCCTCAAGAAGGACTTCCTCCTCCCATCCAACGTTGTCTCCCAAGCCGACATTGGACGTCTCATCAACTCCTCTGAATTGCAATCCGTTATCCGTGCTGCTAAGGGATCCGCGCTTACCAAGCGTGCTGGTGTTCAGAAGAAGAACCCATTGCTCAACAAGCAAGTTCTTTTGAGATTGAACCCATACGCTGCCGGATACTCGAAAGAGAAGATCGGTACAAAGGGATTGGATGCCGGCAAGCCTGAGCGTATTAACAAGACTCAATACGCCGAGGTCTTGAAGGAGGATTAAGCGGTTGTGATTGTTTTTGTTTTCAAATATTCAATGAGGGGTGGGACATTGTAGGCGCTTATGATAGCTTGATGGCTTCAAGCGGAGGTCTTCATAAGTAATGAAAAATATTACGGACGCCTAAATCAAAAAATGATACCTTTATCTCTCTTGCTTAATACTTGTGATATATGCAATGATATCTTTTAGCCACCCCGTATTCAACTATCTTGGACAGGTCCACGAAGCAGGTGCCGAATGTAAGGTCTTTCCTCCCGCCTTTCTCTGGCGCCTCTAAGTAGTTTGGTCCATGAATTTCAACAACAGCCATGAAACTCAGATTTTCTTTCTCCCGTTAGCTTCCACCATACCCAGAACAAAAACTTCAGCGTCCTCCTACATAACTTCCCCCATTTTTCCTCGGGTTTCCTTTCAGAATTATCCTCCTCTATCAATCCTCTCCTTTTTCCAAATAAATTCGCACACCGTGATATCACCCATCTGCTTTTGTCTTATATTCATAACCAATATAGAGATTGGGATATAGTCTACTATTAAATTTGGCCATCTATTTCTCTTCTCGTTCCGTTCACTGAGCTTCTGCGCTTTCCATAGCGAATGTCGGGGATGTATTGAATTATGTTATGAGACAAGAGGATATTAGGGCGCATAAGGGGGCTTTTGGGCGGAAAGGGACTGTGTACGAGTTGGATAATGTCGGTCATGTTTGGGCTCGTCGGGCTCGGATGTAGGAGACGTGGGTTACTAGTATGTATACTGTTCTAGATTAAGATGCTGAAGACGGTTGACGCTAGATTGTGGGAGTTAGAAGTCATAGTTCTTGGGAGGAGATTACTTGAGAGATAATGTGGAATTAACAGGCATTTAGAATTGATTGTATATCAAAAATGACATCGGGATTGCGGAAGAAGCAAAACATTGAGGAACCGGTCGAGCCTACGGCTTGTAAAATATTTCAATGTTTGAAAAGTATTGATACGCACAGATCTATATTCAATTATACAAAGGGCGGAACTTGACTCAAGTACATAAATTTGCACCACGTGGAATCTGGTGCGAGAAAAAATGCAGGGAACATTGTAATCTGTGTTCAATAGAGAGGGAGCATAAAATTTGAGTAGCTACCGGGTATTTATAAACCGAATTTGCATAAAAAGTGAGAATTAGGAACAGACTTTTGTGAGAGAAGGGAGCACGCGAATAGGAGCAAATTTTGCGGTGACGACGAAAGGAAAGGCCTATTGGCGTTGTGGATGGAGATGGTAGCAGCACATAGGAAGGGTTGTGAGTTCTAGGGGATCTTGAGATTTCGAAGGAGAATGAGGACGATGTGGAAGAGACGGATGCGGAGAAGATTAGTCTAACAAGCAGCACGGTAAACATTTCGAAGAGGGTTTCGCTATATTACAGTGATGACGAGGAGTTCTGCTTCGAGGGAAAAAAGACAGCACTTGAAGGTACGCACCAGAAGCCGAGTGACTTATTTTAGATCCGGATGAATGTTTGTTAGCCTAGACCGTGCGAATCATTTGGTAAAAGGTGGCTTCGTAGATGTCGCACGCCCTCTATATGAGAGGCAAAAGCTGCAGGACTTCCCAAGATCGAAAGATCTTTTAGTGCCAAAACCATAGATATAAGTCTAATCATGATGATTAATTTAGCTCGAAAGCGCAAATTCTAATTCTCCAAATATTTCAGCTTCGAAATATTTGATGGCAACTATGGCCATGAGGATTATAGTAACAACATCAGCTGCGTTGGATCCAGGTCCGTCATATCCAGTTCCCTCAAAGAAGAGCTGTAAAACTAGTACTGATGCTATGGTATTATTGGTTATTGTGTCGATGTGCTGAAATCCCGTGAATTAACTAACCCTCTACAACGGGATAATGGGGGTTCTGCTAGTTTCGGAGAGAAAGTTCCAATCCAGAGCAAAGCTCAAAGCGATATCCACGGGACCAATGTCAAACTAGGTGAACCCGGATGGTAGGACAGCCATTTCTCCATGGGAGTCATTACTTCACAACATGAAAGTCTCACGAGTGCATGTCCGAACAACATTGATGCCGGACCAACTCATGCCAGAGTAGGACCTCTTTCCCCATTAATCACTCTTCGTTTTATAAGTTGATTCCCTTGTCATACTCATGTATTCACATCAAGCCCATCTCAAGAGCTCTTCAAGTAGAATTATCTCACCCACTTCATCCAGATTTCACCCGTCCCCAGCTCCATCGTCAATCATTACATTCGTCTTTTGAAATTGCGATTTCTCTCCTTCATGGTTCTTTACTAAATCAAAAAGAATTTGAACAAATGGTTCGAACATGTCTAGACTGCGCAACAGGGCTCCGCGTGGCAGATTATTACCCTTAAAAATTAACCCGCAGATAATCCATTTACAAAACAGATAATTAAAGAATATAAATAAATAACCCGCAAATTATTTACAAATTATTTGTGAATATCCATCAATTTACAGATAATCCATCAATCTACAGGCAAATAGATTATCTACAAATTATTTACAGATTATTTGTAAATTATTTATAGAATAAATATTCGCTTAAATTTTGGAACTATTCCTACATTTTTTATATTAGTTTTTATACCAATATTTATAAATTATACTTATTTTATACAAATTATACCTAATTATAAATTAACAGATTACCTACAGATAATCCGCAAATAACCTATATAATATAGATTATTTTAAAATTCCAATAGGTAACCCGCGAAGTGGATTTTAGGTTTATTGGATAGCCCGTGAAGCGGATTATTTGCGGATATCCGCAACCCATAGGTTATTTTTGCGTAGTCTAAACATGTCTATGCGAGGTTCTATGGGCGGCGCCATATGTGGTTCGAAGGTCACTTGGTAAGGCTTGAAGTCATCTTTTAGATGAAGGTTACGGCCGGGCTGGAGCACAAAGGATGGCATGAATGCACCCAGCCTAGAATACCTTGCATATTTATGACAATGTCCAAAAACATGAGAACAATGCCGGAACAAACTTAAAAAAGTGCAAATATTGGGATTTAAAAGGGACGAGAGGCACATTTCTTTCTTCATTTTTGTATCTTATCATCCTTCACTGAACTTCAATCTAAACACAAGACTGATATTCACGAACGATATTCAACCTCACAACATCACACATATTACACTCATCACCAAGAAGCAACAAGTCAACATGAATGCTTTGATGGAGGTAATAATGTTCGCATTCTTTGCTGCCACATTCGGCCGATTTCTTGACTGGATGCTGGACAGAGCACAGCGAAGAGTGGAAGATGAACCAGTGACATATGTCACCATCTGCATTCACTATTTCATCGTTGTTGACCTCCCCGAGCCAGAGGCCCCCAACCAGTCCCCAGCAGAGACTGACTGAGTCAAGACCAGGTTGAGTGAGAGACCATCATTTGGTGATGTGATCAGCAGAGCGTGTGAAGTGATTATTTCATTTACCAGTGAACGACAAGAAAAGCCATAGGTGAACCAATACTGGACGGACAGTTGCGCTCCCTAGACAATATTTTCATTTGTTGAACACTTTCATTTTTCATGTAGTAGAAAAATAGCTCTTCCTTCGAATTGAAATTAAAATTTTATTGACTGAACTAATACGATTCCTGAACTTGCCTATGAAAAGTGACCACCGTGATATCCGTGATATTCTCATTCACCCGATAAAGTGCTTATGATATTATCATCATTAACAAGCGCAGATCTAAGTCTCCATACTAATTAGTCTATGAATCCAAGAACAGGACACATAAACCCATGGGGAAGATATAAGACAAGCCCAGACATCGGTTAACCGCAACTTTCCAAAGACTTAATAAGAATACTATAAGCATATCTTCAGCAAAATTTCGAACTTTTCCAAACTTGGATTGCATTTTAGACAGCTTGCAGTACACAGTACCTACTATCCTACAGAATATTTGCATCGCGCCAAAATTGTACGATTTACTGACCTTGCTTAAGTCAATCTTCGTTCCTTGCAATGCAAAGAGTAACCTACCGCTGTGGTGTTTTTATGAAGAGTTCTCATTCCCATCTACGCAACAATCCCGCATACTACTTGATAAATTTCCATGGTAAGCCAAAACATACTTGAGTTATTCGCGTATTATAAACAGACCCCTGCAACAATTTCCGAAATTCATAGATGATGGATAAATATGACTATGTAGACATTAATATTCAGACCAAACTTAGTAGATTATCTTTTTCCTTGCCGAGCGCTCCCGATTCCTTTGTTCTGCAACTGAGCATTGTTACAGGAACAGAGGAATCGAGACAGGAGGCGAACAAGCCATTGTCCCTTCATAGGTGAACAAAGGGGATAGAAAATGCAAAGAAATATACAGAATAGTCCAAAGTATTCATAAATGTAAGAACAACTCCTCACGATACCTATAAATGCAGTCTTATCATCCATAATATGTCTCTCCATTCTCCCCAGTCCAGGCTCATCAACACTACAACATCAAAGCTTCCGACGACAGCGCCAACCAAAGCTCAACATCGTCTACAGTTTAAGTCCACATCACAGAAAACTTCCCATCAACCAGCAAGATGTGCATTCACAAACGCATGATCTTCACTGAGTGCGGCCATAGCCGCTGGGGCAAGGAAGTAAAAGCCTGTGATCAAGAACTTGCCTTTAGGATATCTCCAACCACATCCGTCTCTTGCGACACAATGTATGGCCATCCAATGCATACTATCAAGATCGGTCAGATTTGCAAAACATGTGAAACCAAGAGAGGTAACACGGATAGAACTGCGGAAAAGTTGAAGGAGGCATTGAAGGATATCAGGGAAAGTGTTGAGAGAATGGAGAAGATGCAAGAAATGTTTGTGACTGAAAACAAAGCATCAATTGATGCCGATTTTGACGATGTGGCGGCCTTGGAATCATGGGATTAAGTCAGATCTCTGGTAGGTCCCGCAATCTTGAAACCCTGTCAGATCTCTGGTAGATCTTGTAAGATAGAGAAGAGTCGATAACACCGCAGGTCCCATGTCTTGCTGAGCAATACAAAATACATTGAACAGAAATAGAAAGTCCGAGAAAACGATATAGTGCCAAAATGAAATTAAGAGTGAAGTGAACGAACGTAACATGGAACGTGGGAAGAATGAGTAACATGAATACGCTGAAAGACTCACTATCAGCCACGTATTATAAAGAAAAATATCTGGACATGACAATTGAAATGCCAACCTGTGTAATTTCACATGACGCACGCCTAGCCAATCTGTATTAGGGCTCACATCGCCCAATTTGCTGATAAAGTTGCATATTTTATTTAAAATCTGCATACTCTGGTCCAGAGTGTCTCTGATATAGTAGTACATTAACCTCATTCCAATGATAGAGTAAGAAGACTATAATTCCCTGACGAGAACAGGTTGTTATGCATATTTGCAATGCAATTGCATATTGATATCCAGTGGCCGCCGTCTCTTGACTCTGGTATCAGTCCCATGCCGGTCTCGACTGAGTTAACCGGAAAGCGCACATGATCTTGATGCCCCAAGACTGAATTTAACCTTCAATTTCCTCCACAGACTTGACCCTGAGCTCAGCAATTCTCAAAATCGTGTACTTGTGCTTGCTCTTCACAGTTTTTATTTTTCTGTTCCTTCTTTTCGTCTTCTCTTTGGTCCTCATTGGTTCCGCCTCTGTGCCCATAACTCTCGCCCTGCACTCAAATATCCTTTCATCCAAATAAGGCGTTCCTTTCAAGGTGTAATCTCTCGAACCAATGCTCGAAGCGGTATTGAGGCGTAAAACATCCCCAGGCACTACACCTGGCATGCGAAATGGCAGTCGTACTGTGTCTCCTACAGTCACAAGGTATGGCCGACTGTAAATGTGTGTAGTTATGAAGTGTGATGGTTGGGCAGTGAGAAATGGAAGCATCTCCTTGACCGAGGGAGATAATGACAGTGGCGCAATGCTGGGAGATGGCACGACCGGTTTCGAAGATGCGATTGAGGAATCTACTGGCTTTAAAGATGCTGTTGAGGATAATGGGCTAGCATTGCTGTTCTCGATGGGCGATTCGACATGTTGTGTTGTAGAATTAAAGAAGCGTACTCGACTTGGTAGGAGGGAGGTAGGTGGAAGTGTTGCACTTGGTATCCTTACGTCCAATAAGGACTTCCTAATCGTCCTGCTAAACATCCTGAAGTCGACGATGCCGTATGATCAATGAAGTCTTTGATATTCAAATCTACAATTCCGATCTTGTTGAAGCTTAAATTTTGATGACTAATAAGTTTTAAGCTAGATTTCTTTCTGCGCTAAGAAATTTGTTATCGATAATCGTCGGCCTCGACCAAATAATTTTTTGAATCGTTAAAATTCCACAACCACTCATCATAATAATTCATCATGGTATGTCTGGAACTAGTCACCATCCTGATAAATACTAATTGACTGTTAATAGCCTCAAAATGAGTATATGGAAAGATGGCGCAAGCTTCACGGTCGTCGCCTCGATCATGAAGAGAGATCGCGAAAGAAGGCAGCAAGAGAAGGGCACAAAGCATCTGATGATGCACAGAAATTGACTGGTCTACGAGCGAAATTGTATCAGCAAAAGAGGCGTCATGAGAAGATTCAAATGAAAAAGCAGATTAAGGCTCACGAAGAACGAAATGTGAAGTCCTCTGCGCCAAACGAACCATCGACCACACCCTTGCCTCAATACTTGCTGGATCGATCGAACCCTACCAATGCCAAGGCATTGTCAAGCGCAATTAAGAACAAGAGGGCGGAAAAGGCTGCCAAGTTTAGTGTGCCGTTACCCAAAGTCAGAGGCATTGCAGAGGAGGAGATGTTCAAGGTGGTGAAGACTGGAAAGAAGACTGCTAAGAAGAGTTGGAAGCGGATGATCACGAAGGTATGCATCTTTGATCTATCGACGGGTAGAAATTTCACTCCTTGGGAAGATGCTAATTTAAACTTTTTTTTAGCCAACTTTCGTCGGTCCAGACTTCACAAGAAGACCTGTCAAATATGAGCGATTTATTAGACCCATGGGTTTGCGTTATAAGAAGGTATAGTTTTTCCGGGTGTCCAAAATTCCATGAAAATTCTAACACGTACCAGGCAAACGTTACTCACCCAGAGCTTGGTGTAACCGTGCAACTACCTATCATCAGCGTCAAGAAAAACCCACAAAATCCAATGTACACACAATTGGGTGTTCTCACAAGAGGAACTATCGTTGAGGTCAATGTATCTGATTTAGGTTTGGTCACGGCTGGAGGAAAGGTCGTCTGGGGTAGATGGGCACAGATTACCAATAATCCCGAAAATGATGGATGCGTCAACGCGTAAGTTCATATCCTTGTCTGCACAGCTTACAAAAACTAACAATTTTAGTGTTCTCCTTGTTTAAAAACTTAACTCTGATATCAAATCTATATTTACGCATGGTGTTCAGGCGTTGGAAAAACGGAAGATAAAGAAAAGGCTAGTGCAATCGTCATTAGAATTTAAATGGAGGAGGATTGTATGCCCCGTTTGGCCATCTTGAGAAAACCAAGTGAAGTTAACATTATAATAACAATTTGTATTTAAATGATTTTGATACGAATGTTAGCTCAAGAAACTATACGATTGCTTATGTGACTGCTGTTATGAAGATTGAACGCTAAACTGCTTACTTTAGGCAACCGCGATGAGATCTTTATCATCCTTATTCTGCGCAGAGCATGCGTGTAACCACAATCTTCATTTCAAATTAAGACACCATGGCATTAACAACATCACAAATAGAAGCAATTGAGCGTCTAGCACTTATCAAGTTCCACCAAATCTTCAAAATTCCAGCGACGGAAACCCACTCAGAGCTCAAGGTATCCTATGCCATCGCAGGACCATCAGATGAGAATGTACCGACTATCCTCTTTGTTGCGGGTATGCTAGGTATACGATGGCTGGCATTTTTGTTTGATCATGTGGCAACAGTAGAGGGCGTGAGAATAATTTTTATAGACAGGTGGGTGGTATTGTCCTTATTCAGTTGGGTGTTTGGGACTCTATTTCATTGTTCGAGTTGAACTGGCCATTCAAAACGAAGTACTTTGAGCGTATATCTGGCTAGCCGAGCATGTCAATACCCTCAATAAGTCTATTTGCTCTTGGATTATGAACCGCAATATCAAACATAGCAGACCACACATCACCTCCATTTAAAGTTATAACATCGCCCAAACTAATGTATCCCTAGACCTGGGTTTGGAGGTTCTACAACCGTCCCACTCCGAGACCGTTTGCCCGTTTATCTTGAGACTATTCCTCTTCTCCTCGATCATTTGAACATCAAACATGTTTCACTTGCAAGTCACAGTGCTGGAACCATATACGCTCTCAACATTATCGCCCGCCTTCCTCACATTATTTGTCCAAGCCGGCCCAGGATCACTCTGCTTTCTCCATGGGTCCATCAAGATCTCTCATCGAAAACATTCCTTCAGGTCGCTTCGATGCTTCCAAATAGTGTGATCAATCACTGGGGTTCGGTCATTAATTTCGTTTTGAACAACGCTACGCCTATGATAGCAAGTTCAGGAGGAGTGTTTGCTGCGTTAAAGTCTTCCTTCTTTGCCCCAGGAATTGCTACAGAAACGCGGAGAGAGATAGCAGATCAGAAGATCCGAGAGAGTTATGGCGTGTCGAAGGAGACGAAAAAGGAGATGGATAATCTACTATTTAAGTGGGCATTTCTAGAAGATACGACAGGCCTAAATGATGAGGCAAGATTGTGTTTGAAGAAGACAGATGACTGTAGTTGGGATGCTTGTGAGGACTACGAAGAGATGGTCAAATCTTTGGCAGAAATGTGGACGCAAAGGGTGGAAAGAAAACAAAGTGCGATGCTGGAAGTGAAAATCTACCTTGCTGAAGATGATATCATGACTGGCGAGAAGGGAAAAGAGTACTTCCGGAAGTGTTGGACCAGTGAGGATTGGGTTTCAGGAATTCAAGTAAACTGTGAGCAATTGGAGGGTACAGATCATGACAGCGTGCTAGACCCATTGACGAGTTTACGAGAGATTGCGAGAATGGCAAAGCAAACATTGGATTGAGAAGCCTATTCTGAACCTTACAACGAGTAAGCACTCAAAACGCGGCAGTTGGTGTGCACATATCAACGACTGCAAGATAGATTATGGCATGGGAGGGAATGTTTTTGTCGACTATGGCACAGGTGTATTTTATTGAAAACAGAATAGAGTAAAGAAACGCTCAATGGCCTATGACTTTTCTCTAATCTATTGCGCCTTGGATGAAACAATCTCTGTGACCGGATTAGTATTATACATATGAACAGTAGGAGGGGTCACGTACTCTCAACATCAGCAATACTTTGCTGTAAGATTTGTTGCAAAACCTTTGGGTTCTCGAGTTCCTTTTGGATCTTGGAAATGATGCTTTCTGAGAGTTCTTTTTGTTGACGGATCTTGACTTGTCCCTCGTATCGTACCCATGAGTCAAGAACAGATTTGGCCTCGGCAGCGAGAGCGGTTTGTTGCTCGAGTTGGTAAGCCTTGGCCTCAAGTTGTGCAGTTTCCTGTAAGCTTTGTTAGCAAAACACCCCAAACATTCCATACTCCGTAGCTCATCATACCTTGGAGACCTCGAAAAGAGTCTTGGTGATATCAACAACGGTGCCCAATTGTTGAACGCTCTCAATTCTAGTCTTGACGGCCTCGGTGTGGTCTGCACGGGCAGCATTCAAGATGTTCTTGATCTTGTTAACTTGACCGGTCGCCCATTCCGAGTACAATGGTCCACCAAATTTAAGAACAGATCCCCAAATGCTCAAAAGACAGAACATAGCAACAGTCTCCTCGTTGACCACATAGTATTCGTTGCTAAGGGCATATAGTGAAACACCTCCAGCTGCGGAGAGGATGGCAGTTTTGGAGATGAGAGAGTTGCCTGGGAGGGAGTCGAGAAGCGACTGTGCCTTTCGCTTAGGGTCCTCTGCTGGTACATTAGAGGAAGAGGATCGCGAACTCGAGATCGATGTGAGGGCCGGGAGGGTACGGGAAGAAAGAGCTGGTCGAAGACGAGCGGCCCCTACGTTGTGTCAGTCAATCGTAGCCAGCAGCAATTATCATGTAATTTTCAATTCCATATGTGCCACATACCTAAGGCGCTTCTTGTCAATAGTCTTGATGCCATTTTGGTATGAGGGGAGATAATGGTACAGCAGCTCAAATTGGTTGAAAGGCTTGAGACGAGGTTCTTTCGGAATTCGCTTCCCACCTCACTTTGAAGTTTCTCATGTAAGAGTGCCTCAGGCTGAGAACTCCCTAACTTTTTTGGTTTTATCTCGATAAGAGAAATAAATTTCTAGACAATTGGTAAGTGTAAACTCCATTACATATTTCACAATGCCTGGCACCATACTTGATTCGAAAAGTCCTTCGAAAAGTCCTTCGAAAAGGAAGAGAGCTGTATCGGAAAAAGGACCTTCGAAGCGTGCACGATCTGAAAGTAGTGAAGAAGATCCCCAGGCGCAAATTCTCCTCTTAGAAAATGAAATCTTCGAGTCGAAGAAGCATTATAACAATATTGCAAGGCTAATTGGTATTGCACGAGATGATTCTGAAGGTGCCGATGCATCAATACTTGCCACCATATCGCTATGTCGGGTTTTTACCAAATTAATAGTACTTGGAGCCTTACAGAAAACCAAAGAGACCTCGGGGAAAGATGCGACTGTGATTCAGTGGCTTAAGGAAAGATATTCGGAATATAAGATTATTCTTCTCGATATGCTAAGCCAAGAAGACGCTGCATCTACGGCATTGACTCTGTGCATGCGAATGTTGAAGATTGAAGGGCAGCATCTGCGAAACGGTCAGGATTACTGTTTTCCCACAGGACTTCTTACGGATATGGTTCAGGTTCTCGTTCGTCCTGAAAGTGATAGTGGTATAAGAAGAGAGTTTAGTGAAAAATTCGTTGAGGAATATGATGATGTTAGATTTTACACCTTTGAAGCTATAGAGTAGGAGTACCCCTTCCTACTTATTTCCATCTACTGATAGTTTTAGAAAACTAGCCACAGTCTCCGACGATCGACATTTGGGCAATGATCTCTTTGATACTGCTTACGAGGTTCTAACGTCAATATCATCCGTTCCTGAATCCAAGGACGAACTCGAGGACTTTTATATACCTGCACCGAAGAAAAAGGCACACGCGCTTTACTCCTTGACGGAACATAAGAAGCGAGCACAAGGAGCATGGTTAGCCGTGATGAACTTGGAGATGGTAAAAGAAAGAAGGAAAATGATACTTTCAAAAATTACTGAGTCTATTGCACCGTGGTTTACCAAGCCCGAACTGCTAATGGACTTTCTGACCGACTCATACAACTCTGGCGGATCAACTTCATTGCTATCACTCTCTGGTGTCTTTTATCTCATTCAGGAGAAGAACTTAGATTATCCATCCTTCTACCGCAAGCTATATTCGCTATTAGACACTGGTATTCTACATTCGAAGCATCGCTCAAGGTTTTTCCGGTTATTAGATACCTTCTTATCCTCAACACATTTGCCAGTAGTACTTGTCGCGAGCTTTATCAAGAGATTATCCCGACTTACGTTACACTCCCCTCCCTCTGGCGTCGTTGCGGTCGTGCCGTGGATCTACAATTTATTGAAAAAGCACCCAACCTGCTTATTCATGATTCACAGAGAGACTAGAGGGGCAGAAGCGAAGAAGATTTTGGAAGAAGAAGGGCTTTCCGATCCATTCCTTATGGATGAAGAAGATCCGATGTTGACCAATGCTATAGAAAGCAGCTTGTGGGAGATTGTTACACTGCAATCACATTATCATCCGAACGTTGCAACACTCGCCAAAATTATTTCAGAACAATTTACGAAACATTCCTACAACTTGGAGGATTTCTTGGATCATTCTTATGGAAGTGTAAGTCAAAATATAACGTACACGCCGCCAATAAGTTTTTACTGACAATGTCATACAGATGCTTGAATCCGAGTTAGCAAAGGAAGTGAAGAAGGTGCCGGTTGTCGAATATGAGATACCCAAGAAGATTTTTATGAAGCATGATGTTGATGCTGGCCTGGAAGAGTCTCTACTTGTGAAGCTGTGGAACTTTAATTAGATCCTGTGAGCTTTAGTGGTTATAATTTCACACTGGCGTGTCCTTGCTTTGAGGTATTGTTGAAAATGGATCCTTCGATGCAATCACCGAGATCAAATTGAAGGTGGAGCAAAGCTAATGAAGGGGTTCATACAAAATCTATACAATTTAAAGATTGTGGCTTCATTCTTGATCAACAAAGACAGAGAAAGCGATTTTCTTCAAATCTATTGTTTAATATATGAAAAACGAAAGTGTGATGTTACAAATAACCTTACATAGGTACAGAGTTTGATGTTTGTAAAGCTAGAAACACTATGTGACCTTGCGTAACAACCTTGCATTGAAAACAAGCCCAATGTACCGCGCCCCTTTCCACTGCACAACATACCATACCTCCAAAACTCAAAGATCTGCGGCAGCGACCATGTGCAAGTCTGGGGTGAATAAGCTTTGCTTGCATGCCTTATAATATGGATTGATAAATAGTAAGTAATGGCCGTCATTCTTGGCAACGGCCGCGGCTTGAGAGCCACACTGCATATTCATCTTCATTCAGTGGTAACACCAATTCACCCACCACAAGGCTACATACAGGCACACTGTTTCTACACCAAATCACAACTTCAAGTCTTTTAACTAACATGAAAAATGCCTCTTCTTGATTTACTAAAGAAAAAGGACAAAGTCGGAGGAAATGATGCGCATTCCCCACGCGCCGATCCAGAAGCTGGTCCAGTTTTCACATTTATGAGAAGTGTAAGGTTGCTACATACAGCGGATGAAATAGTACCTCATTGCTACAACATGGCTAACAGGACACAAGGATACACAAACAGAAGAAGTGATATCTCCACCGAGTTTCTCTTCCTCGGAAGCATCCTTGCAACCTTCGGCGGGCAAACCAAACAATGAATCGCGAACGAGTCGACTATTCAGAGGACGGCCTAGAAGCAACTCGCCCGAATCGGGAAAGTCGGGCACATCTGGCGCATCAAATTCTTCAAGAATTAGTGATCGGTCACCGTCAAGACCAGTACAGAATAGTAAAAAAATGTCAGAACGGTTTGGTTTGCGCAAGCATGAAGTAGGATCTTCGCATGTTCCGAGCGATTTGCCGGAGATTACAGTGGAAGAGGCTGCGTCAGATGATAAAAGTGCGGAAGTACAATGGGAGAAGAGGGCTACCATATTGGCACAACAAAATGAAAGATCAATAAGCAGACCAGGTTCATCATCTGGCAGTCCACCAGGTAGCAAGAATAGGAATCCTGGGGAAATCTCCAGGGCGATAAGCCCGGGGAGAAATACTTCGGGTGTGGTGGCTAGCAGAACTGTAGATGATGATCTTCAGGAAGCTATTCGGCTTCATGAGGAAGGTCACCTGGAGGAAGCAACAAAGTTATTTGCAAGATTGGCAGACCCTAATGGTGCAAATAATGCTCTTTCTCAAGTCTTATATGTAAGCTCTACTTAGCTCATTTCTATCACAAATCCGCCTGACATGAGGGTGGTAAAGCTTTAGCTCAACAGCTCTGCCAACCTATGTTTCTCAGGTATTGCCGAACTTGCCAGCAAAGATCTTCTGTTAGGTGCACATTCCCGTCTAATTGCTAATATTTCGTACAGGGTCTTGCTCTCAGGTACGTTAAACATGGCCCTTTATACGACCTGCATCGGGCCGTCTGCTTGAAGAACAAGCCGATCTCTTCCGGATATCGATTATTACCATTTCGGGTCTTGACTAACAGTACAGACATGGCTGGGGATGTCAAGCTAATCCAGCTGAAGCCGTCACCTACCTTTCGGCAGCAGCATCAAATGCAGCAGCAAGTATGTACCTACCTTGAAAATCTCATCACGTTTCAAACAGGCTCTTCTTTTTGTCATGATTCCTCACATTGGCATAGTACTGACTTCGTGGATAAGTCGAGGAGCTTGCGCTGCAGTCCGGAAAGATGAAAGGGGGAGCTGCTAAAGGAGAGCTCGTCATTGCGATTTACGAACTAGCAAACTGCTTCAGAAATGGTGAGGATATTCCGCTGAGTTGTCAGCTTTGTTCCTGGCAGATCTCTGCCAAGATCCCGGCTCTATGTTGATAAATTCTTTGCCACCCTTGATTGTCGTTGATGGGTTTAGAGGATGAATGTCCTAATCAAGTAATACTGACATTTTGGGTCTTCTTCAGGCTGGGGTGTTAAGGTAGATCCCACAGCAGCACAGAAAGTAAGTGGGCTCCAGTTATTGGGTCGCGGGAAAGCCCGCTTGTACATTACTGATGTTAATGTAGTACTACCAAACTGCCGCAGAGCTTGGGGATACAGGTATGCACGAAGCTTTCGCCTAACATAATTATCAGGCCATTCACTGACATTACCGTAGATAGCATGAATGAGGTGAGCCTACGCAGTTCTTCCTATTTGGAAGGCAAAAGTCTGCCGATACTTATATCGGGCTACGATGTCGTATTACATAGATCTTGATCAAGGCAAACTGACTAGTCATCACAGGTTGCACGGTGTTACTTAGAAGGATTTGGTAAGCGTCCTGTCTCCCCAGCAACCAAGTTCGAGCTCGAACTCGTAATTCTCACGTTTGCCTGATCTAAATATGCTGACCACTCTCCCCGCAGGCTGCAAAAAAGACAAAGTAAGTTCGCCCGGTCGTTCGCCAACCTCTCCTCTACATACATCCTCTCAAACACCAGCCTCGGATCTAACAAACCACTACTGTGGCTTGCGCTGTACGCATGGATCTTTTACATTGCATTTGGGCAGCAATGAAGCAACCTTTTCATGCACCCTCAACCGAATGCTGAACCCCTGGCAAACCCTCAAAATATTCCTAGCCATTCACAAGATGAGGCTGATAGTTCCTTTTGGGTATGGTCCCGTTACCATTAGCAATACTAACTCGAATTTTTTGCAGTACCGAGCAGCGTACTATCTTCGCAAAGCCGAAAATGCGGGTGTGAAAACTTTAGGCAACTCTTGGTGAGCTTTTCCTTTTCCTATTTGGAACCCGTATCTGAAGAAAATCCTTTCGGAAAATTTCTGCTTCATGGGAAGCTGTCTCAGCCTGGTTACTTCAAGGTCTGTATTCTTTTCAGCGGCAGCCCCGCTCCAGTCATTTAGTGATGGTTCGTTCGTTCATTGTCTTGGTGAGTGGGGTACAACGATATGCATCTGCTATCTTCATGCATTTCATAGGTACATTGGTACGGAAAATCAATTGGCTCACATTGTCTCCTCGGCAATGTCGGTTAGATATATACCTTGTAGAGAGATGTTTGCTGATTATAATTGGTCACATGAATATAGGATTTGGAAGGATAAATACAATCCCAAGAAATAAAAATTCGAAAACGGAAGTTCTAAATAATTAGGACTAGGGAAGTTGAGGGTTTGCTAAAGATAAGATACTTTTTGGACGAATGACTAATGCGTTTTGTTCACATTTGCTTTTCTTTTTTTTAGCTTCGCTAAGCTTCGGGTCGGGTCGAGAGAACAAACGGTCTCCAGTTACTTGAGTTGGGTTAGGGTTTTCTTTTTCGTCTTTGGCTAATGCTATTCGTTGATATTTCACTTTCATGGAGCAGCTGGAAACGGTCACATTGGATTGGCATCTCGGAGTTCTTTACGTATTTTACGGTACCTGAAATACCTGGGCTGGCTTATTCATACCTCTTTTAATCCTAGTTCTATTATAAAACTTCATCTACTAAACCTAATTCTATTGATTTACTCTTTTGGTCCATCGGGTTCTCTCAGTTAGCTTGCTTTGGTCTTTTTTTTATTAGTTTATTTAGTTTTGTCTTCTGCAGTCAGCACATACCTAATTAAGTAATTAAGAATAGTCAAGACTCAAGAGTCACCCCCCAAGATCAGCGCAGGTCAGGTGTGGTCACGATGAGACATACAGGAACTGGACTCGTATGCTCACGAGGTTTACATCTTAGCATTCTCTGCCGTGCTGAATGTCCACAGGTGGCACAGCACAGCAAATCTTTGTGTAATCCATTATGGTGGGGCATCGAGGCATTGGGGTCGAAAGTTTTCGAGCTTCGTTTCAGATTCTGTTGAGGTGCCTTATGTTATGCCTGATATACTTGTATGTAGCTAAAAGTGGATTGCATACCATGATCTAGAATGGGTCTTGGGTCATCATTCCTACCTATGAATTTTTTCATTCGCCCATTTGTGAAGTAATCGTTCGTTCGCATGTCATACCCCGGGCTGGGGATTAGCACGTTTCATCTTTCATGTATGATGTAAAAATCCAATCCGAACACTCAATTCGGAAAAGTTTTCACTGGTCTATCTTCTTACGTATGCGAGGCTGCGAGTGTTGGGAAAGGCGTGACAATACGTATGTATTTTATGTATGGAAGGACAACTCAACGCCGCGATGCAAAAGTTCGGTTGGTGGCTTGGTAGGTTGGCTGGACACTAAGTACGGGAGTGATGTATTTATGCTTGTTAGAGTCTTGGAAGTGGTCTGGATGGGTGAGAAATGTGATATCTTATGATGAAATATGATAATACGACGGCAAGGCGGTGCCGGGTGCAGTGAGGCTAGATGCTTGAGATAACCCAAGGAAAAGTTTTTCTCGGGAGCTTTTCATTATATTTTGGGCATTTGTATCATATTGGGAGTACTAGTTACGACTGCGTTAGAGAACCCAAAATTTGAGATCGGTTCGTCAACTGCACAGTCAAATTGTGGCCCAACTACTGAAAATAACGAACGAATGGACGAACTGTGGCTGGAATACGGCGCGGATGTCCGTCTAGCTTGCGCTATGTTTTACATTTCACATATATACCACGTGATTTTATATTGACTGCTTGAAGAAGTTTCTTGGTTGCAGGTTTATGTGATATGTGATATGGTACGGTATCGTCATTTTTGCATGGTGCCTTTACATAGCACTTGCATTTACATTTGCATTTGTGGTGAATGTCAAGCATTCAGGGTCTTGAATAATATACCATGTATATGTCATTGTACTATCTTTAAATGCAAAACCTGAAAGAGGCTAGAAGTGAAAAGTGAAGTTTACGATCATGTAAATATTCACTGGGTGCGAAAGTAATGTATGTATATGCCATGCAATGCGATGCAATGCAATGCTATGTAAATGTAATGTCATGCGATGTACATTTGGTCTCGGCCGCTCCACTACTCCATCTCTACTGTAGAATCTCGGGTCCTGGTTAGCAACTTGCGAAACGAAGTTTGCAGTAGTAACTGTTGGTTTGTACCTACAGGTCCATACTCCTTACGCCATCTTACCATAGATATGATTCCATTGTTGGCGGTGAAGGGTGTCTACTGCACTCTACTGTACTCTACTGCGGGCTCCGTGCAGAGATGTTCGCGATAGTGGAGTCTCAAGTCCCTCGACGAGGAAAAATAGGATCATTGACTTGACTCGAGTCGACCAAAAATGGGAAGTAACGGGTGATTATGCAGCTACCGTTTTAGCCGATGGAGTCAATGATGTACAGGTATGTACATATGGGACGAGTGTGTACGAAAAGAGCACCGTACATTTTACATACATACAAAGTACTTACATTATGCAGCTACGCTCTAGTCTCCGGAGCAGAAGAGTGGGGCTGTCAACTCAAATCACGAAAATGATTTTGTACATTCTGCAAGGATCAAAAGATGAAATGTGGAGAGCACTAACTAGTCTGTGCAGAAATGGAGAAGAGAGAGGGCACTAGGACTTCAAACTTGGTGTGCGAGTGAGAGAATTTTTTTGAAACATGAAACACCACGTATTTTACGGGGTAAACACAAAGGGTCGTGAAGAAAAAAGTTTGTTTCAGGATAGATGGGGTGGTTATTGGATGGATCATTGGCGAAAGTTGGATGGGTGTGGAGAGGAATTTGCGGGAAGGAGTTGCTTTGATTGGTTGGTCGTGAGAAACGTATTGGATGGTTCGGTTTACGGTGGAGTCGGGGTTGAAAGATCTTAGAGGAAGAACTGGTGGTCTTGCTGGGACGGAAGGGAGGAGAAGAGGAGATTGGCTAAGGGACTGTGAGCTAGGGCGGATGGTTTGGTGTGTGTTTGGTACATGAGGGAAATTGGTTTGCTACGGAGATATCGGTTGTGGGCGGAATGATCGGTAATCGTGAGATAAATACAGGTACGTAAGGGGAAGGCGAGAGGAAAAGTGTCTAGAAAGGCATTCTAGATTGGAAAAACTTCGAAGTCATTCGAGTAACACAACCTACAAACACAGCAGCAAATTATCACAAACAAATATTCGCATCACAATCACAATCACAATCACAATCACAAGCAAAGCAGAAGAAAGAATGTTTGAACATGAATCTCATGTATTATTGACTATTTTTCCGTATTTTTTTATGGCTATCTGAATTTTTCCTTCTCATCTCGTCCTATGGTGTATGTATGTGGAGTACAGTAAAAATTAAATACAAAAAAATTTGAGTTCCTAAACAAGTCACTCATATCCTCCCAAATCCATCATAGACAGCACAAGTCAAAAGCAACAGATAGAACCGAATTAGATACAAGAAAAACAGTCCCCATGAGATAGAAATCATTCATGTCAAGATGGAAAGAACTGCATCAGAAATAATGACATATCGAGATATTGTAAAAGGAGATTTTTGGCTATGAAAATCCCGATGATTTGTTCGTGATCGGTCGATGTGGTGTGTTTTAGATGTTTTTCCGAAATCTCGTCGATGTATCTCTTCGTTCATCAGTCATGATTGCATGTCATTGCTCATCATGAGTATTTCTGAAAAAGAATCGCGAGTGCTCGTAAAACGTAAAACACCTTTGAATGGATATGTGGATAAGATGGACGAATATGCGAAGATGGTCATCGATTGTGTAGTTCAAAGCAAACGCTTCATTTGGAACAAACTTGGGATAGAGAGGTATTGGCGTGAGTAAAATAAAAAGCAGTTGTGCTCGTAATCATGTGTAAGGTGTATATCTTTATGTCGTGGTAGTATTGATAAAATAATATTTATGAAATAGTTCGTGATAACGTCGTCGTAAAAATAAACTCTTTTTGAGTTGTGTAATGTAAGGAAAATTGGTTGCTAGTAATAGCTTGTGATGTTGCGTGTGCGATGCGTTCGAAATTTTAGCCATCCCCTTTCCCTTTCCCAATGTTCCGTTCCAATAGTCCAAAAGAGAGAATCCATCCCGAAATACCAATCCATCCTCCTTCCCCATCCAAATTTACAGAAATGTGTATTCCCATTTGCTGTCCAGCTGCGAGCTGATGTCGTCTTATGCCTGGCAAAAAAACAATAATGAATATGAAATTAAGAAAAAAAGACCCCGCCAAGTTTGATGACCCGTCGCTAACTATGATCGATGATGATGCAGTAGAAAAGGAGAGAAAAAAAGAAACGCAAATGTGTAAACCATCCATAAACCATAAAACCATGAGAGAACCATTAAGCCATAAATGAAAAGAAAAAAATCCAAGAAGAAATCAGACGCTCGCTATTTCGCTCATTAACAATTGAGAAATTAAGAGAAGATGCGTGAGCAACAAAGTCTCTGTTCGCAATGAAGCCGTAAAATCGTAAAAGCCGTAAAGTTTTAAGAGTAGTAAGAATTCGTAGTGTCGAAGTAGAGGGGAGGTTTTTTTTTTTCGGATGACATAAAGTTTGGTCTAAATCTCAAGATTTAACCCGATGAGGTATCGCACTCTTCTGGACCATTCCTGGAATTACATTCCGAGACTAGCTTAGCAAAATTCCTGACAACCTCACTTGGAACTTGATCCCACAGTAATGAACGAGTGTAAACTTCTGCGGCGGACTTTTTAGAATTAGATCGCATGGCTGCAAGGGATTCACCGAGGTTCTTTCGTCCTTGAGATGTTGATCTGGTGGCGGGGGAGTTGTCGAGGAAATCTTGAGATGTTAACCCATTGTATTGTGCTGCAGACAATGAAAAGAGTTGCTCGTTGTTTTGTTCTTCGGTTGGTTGCGAAAGACTGTTGGCAAGATCTCCAAGAGTTGATGATGTGACGCCGACCATTTCATTACCTCCCATGGAGGGGTTTTGAGTAGTGGACCAGGAGTTACCGGATGGAAGAGGGGCAATTGCGTTGGTCACATCAGAGACAGATACACCGGAAGCGGATTGTTGAATGCCAGCATCCTTGAACACATCCTCGAGGAGTGTTGCAGATGCAGCACGAACATCATCCGACATTCTAGGAATGCTTGGAGAAGTACCCTTCGAAGCGACGAAAGCACCAACAAGAAGCAACATCAAGAGGAGACCTTGGGCAGCAGGCTTCTCTGGCTCGCTAAGAAGGGAAGTGTCGACCTTCTTAGTGGGAACTAGTGAATTCTCAACCTTGATTTCATTTTCCATGGAAAAATCGTTAAGGAAAGAGATGTTGTCCCAATTGCCATCCATGTTCAGACCATCAATGTCAGAGTAGTCGGCAGAGAAACCAGTCGAACTGGGAACAGTTGACATGGCGGTGCTCTCCATCTTCTGCATGTGTTCTGTGAGGACGCTCACTTTCTTGCGGAGGTCGCCGGTTTCGAGGGTGTGAGTTCGCACCATCTCTTCCTTCTCCATCTGCAAGCTCTCGATGTATTGTTGGTAGTGTTGCTCTTTACGAGCCCACTCATCCAAAGCAAGCTTTGCTTCGGCTAAGTCCTCCTCAAGATCATTAATCAAAGCAGTGTAGTGCTTCTTTTCGTCCTCAAGGCGCTCGGTGTGTTGCTTCTTGCGCTGGCGTGAGTCAAGACTGTTATGATGGTTAGTAACCGATTGTGAACAATTGATGAGATTATAACTTACGCAGCTTGTCGGTTTCTCAACAAACGTTTTTGCTGCTTGAGCTCCTTGATCTCCTGCTCATCGGTGGATTGAGAGATGAGTTGATCGATGTTCGTGAGATTTCTCTCGGCCGGAATATCAAAACGGGCGTTCTTCTTTCGGATACCATCACCCCTTCTTGACATCTCAGGATGCGATCGTAGAGTTGGGCTGTGTGGGCGCATGCGTTTGGGAATGCGGTGGTCCATCTCCGAAACCGACCAGTCCTTTTGTGGGGATGGATGACTTGAACCATTGGCATTGGCGGAGAAGAGAGGGAGTTGATGGTTGCCGGGGTTTGTGAATGGTGTTTGCACGGGACGTTGAAAGATAGGAACACCGACCTCAAAATCGGCTGGGAGCCCATCATGACCTTGCATTGGTGTGCTCATACCGGAACCATTTCCCATACCCCAACCGTGATTCGAATGTCCGTATGTTCCGTTTTGGGCAGCCTCGATACGCATGAATGGGTTGTTGCTGTTGTGCTCGACAAAGGGATTGTTGGAAGCCATTGGATGCATCTCGACGTGTTGCCATTCATCAGATTTGGGTGAGAACAATGTCGAAGATACTGCAAAGGATTCCCGCCTGCTATTGTCCATGGGTGGAGACATTTCTAAGCCGGAATCTAATGCAGAGTGGTCGAGAATGTTGTCATCAAGAATGCTCCCTTCGTCTTCTTCAAAGTAGTTGTGGGGTTGAGTGTCGACCGATAATGACGACTGTCTGTAGTAACTGTGCATGGGGAAGGCGGCCATAGCAAAGAATTTCCTGCTGTGGTCTGTTGTGAGGTGGGTTGGTGTTGTAGTTAAGAAAGAGGTGGGCAGAGTGAAGCGAAGTTATTTTCGGAATGAGATGGGGTAAAATAGATAAAATAGTGGCGGTGAGAAAAGATAAAAGTTATCGATAGGATCGTCAACGATCACGAAAACTTGAATGTGAAGAGGAAGAGAAAAAGATAATTTCGTTTTGGGCGGATTAATCAATGATATGATTGAGTGAAGGGATAAATCACTGGTTGTGTTTTTCTGTCAAAGAAAAAGACAAGATTGGCAAGAGAAGTGACTGTTTATGAGGATGTCGATGTTTGATATTGATATTTAAGGTCGGATTTGGGTGGGAGATGTTCAGTTGATATGTGAGGGGACAAGAGTGGTGGTGTATGAGTGGTTGGGTCTGGGTTCCGATATAAGTCGGGGCGAGACAAACAGTGGGAAGGGATTGTATGGCTTGATTTGGAGTGGAGAATGGAGGTACAAAGACTGTAAGAAGTTTAAGTCTGTTGGGTCCCTTTTTGGTTCGAGTGGTCGTATGGGTCGTATGGTGGTAGGAGTAGTGCAGAATTGCAAGCAGTTGCAGTTGCAGTTGCAGGAAGTGTGCAGCAGGTAGTAGAACTTGAGCTTAGCAGTCGGTGCAGCAGACAAGAGAAGTAAGAGAGGCACGTTAGGAAAGCAGGTTAAGTATGCAGGTAGAAATAGAAGAATGTCGTTGGTAGATATGGGTAGATATGTGGATATCTTGGGTGAGGGGTCTGGGAATCTGGGAAAAGGATGTGAGGTGAAAGAGTAAGTAAGATGGGTCGTCGCGGGTGTTTAAAAAATAAGAATAATAAGAAGAATAATAATAATAATAAGAAGAAAAAGGATAATAATAATGAATTAATGGATAATGAAATATATGTTCTTCAAGGGTTCACTCTTCTAATTCTTTTTCTGGCTCTTCTAGCTCTTCTTATTTTATATTAGTACGATATTACGACATTACGAGTGCTTGTTTTTGTTATTCTCTTTTACCCAACCTTGCATCTGTGGCATGATACAACACTGGGTATAACTACTTTGGAGGGAAGAGTGAGGGGGTGATGCGAGATGAACATGGTTACAATATGGAGCCTCCCTCATTCTTGCTACACTTAATGGAGTAATGCGTGAATGGGTAAAATATAGTAAGTGGATGAGTGGATGAAATGATGGGCGATGGTCCTAGCAGCGGATAGGGAAGATTTTATCGTACCACCTGAAAGGTTCAAGGAATCTCTACTCCATAGAGCTCAAGTTGTGGAGACTTCTAGCCTTTCGAATTATGAGAAACTAATGCTTCCTTCTTTTACAGTATTTGATTATTTTAATATTAGAATTAGAATTAGCATTAGAATTAGCATTAGAATTAGCATTAGAATTAGCATTAGAATTAGCATTAGCTCTAGAATTAGCACTAGCATTAGCAATAGCATTAGTATTATCTATTCTATGTGTTACTCCATCTATTAAGTAATAAAGTATAGTAGTATATCCTCACCCATACATCCATCGTCTAATGAACTATTCGGGATTCCGATGCTCTCTTAAGATCTACAATTCAATTGTTCTACATATTTATTTGCGGCACATAGATTTCCAATCTGTACACCCGGAGGATATCAACCATATGGAAATTGTGTGCATGTGGTCGCACATACACACCAAAGGAAAGTAAAAAGAGCAGTTTCTTTCCTATTAAGACTAAACGTTAATTTAGCGGTATGGGAACGGGAAAGGCAAGGTAAGTGCGGATGCTAACGATTAGCACTTGCATTTCCATTGCATAGCAGCATTACAGTATCTACTTTTACATTTTGAATCCGAATCTAATATGGAAAGGAAAACCCCCAAAAATTAAATATTTTGTTCCTCATTTAGCAGCTGGATGATTTGACCCAAGGCAATTTAAACTTAAGATTTCCCGCTCAAAGCCTTGAATAAGTTGCATTTGATCGGTTGAACCTCAAATAAATCATGATGTTGGATAACGATACGGGAAACGAGGAGGGGTTGAAGCTTTGATTGGATTATTCATGCTCTTTCCCGAGGTTTGGATTAAATCTGACAGGCTGACTGGTTATTATTAAGGTTATTTGACAAGACAAGATAGAAAATGATTCCACTATCGGTCGGCATTCGGTAATATATCTGTCTTTCCTTTTTTTCTCTCGAATATTCCAACAGGCGGGAGAAGAATTCGGAAAAGAATGAGACTGGGAAACTCCAGATAATTGAATTTGCTACTATACCTAGCTGGGTGTAGTACGAAGATTAGACTGCCCTTTTAGCTTTAACAGGTTTGTCTTAGAGCCCGGATCTAATCGTGAACTAATCCTAAGAGAATTCAGATGAGTTTTCTCCATCAACCGCTTCCAGCTCTCAAAAAATACCATTCTTAACGAATATAAGAAAAAGGGCTCTGGATCCATATCTAAATCTCTTTAAACATTGCCCATGGGAACGCAAAGTCAGCATGGGTAAAAACAAAAGTGTCTTGGCTTCTTTCTGTTCCCTGCTCATATCAGGTTGGGCATCTATGGAGTATGCTTGATTCTGAACGGTTGCATCAAAATTGCAAAATGAAAGCCACCGATAGGTTGTTTCCTCAGGTGTTGCATACGATTGTTTCTTTACCCTTGCTCATCTTTTCTACACATTCTGATCATTGGAATAATCTGTTTAACTCCGACTTCCCGTTGAAACCACCAGGGCTCGTAACGAGAAAATGATGGTGCTTCACTACCAATCAAAACTTTTGAGGCAATCGGCCATTCCCTGGAAAAAGGTCACTTTATGGATCACGCGTATTGCTCGTGTGGGAAGAAAAGCCTCTCAGGGTATCATTTGTTTACTTTCATCATCTTTTGTCGAAGGAGTCGTTGATTGATCCTCCAGAATGGTATTTTTTCTTCGCTTAACCTCTGAAGATTCCCCTTCATCTCACTCATGATCGCTGCTGATCAAACATCCATCCAGATCGCAAGTAGAGCACGGGTACCGCCGCAACGGACAGTAATGAGAAAAATCGTAAAACTTCATCTGAATGATAACATCAAATAAAGTGTTTTCCTCGAATCTCATCTCATACCATAATACTATAATCTCCACCCTTATCCCAATCCTCGGCCTCTCCATTCGGCAATAAGTCCATCCGCTCATCCATCCGAAACCTAACATGACCATTCACTCGACTCATGAATACTTGTATTTTCACTGAACTAGGCCTCCTCAAACGGCCGCAGAATGCAGTATCTTTGTAAGAGTGTGAATGTGAAGCCTCAGATGATAGGTGATATTTTCAGGTTCCCCTCTACCTAATTTACCTAATCTAATGATCGTAATCTCTGTGCCCAAGTCAGGGTATGGCAAGCAAATCATTGGTAAATGAAGTCTTCGAGCTTTCGGGTAGCTTTCCATTCTTCGGATTCATAGCATCATTGCACCAAAAATCAAACTCAAGGTCTCGTCTCCCACTACCTGGTGCCTGCCGGCAGGCACCTTGCGGGAACATGTACGGGTACGAAACCGATTTTTACCTTAACTGGTACTGTCAAAAGAGAATGCCGCAAGGTTTATTCCCGTACCCTAGTATCTATCATTTCTATGGGTAAGAGGCCGAACGAGACGAAAAAGCCTGGCAGCCCATTTCCAGCCCTTCTTAAATTGAGTTCCCGTGACTATACATTCGACTTCTATAGTATGATCGGTAGACGCATGAATGAATTGCACGTATGACGGCATTTCTAATTTATCGTTCTGCCTCTGGGACTTCTCCCTTGACCAACTCTATGAAGTGGAGATTAGCCCAGGGAACTCTTCTGGATGAAGGGGGTTTAAACGACTGCGATGATGCTAGTAAGAGCAACATCAAAATTCCTTCTAGAACATTAAAAGAAGGGTAGTGAAAAGTTTGAATGAACAATTCCATCTAATAATCCTCTTCCCAGTTGCTTGACCACCGCGAAAATGCCATAGAGAGCTGAACCCTACTTACAGTACCTGGATGTACCTGTGTGGGATGGTGTTTAGCTTCCTCTTAGGCCTTTCGGATCTCTCCTTTTTTTCACACTCCGCACAGTTGGAAGTCGCGCTATGCATGATTGATTCTTTTTCAAAGTTTCGATTGGAAGAAATGAGGGGGCTGGGGAATTGTCAATTATGATTCATGAATGTTATACAACAACAAGTTATGATTTTCACGAAAATGTTTGTTGATTCAGATGGAGATCACGATCGATACGTAAACATTCTACGCGTCTTTATTCCTTGATTCAATGATTCCTCTTCCTCTACAGGCGCGGGTATCCTCTGTAATTCTCAGCCTACCGACTGTATATTTCCCTTGCTCATTAGCCTCTCCAGAGTCCAGATAGTCAAACTTGTCAAATGGGACTACCCGCACAGCCGCTGAATTCCTCCCATCCAAGCTACAGCCTCTTCTGACTACATAGTTTTAGTTATATTTATCAGGTCTCAAGTTCCAACTAAACCTTTACAAAAATTCTCAAAATGTCAAGGTTCAAGGCAGAATTTTGATATAATTTTCAGACCATTTTTGTTTTCACATTCTTCACCGCTCATCTATCTATATTAGGATCTAATGTCGAGATCCGAATGTTCCGCCTGGGATTCGGGAAGCGAATTCCCAGACCCAATTTTGGAGGAAGATGAGAGAAGTGCAAAGCCACTGATTACGAAGAGCACTAGGTTGGTTCTATCTTCCCATGAGAAGGATTGTCGGGTCTATGTTTCAGAATTTTTTACGTAGTGCAAGTGAGAGTGAGATATCTAAGTCTTGAGTGAGGTCATTCAGATCCTGTTTCTGAGGAGGTAGGCGCGCAAGTTGCGCTTGAGGGTACCTCGCAAATCTTTCCATTTGAATTGAATTGACTAGAGATTTTCGAGAAGAGCCACAGTAGATACAGGTCTATCGAATCACTAGAGCAATGCAATTTTTTTTAGCATGAATCAAAATATGCAGTTCTAGCTTCTTTGCGAGGCATTGACTTAAACTTCTTCTATCTAGCTTTTAGCTTCTCTTGAATTTTCCATGATTAGGTTTTTCCGATATACCAATGTGGATCTTGTCTATCTACCCTTCTCCGTAGATCTATCCATCAAATCCCATAATATCCGTCCCATATTATAACACAGACTCTTATATATTACCAATGACGTGCTTGCAATATAAGTTTATCATGTAGATCGCTGGGATCACCCATGGACAAAATGAATTTTAGTTATTAGACTAATTAATAAAGCATGAATAAGAAGTAAATTACGAAATGTCAACGTGGGTTCATCTGATCTGAAGATTTCAGGACAAGCTCTGAAAATCCCCGAGATTCGCCGATTAGATTGGATTGATCAGAGGATTTTCAGACTTGCTATCATTATCATATCATATCTATCGTATCGCATCGCCGGCTCTAAGTATTGTGGGCCATGCCAATTGAGAACGGATGATTTTTTTCATTTTCGGATGAAGTGATTGAGAGATCTCCCAAGCGCAATGGAACATCACAAATCACCCCAGTTCTTTCAATCTGGATCCATATTCGTCAGTCCCCATTTCCAATGTAGCTAAGAGATTTTGCACAGATTTTCCAAGCATTACAGTACCAAGTACGGCAGAGAAAACTTCTAGGTTACGGAGCCCTAAAATGATGAATGATGGTGCGGTGAAGACATCTTGGTGCAGGTAGCCGTTCGCTACTGTTTGGTTACTGTAGTCTTGAAGGGAAGCCGCATGCTCCACATCGGGTCCTTCCTCCACCTCCTACTCCGTTAGCTATCAGGCTACAGACGAGCCATGCTATCGGAAACGTGATATGTGGGTTGCCGGTGTTGACCGCTTGGTGGTCTGTCTGTCGCCGCGGGGTTACTTTTTGATCTTTCCTTTTGTTTAGTTGGTAGTGTAGTGGTGATAGTGATAGTGGCGTGAAAAGTTTTCAGGAAACTAGAATGTGTATAGGAGAAGAGAGGAGGCGATTTAGCTAAGGAGGGTTCTGGGTTGAAGGGGACAGCTTCCGGTGTTGACCGCTCGGTGAACTGCGACCTATAGTCTACAGTACAGTCTCTTTTTTACCTCATTTTTTACTATCGCGGGGCAAGTTTACTTGGTATGAAAAAACTTTTTATGCATTCATGTTTGTTTGTGCTTGACCGCCAGATGGGTCATACTCGGTCGGCAACAACCCTTCTATTGGAATCGAAGAGATCGAAAATTCCATGAATTCTAGAAGTTACTTTGTTTAAGCGTTTTTTCTTTTCCTTTTTCCTAAATCAAGTGGTTAATTTGATTGCTGTCTGAGGTCATTCACTATTGTCTGGGTGCAACTCAAAATGACCATCAGTCAGCAGGTCAGAATAATTGCGGGATGCTATGCTTGCTAAACCAAGTTGAGGAGGAAGGGATTTATCATTACCGGCAAATTATTGACAATATTCATCATCGCCCGGTAGTTCTTCTCTCTCTTGTTCGAGAGATCACCAAGAAACAAACGCCCTGGCGGTATCTGATGTGCGTACATTCCGGCATCTTGACCGAACACAAGTGAAACCTTACTAATGTGAGGAGATTCGGATCACGAAAACTGATTTAGGTGTTATCAGGGTCCGATCCAGTTATCAGTGCATGGATTATCTAGAAAATTATGGAACATATGGGACATATGGAGAAATGTTAGACCCTGGGTAGAGAGGATGAAAGGAAGAGAAAGAGGGGCAATCAGAACGCGGAAATGGTGTTGGGAGGAGTGAAAACAGGATTCTATAGATGTTCAACAATGTGCAAGAGATTCGAATCGAGCACCGCCGATCGTGAGGTATTGGCGTAGAGGTCTGAAGGCTCCCAGATCTGCTATTTACGTGTGATTACTGGGACGAGAGGACTATCAATGCTATAGATGGAGAATTCGTGGGCTGTGCTATTTGGAGATGAAAGGATTCTGGTAGTGGGTATTCGTATATCTAGGCACTGATACTATTTCAGGAAATGGACATTACAATTTGAGACTTGATCGTTCTACTTCCTGTCATCATGTTCGTATTACCAAATCATCGTCGGGTGTCTTGGCTGCGTAAAGCTGGGGATAGGGGCATGTACTATGATTCGCTTGAGGACCCCCTCTCGATGCCGGGCAGCATATATGGGTTTAACGTACTTGTCTTTTCGATTCTAATGATGATAATCTAAATGAGCCACAAACGTGATGCGTACAGCTTCTCCTCTTTCATCATCATTCGACAAATTCCCTTCATTCCACATAGATCTACGCAAGTCAGAGAGCGGTGAAGGAACCAGAAAAACCGCTTGGCGATTGGAGCGGGGGGAGGGGCAGCTCCACTCCACTCCACGAATACCGTTTGAGGAGAGGTATCTCGGTACCAAACTATTCCAACACGCTTGCCCATAAAGATGAACTATGTGCTATACATTATGGCGTTACGAGGCTTGTTGCATACCGTAGAATATTTTGGAATTTGATTTGCTATTTCTGTGCATGGTAGTCTAGCAGTGGGTACCGTGATAAAGAGATAGGAAATATTATTAGTCAGAATGCGATTGCATTGAAATTTGAGACATACATATTCTGTACAGTAAAGCACACCGCGGAACGTCAAAATCATATTGAGAAGTAGTATCCGGGGGTCGTTAGGACGTGGGGAGAGGGAGCCTCAACTTAAATTTTCAATGCGCTGGTGCGCTGCAATTGTAAGTTTATCAGTATGCAGATATCACTAGATAGTGGCAACTATACTATCGAAAGAGAAGAAATCCTCCGAGGAAATCTCATTGATCCCATCGCACGGGTATCTTCGGTAGCATCAAAATGGGGCCAGGTCCAGGAATGCATGACTTTTTACGGAAGTAGGTACGAAGTACAGTACAGTAGCTTAGCTGCGACGTCAAAGAAATCACTCCACTCATCGCCGCTTTCGACAAACTCATGTACTTATTCAGCAGTGCTCGTCCTGCAACGTACCGGAAGATTCCAAATGCACATACTGACCAGGGAGAGTTGCAGTATCGGGTGGAAGTGGAAGTGGAAATGCAAATAAGAATGGGAATGTAAAGGAGCTTCACCGCCATCACTAGGGATGTATGCAGCATGTAAGTTTCTGCAAATGGGTCTCGGGATCTGCCAGTAATCCTCGTGATCGACCGAGGTAAGGTTCGCATTGGGATGGGGTAGTAATATATTTGTTACATTCCGTATGTATTGTAGCTGTATGGGAGTGGAGTGTATTTTGACTTTCATCTATGGTATACTTTGAACCAAACAAGAACATTGGCGGAAATTGAATATCAGAAACAATTTCAAACAATTTCCAACTCAAATCCTATCTATAATCAGTTGAGACATAACCAACTGGATGGCGACTGGCAAGGTATGTCAAGGTAAGTTACCCTACAAAGCTTACTAGACATCTTATCGTATCCGTTTCATGTTCTTTCAGGTGATCTTTGTCTACATGTGAGTGGTGAGTCTATTTGTATCGTTTGTGCCACAGGCAGTAACGGATTCGTAGGAAATATGTAAGTCAAAGAATTGTTCTCTCTTGGCATGATTCTGATGACCTTATCCGACTAGTTGGGACGTACAGTCGGCAGATCGAAGATACGCATCTTGCAAGTAAGGAGTACATGCATCAATAATAAAATATTCGCAACACCTTCAATGTCTGAGACTTCTCCACTGCGAAGTTCTCTCGTATACTAGTATGTAGTACGGAGTAGGGTATGCTTAGGTGCAGTGCTGCGCCCATTCCTTCCTCCACTTTTGCAGCATCTGCAGCGGGTAAAAGGGCTATCTCGCCGAAAAAGCACGCAAGCAAAGTAGATCATAGCAATCCTCATGTGAGATTTTTGAGGCACACTATTTTTGCACTCTGCAAAACTAGATAGATTTTGAATCGAACGACTCGCTAAGTTTTGTTCTCCTATTTGGAAATCACTTTGCAAATGGATTATTATTCGTGAGACATATCGGAGAAACATGAACCCGTACGAACTGAGATCAAAAAGACAGAGAAAGTATTCATGCAATCTTGTATGTATTTTTCTTCCCCATTTTTTCCTTTCATACTATTTAGATGTTCCGATACAACGGGCTGGGATGTGAAAACCTTGAAGCTAGAACTAAAGGACATTCAAGTCCGGGTATCCCGAAAATATATTTGACGCCCTCAATAACCTCAGTAGCAAAAGACTGAGTAACTCCGACGCTTGCTAGCAACTGGAGACAAAACAACGACAGGAAAAGAAAACATAAAATTATTTAGGGAATCTTCATGATGAAAAGACCACAAGGATCACTGTATCTCTGAAAGGTGCCCCATGATGGAGTCTTATGTTTGTTAGTATCAGGAAAATTGCACATAATCCTGCTGCGCAAGAATTCCAGGTTCCATTTCTCCATCTTCATCGCCGAAGAATTCCTCATCGATGACATCTGAATCCACGTCATCGCTGCCTATCTCATCTTCTTCATCGCTTGAAACATCACTCGATTGGTCACCTGGAGAGGAATCGCCAGCAGCCGCATTCCTACGAATAACACTAGCTTTGATGCGGTGGGGAAGTTTGCAACCTTTCGTAGTGCAGGTACCTGTGTTACTGAAATCCGGGCACTCGTGTATATGTCGCTCTGTGCAAGTATTTCCCTTATCGCAGTATCCATATATTCCAAAGGAATGGCAAACCAATGCTGTCGACGAAACACGAACGTGGGTATAACGACAATCCGGGTTCGAACAATTGCCCTTGGCAAAATGCAAGCAATTCGGTGTCCTTTCGGGGATAAGGTCGTGGGATAGGTCGCAAGAATCCCCATTAGGACATTCACCTTTGAGAAGGAAAGTTTTACATACTCCAACTTTTGAAGGGTCATGAATATATTGGCACTTAGGACCCTTGTTACAAGTACCTAAACAAGATGTGGTTAGCTGAAACCCAGATCGCTCCTCCTCCAACGCCTCAAGATTGATGAAAGATTCAAAATATGGGAAGAAAAGCGGTACCCGTGGTGGTAAATGATTTACACGGCTCGTTAATCTTGACGACACCGTGTTTCCTTCCATCAGGTCAGCAATTAACACAAGAAATACAATTTGGGGACACCCCATGGTATTGAGCCATACCTAGTGGCTTTGATTATCCCTTCTCGATACATGTTTCCGTTTTTGCTTCTATAAAATTTGACACCCCCGATTAAAGCAGTCTTGGGCGTAGCATTGGCGGAAGTGAGGTCACCTGAACTAAGTGAGCATTGAACAAAAAGCGGCACCACCTTGTACCTCGCTGTGGATGTTGAATTCTCACCAGAGGCTTTGACGAGTTTGCTACCATTCTTTGTGACCATAAACCGAATTCCATTGACAGTAACTTCATAATTACTTGTTCCTGTAGGCTGTATTTTGGAAGAGCCGAAGTTTGCACCCAGACGCTGCAAGTGTCTGCTGAGCTTCAACTTCTCCCTTTCATCCCTTTGCTTCAATTTTTGTTTCCTGGTTTCCTCGATCGCTTTGACTCGAATTTGACTATCCTTCTCAAAATATGATTTGTTGATCAACTGGAGATGACGGTCGGTTTTTGTGATGTAACCAGCAGAGGAAGATCGCTCGTTCTCATCCGCAGATGGAGTTACGTTCGATGAATCAGGTTGTGATGGTGAAGCGGGAGTACCGCCATTTAACACAAGGGTGCGATGCCGCACAATACCGACACCGCCTCCCCGCGCACCTCGGTATCCTCTGGCAGAGAATGCGCCTCTGTGGCTACCTCGACTACCTCTCCAGCTATTGTTTGCGTAAGGGTGATACGCATAAGCTCCATGACCTCCTCGTTTGCTTGGTTGTGGATGGAAGCTGTTCGTTGATGGAGGGGAATGTGCTTGATTATACTGATCTGTTGACTGGTGGTTTTTATGTTGATTGATTTGACCTACATGTTGGTATATTAGGCAAGCCAGCAAAGAACATTAAGGGTATCCTACCAGCTATACGACTAATTCGTTCAAGGATGGCCTGGTCTTCTGATGCCATAGTTATAAATTCCCTAGCTGTTAGTATATGAATGCTGTCTTGTATATCGTCTAAGACCCCGAGTGTATATTATACCACAAGGATTAAACTGTCGAAAACGGGTGCTTGTTTGTTCATGAAGAAATCTTCACAATGGAGTTGTAATGGAATAGATCAAATAGAGGAGTTTGTGCAATACAATATTTGTCAGCAATCATTAGTGCCATCACTAGTGGCAGTCGGCCTTAATTATCCGACAAGGCTGTGACTTTAGATAACCTATTTCTCATTGTCCATTGAGAAGGCAGCCAACAAAGAACTGGATTGCGCCGGTATTTGTTCTTTCCAGCAACCACAAACCACTTAGCTAAGACCTATAAGGCATCCTGGTGCTTTACTCAAAGATAAACTTCCCAATCGCATTTTGATAATTGATACATACACACAAAATGGCAGACACAATCATCAAGCCAGATCCGGAGGCGGCTGTCGCATCGCCTAGATTCATGGAAGATGATGATATATATGAAGATGCTGGAGATATGGCGATCAACGAAGATCCGGCATTTCAAAAGTTATGGTTAGGTCGTGTACCTAAATACGTCTGGGATGCATGGGAGGGATTAGGTGAAGATTTGGACGAGGAAATACAAATTGGTACCATTCGCAATTGCCGAGAAAGGATGCCAGATGGAACTGTTAAGGTGCGGGGGAATGCTTTTTACATTTAGAGAATTAGCTGACTTGAGCTGTAGGATTCATATTCCATGCTGCTAAATTCTAATCTTGCACAGCACCAGACTGTTCCTAAGGAGTACAATCTTGATATTACCAACCAGAATGTCAAGAATACTTTCGTTTTTTCGGAACAAGATCTGCCAGGATTCAAATCGAAATCAAGACAAAAGTTCGCCTTGGAGACTGCGAATATGCCGGCAAGACTCACCCGTGGAAAGATTGAGAAGCCTGCAAATAAACAGCCATGGGACCCTAACAGGAAATTTCAACCTCAATTTCGGAAGGCAATTCCAAGTACGTTGACATAATACTTCTGATTCTGCGTCACTAACAAGATTAAATTAGAGAGAACAACTCTTGCCGGTAGGGTTGTCCATGAATTGAGTTGTATTGCCGTGCAAAATGAAGAATCAGACCGTCTCCTAGCTATTCGGACTTTGGAAGCTATGAAGCCCAAAGTGGGCACGAAATTTCTCAATGAGGATCTCGATGTGGGCCAAGGTTTCATTCAGCCTGGAACTATCAAGGCCTCAGACGCTTATAGAAGCTTCATTGTAAGACTTTTGATTCGTACTTATATTTCCTTGCGATACTTACACTGACCCGAACAGAAAACCAAGAATCCGACTACCGGCACTAAGACACAACTTACTAAGGCCGCTCGTATGCCAGAAAACGAGCTTCTCGATAGGATCTTCGACTGTTTCCGTAGGTATAATTATTGGTCCATGAAAGCACTTCGTGCCGAGCTCCAGCAGCCGGAGGCATATCTTCGTGAAACTCTCGAGAAAATAGCGTTCTTGGCAAAGACTGGTCGATTCGCAACACAATGGTCATTGAAGCCCGAGAACAAACTCAACAACTATGAGGGTGCCGGCGATGCTATTGCACCTGGTGAAGACACAGATCTCGGCGATGACGACGAAGATGACGATGAAGACGTCAAATTTGAAGACGTCTGATCTTGTGACTGGGTTTATGGTATGTATTCTACGGCGTTTTTGGGGTGAGAAGGATGCATAATGGCGGTGTTTTTCTCATGATTAGGTTGATATATGGGAAAGCATAATGGCATGGCGTTACATTCACATATTCCTTGTCCCACGAGGATCAACGTTGGTTAACTGGGGAACCCACTTGTGAGCAGAAATCTCAAATTGAGATGTAACATCATTATGATAAAGCAAATTTTGCGAATAGCTTTGTTCCAAGTACACATGACGGGGGAGGTGATGATGTCGGAGGTATTGCTTCGGATATCCGATGTGGCGCTGGCGCTCAATGACGAACATTGAAGTTTCTAATCCAATAATAAATTTGTAACAATTTCCATCTGCGTGCCTTACATATTCTTCCATTTAAACATTTACATATAGGGCATACCAAACTTTTTACATTCAATTGAGGAAGTATGCTGGCAGAGGCTAGTACTTTTCTTTGATCTGCCAGATTGCAAGCCATTGGCTTTTGCATTTCGCCTTTTTTTGCCTGGCATTCATCTCCACTCTACAAATAAGAACTTCGAAAATGGCAAGTCTCGCCGGTGGGATTTCTATTAGAGCAAACACTACCAGGGCTTTCTGGAAGTTAGGTAGAGATTTCGGAGTGTCGAGCACCGTCGCTATTCACCTGCGACGATACAAATCCTCACTATCAACAGCTTCCCCTCCTCCCAAGCTGTCCCTTTCCAGGCTGTCGCATAACTACCAAACACCCATACGGCTTTTCTCAACAACTCGACGTAACTCCTCATCCCCCAAATTTACATACGGTATCTCAGCCTCTTACTGCGCCAAAGAAAAGCGCTACTCTCCCACCGAAAACCTTAGCCCTTTCAACCCCTACAATCCCATTCCTGTACCTCTCAAACCAGCCGACCGCAGGCCCGCTTCTGGCCAAGATGCGTTCTTCGTGGCGCCGATATCAAACACCTCGGACATTGCTATCGGAATTGCAGATGGGGTAGGGGGCTGGATTGACTCCGGTGTCGATCCTAGTGATTTTTCGCACGGTTTCTGCGAGTATATGGCGCACACGGCTTCGCTTTCGAATGCAATAGACGAAGTTCCTATATCTGCGAGAAGACTTATGCAGAAGGGTTATGATCTGATTTGTGCCTCGGGCAAAGTGCGTGCTGGGGGAAGTACGGCTGTTGTGGGAATCTTCAACTCTGAGGGAAATATGGAGGTTGCAAATTTGGGGGATAGTGGATATATACAATTGAGATCGGGAGCTGTGCATTCGGCGTCGGAATTTCAGACACATGCGTTTAATACACCGTACCAATTAAGTTTGGTGCCGGAGGCGGTCATGAGACAGGCGGCGAAATTTGGGGGGGAGCAATTGATGGATTTGCCGAGGGATGCGGAAGTTGTAAGTAAGGAATTGAAGCATGGGGATGTTGTTGTTTTTGCAACGGATGGGGTCTGGGATAATTTGAGCGGAGGGGATGTTCTTAAGATCGTGAGTAAGAGAATGAGGTATGAGAGGGCTTGGGTCAACGGCGTCGAGGATAAGGGAACTGAGGTTGGAAAGAAGCTTGGAGAACTATCAGAAGAAGGCGGTGCGCAGGGGGAAGATAAGGGTATGCTAAGTTTGCAGAGCTCCTTGGCGGTGGATATCGCCGGAGAAGCTAAGGCGGCAAGTCTTAGCTTGCGGAGGGATGGCCCATTTGCAAGGGAGGTGCAGAGGAGATACCCCGATGAGAAATGGAGTGGTGGAAAGTCAGATGATATTTGCGTGGTTGTTGTGGTTGCGGTAGAGGAGGGGAAGTAAGCGCAAGACCAAGGTGAAAAGAGGCGTAGGACTGCCTTTTAGAACAAACTGTTGTATTATATGATGTTGGCACAATCATAAGAATCAATAGAGGGCGGGCGGCAAGCACTGTGTTTAATGTATACCTCTGGCATGGAAGCGGGCGGGCAATAGACATCATGAATCGGTCATTTAGATTGTAGAATGCTACGCGGCGTGTAATTATTCAATCAAGCGATTGTGTGTATACAAAATTTGTTTGAATCATCTCAACCTGGAGTGTGAACAATAGGCATGAACGGAGTAAAATAACTACTTTTATCGAAGTCTATCGATCTATGAGAATTTTGTTAAGGTCAATTGTACTGCACATATATCCATCTATTGCGCATAAAAGCTTTGTACATGTTTCCGGACCTAGTTGGAGTTTCAAGTTAAGATGCCTTAACGTCATCATCAGCGATATAATCCAAAAACCCGCCATCTTTACCCTCCCTTCTCAGTAAATATCTAAACCTCTCACTATTATTGACCACCCATTCCGGGATATCATTATTATCCATCAATATTTCATACTCCTCGCCTTTCCTATCCCACAAATCCAGCCCTTTCCTCACTCTATCCACTATCCTTGATTCATTCCTGTACACCGCAAGGTTCAGAGTTGTATGCGAAAAGCTTGCCATCTTGTTCAATGTCTCCGAAATCATCGAAAAGCAAGATGAGCAATGCCAGGAAGCGTTTGCCAAATCTCGCTTTTGGAAATAGGTAACCGGTCCGAAACCTCCTTCGCCATTTCTTAAATCGGCTGGAAGAATGGTTTTGGTAGGTCCGGCGTAGATGGTTGCTTGAGGGTGAGGCCACTCGGGACCTTTATGGAGAAATTGGAAACCGTAATAATAGAAGCGGCTGCGAAGTGTGAGCCGCTTGTTAAAATCACAAGCTCGTAAGAGGTCAACGGTCTCGGGACGTGGAATCTCGTCGATATCTGAGACAATGAGCACATCTCCTTGGTTGGCAGTTTGGTCACCGTTGAGCCGGGGAATGACTTGTGTGAACATGGCATTTCGTTGATGATCTTCATAATCCCATGTCCGATGAGAAGTAAGAGGCCGGTTCTCAAGGAGATGATATATTATCTTAGGAGAAAGTTGAGAAAAACGTGACTGGTTGTCTAGAAAATGGAGAGGCTTGGGATGCCCGGTAAAGGTGATATTAGATTCGACTATGACAAAATAGTCGACATGGTCTGCGAGAGTGTTGAGACGAATCTCGAGCCAGTCTAGCTCCGAACTTAACATGAAAAGATCGTAAACCTTCCGAGGCCTTTCGGGTGGATGTTGATATGGACGCCAGCCTTGCGCTTCACATACACTGTGGCGTGAACTGGGTGTTTGGAAAAATAGACGAAGCTGCGATATATTTAAACGACTGTAAAAGACAAAGTTCAAGAGTAACAAAATCACAACATAAGGTAGCGATCGTTGGAGCAAGACTCCGGGATTTCTTCTAGTGAGAGCAACCATAATCACCTTGGTTGCCAAATGATGCTAATCATTCGTCCTGTGGTGCTCTCCTAATGAACGACTGTAAATGAGATGTCGAAGTAGAACTTCAGCGCGCGAAACAAGTGAATGGAAATTCGGCACATGTGCTCATAACAGTCTGCAACAAAAACCAGCAATCTGATTTGGAGTTGCGCCGGAAACGTTTTGAGCAGCACCACGAAACCGTCAACAGTAAGAAAAAGATGCGAAGAATACCTCCGGCTTTAGAGGTCTTTGCTTGCTTGCACTTACCGTTCATTGTCCATTTAATAGTAAGCTTAGATTTATTAGGAAAGTTAGAAGGAACATGTCAGACTTCTTCACAGCCCCCTTTAAGAAATGAACGAGAGACAGGGGGAAAGGAAACTCCAACCAAATATTTGCAAAATCGTAAACTCGGTAAAAAGCTTAGGTGACTGAATACGGGTTACTAATCCAATTTAGGTTTAGTGAAATTATAGAGGTTGAATTCGGAGATTTGTCATCATCATGTGTCTGAGCTTTCTATTTTAGTAGACTCCATTTCATGACAACGATGATTATATATATGCGGATAAGTAGTCTGCTAAGGCCATCGTTTCAACTAGTACCATGGTAGTGGTAGTATCATTGGCGTATATATTGATACGGTCTTGAACCATGTGCATAAGCCGCCAACACGACCTCCACTACCATAGTCGCATGCTCTCTGGACCACTGCATTGACAGTCTTTCAAATGATGAAAGTGTGATTCGCCCAAATTGACGCCCTTACCATCTGTATACTCAGATGCAACAAAGTTTCATGCCTTATGCTGTTGGAGGCTTTCCTTTTACCTTTTCAAGGTTTCCTGTGTTATTATTTGATGCCCGAGTGAGTGTTCGGGCATGATTCAAGACCATATAAAGCCTATCCAGTATGTCGCGGTTCAAGATCTTATCCCAAACTCTCGACGGTTGCTGATCACTTCACCACTCACTCGACTCAATGCATACTCTGGTTTTGTCGTTCTTCCTTGACACTCGTTTTCACTAGCCCGTGATTGACATTGCTGCACTTCAGTATTGTTCATACTGCTAAAACCTTATAAGGTTGTATCTTTCTATTAGTTTAACGGAATGATTGCCCCCGATAGCTGAAATATAGGATTACATTTCAACTGTTACTCCTTTGAGCCAGATTTTATAGTGTTTTACAGACATTTTTGGAGTACGTTGCTCGTTGCTCGTTGCATATATTATATATGCAAGATTCACATGTGTATATAAGGGTTTTTTTGTAGTTGCTATACTTTGCTCTAGCAGTTATGTTTTTATCAAGCTTTCAATATGCAAATCCAGTCTACATCATATCTACTGCCGGGTCCTTCTCAATGTTCTTCATTCCTTGGTATAATCGGGAAAACATTTAAGTCTTCGTGAGAACCCCGTTCAACCTCAATAATGTCAATGCATCATCAGAAGCTTTGTCTCAGGCGAACGCTGGCCAACCAGGCAAGCTGCAGGAAAATTGAGCGAGGTCTAGATACGAGTCACCGTTCCCTAGATCGGACCTATTGCACTATTTTCGCCTTCAAGTGCTTTTCTTCGCTATTGTTCGATGAACCAAATGGCCCGCGGGAGCAAGTTAATATCCAATTGATGAAATTTACTAAGGTAAACATGGGTGATGATGTTGGCAACAAATTTAGGCTCTATTATGCTTTTACTTCCTGAAGCCTGGACTTTTGATAATAGGCAGATTAGCTTAAATTTTGCTTTCAGGGTACGTCAATTTATACGTTTGCATCGGGGATTGATGAGGCAATCCATTTAGGCCTTGCCCATGGACCTGGAAGAGGATCATTGTATATGTTTTTGAAAAGCACCGTTCTATTCCTCCGGTATGTCCATGGGCATATAAAAAAGATATGCAGTAATGTTATTGAGAATGTCTCGAAGTGCAGATCATCAGATACGATTGCCAAAATCTTCTCTCGGTCAATTTTTAGACAGAGAAAACTTGCGTGCTCTTAGGACTAGCATAATTATTTGTATGGGGATTGAGACCTGACGAGGTAAATTTTCTGATATTAGAATCGCTCTAGATCTCAGGAAGATTTTTCTCTTGCTCTTCACAATCAAGTAAATTCTATCGACTGCTCAAGTCCAGCTATATTTCCAAGTCTGGGTTTGGTATTGGCAATGTTGTGTCCCAAAATCGCGGTCGGCACCATATATTTTAATAATTTTATATACTCAGTGCCTCAGCATTCCCCTACTTCGTCCTCGTTTACTTTTCCTCCTTGAATCTCTGGTAAAATTAAAGATATCAACGTCTTCTTTTGCAATGGATGTATGATACGACACACCGGTGGCCGAGAATACTTTGGGAGATTGAAACAGTATATGGAAGGAATCATTTTAATTTGAATTCCTCACCCCGCCCTGCCAAAAGATCCCTCCTCTCAGAACGTCTTACAATTGCCAAGAGTAGTCGAGGCATTGAATTATCTATGAGGCAAGCAACTCCCCTCGAAAGGACCAAATTGCTAATGCTATATCGAATGAACAGATACAGCACATCCTGGATCCTTCAAATGTCAATTCTTCACCGTGGGAACTATGATAATCATCTTTATCGCATTCTGCATTCCCCCATCAAATTGATTTCAAACTCTCATATTTAATGCCCATAAGTAACATCTCACACTAACAAAATCTTCAGTCCGGCCATAACCACCAAAAACCCCGACTTTTAAAGCATTAGTTACTGTCCTAAGAAGTGCTACGATATCGTTGCAATCGCCTGGTTACTTGTAATAAGTATCCGACTTGAATTAACAATTCTCACACCCCTTTTCTTTCATTCTTCCCTCCAACAAGCTCTACAGTTCTCGAACCAACTCATAAGCATACCCCAGAAAAAACCACCCGCAGTCCATAGATCTTGGTCTAGGCTAATGCCATGCCTTTTATTAATTTTCCGGAGTTCGCATAATGCATGTTTCAGGTGATGCAGGATATAGGGAGTTCGGATGATGATATATTTAGATACTAACCTTAAGATAATTATTATGGGAAGGGGCTTTTACTTCTCTGGTTTCGTTTAGATTTATTGGTAAGGTTAATGTAAAAAAATTATTTTATGCTTTTGCTATTTTTCAATTTTCAGTGAAGAATGGAGAATGGAGCGTGATTTTGAGGAATTTTTAGTGCTGTATTTCATAGGGGAACATTGTTTCATATTTTAGGCTAATTTTTATCGAAATCGCTGATTTGACGGGGATGAGGAGGAGCGCCGCAAACAGATGGTAGTCTAGTAACTAATAGAACACCCTCTTAACATCGTGTACGTAGCTAAATACTTCCGTATCTCTATTTTCCAGCCCTAACAGTATAAGGCATGCAAATAAGGCCATTGTAAGATAAGACGAACGCTTAAGGTAAAAATAATAAATATTGAGGCGAGTAATCACATATGTACAACATCGGATGATAGATAGGATGAAAGTGAAATAAATAAGTGCGCAATATAGGATGATGAATTGGGATGGAAAAGAGGGGGAAGATATTGACTTCTCTTTTCGATTTCTGATTTGGGATTGTAGACTTATAGCTGCTTCCTAAATGGGAGGTTTGAGGGGGAGGAAGGGAAGCGAGATGAAGGCGTTCATGTATCGCACCGAAGCAAACTGTTCATTATGCATTGTTAATTACATGTGGTTGTGATTTAATTTTTGAAGATATTCGAGACAAGCTGCGCCATAGCAGATTGTGCTGAACTAGATTTCTTCCTTACCTACTGAAGATTTGTTGCTCATACACATATATCTGTGGATTGTGATATTAAGGTGGTGAGATGCACATCAAGCGGAGAAATGCCTTTGTTGAATCATCCACCGAGAAGGAAGAGTATGATCGCAAACGCACCGAAATGAGGATGAATAATTGAGCCGTAATTAAGAATATACGATGAACAAACAGTATGCAATAAACATCGCATAACATTGAAGGATCAAATAATCACACAGAGCCCCAGATCGATATATCTCATTTGGGTGCCTGCTTACGACAGGCTTGAAGGAGGCGAAGACGTGCTATGAATAGTGTGATTCCTACAGTACCACTATACTTACGGTACGTAGCGACGATGTGACGGTTTTGATGACGGCGAGGCGTTGGATGCGTAGTGATTTATGATTTGGAAATTGGAGGGGTGCATGCAGAGGAAGAGAGGAATATAAAGCTGGGGGGTTTGCTCGCACGGCATGGAGGTACTGTGCCGCATTTTGGTTAAGCCTCTATTTTGACCTGCATTGTGTGGTATTGATTGTCTAAGGTGCCAAGGAAATATGTCGAGATCGTATAGTTAGATGGGATTGAGAATTGGGAATACTCCCTCAGTTAAAGAATTGAGAAGGATGGTAATTGTGAGTGACTGCCAATGTAAGGAAGACTTAAATGTAGGAGCTCAGACGGCGAAGATGTTTGATGTTTTATGTGTGAAGCTGGGCAAAGGCGGGAAAGAGTCCTTACATAGGATTGGCGGTTGATGGTAGAAATTCACGGACGTCCTAGGGATAAGGCGATAGCACGCACGATGTTTTGTTTGTGTGATGGTTGGTGAGATCTTTTAAGTCTCATCGCAGGATATCGAGTTTCATATATCTATATCTATATCTATAGTGCTCATGATATCCATCTAGATGCAAAAACGACAAATGAGCAAACAAAAATGCGGATCACTAATCCGTTGGTTCTGATTGAGCATGCGTACTGGTCTATGAAAACCATCAGATGGGAGAATTGGGGAAATCCGAAATGCTTAATGTTTCCCTTCCATCCATATTTCGGTTTTTCAGGGGATAGATATTGTCCTTGGATGCGTGAAGGGTTGCATCCTTTGGAATCTAATTGGAGCATACAACGAGACGAAAGCTAGGGATTCACATCCTCAGAAGATAAATTTTTCGGCAATCTTTTTTGCTTTCCCATTTCTAATTGTATAATTGTTTTAATTAACTTCTGATTTAACTTGAACTCGCGGGATTGAAGAGCTATACGAAATGCCGTATCTATTGTATAATTTAAAATAGAGTTCGTTGGACGAAGATATAGAATCCGAAAATCCGATATGTGTAGAAGGAACTATTTAACCCCCTCGACTTGTATTACGATCGGATTTTGAAGATCAATATTAAGAAATATAATCTTTAATTAAAATTATTATTTTTTTGTATTGTATTGAAACTTCTTGAATTTAATTATGTATTAATTTTGTATTTTAATACAATATTAAATAGAGAATTATATTATATAAATTATATATCTAATTATATCTTAAAGAGAAGATCTATCTTGATGATAAAAATATAGATTATTCTCTTGGAATCTCTATCTATTGGTTGGTAGTCATCCCACACTTAGCCTTGTATACATTTGATTGAGAAATTTCGCTTATTGTCATGCAAAAATATCTTGGTAGTTTACGAACTTTAACTGGTCCAGTCCTTCAACAACCATCACAAGCTCAAACACTCTTGTTCAAGCATCCAATTTTTGACCTGAACAAAGAGTCCTGACTGGCTGCGACCATTCATCTCCCAATCCCTGTCGCAATAATGTTTCTGAAGTTTCAGCATAATCTCATGGTTCAGATCAAATCATCCCAGTGGATCTAGGCTGCCCGCGGGTCGGGAAAGGGGCAATGTGGCTCACCATGAGGGTGGCCAGTCTAGCTTGTTACATGTCAATGCTTCATTGTCCACTGAATCCTCCACAGGTTTCCCATATGCATATTTGCATACATGATGATTTCACTCATTTGTTTTTACCGTCTACCCCTCTCTGCCACAATAATGGTTCTTGGAGCTCACTCCCTCCCTTGCTGTGAAGTCTGCAGGCGCAGGCAGAGCATTGACTATCCTTAAATGGACAGTTTAGGAAGGAAGCAATTCCTTCGCTGCGTTATTTTCCTATAATATCTCTTATCCTCCTCTTCAAGTCGAAGAGCTTCTGAATCACTTTGTCAATTTCTAAGTGCCTAGTATTCAATATCACCGTCACTCCTTACGCGGTGCAATCTCCTTCTACCTCGGTCATTTATTCTTATTATTTTATATTTCACTTTTAGCAGTGGTATAGCTCATCTTATCTTGTTTATCTATTCACTAAGAATCAATTGTCCGACAATCCTTCTTTGTTGAGTGACTATAAGAGGGTATTCGTTATTGTCTTTGCTGTTCACAGTAACACAGCAAGAACAATAGCATTGGAACTCGACAGCTTTCCATATATTTTCCTGTTAGTTTGACTTCAAGACACTCATTAAAATCACACTCTACAAAGAACTTCAACACTTTCATTGAAAACTCCACGAAGTTAAACTTTCGAAGCTATCATCAGGAACAACACACGAAATTCATTCGATCTTTACAACTAAAAATATGCCTTCAAATCAAATGTTCAGTCGCATCGGTGCTGCGTTGATTCTCGCTGCTGGCAGCGCGAACGCCGCATATGTTATCAACCACTCGTATGACCACACAAACTTCTTCTCTCAATTCAGCTTCTTCTCTGGTGTTGATCCAACTCACGGCACGGTGGCATATCAAGACGCGTCTTCTGCCAATAAAACAGCACTCGCTGGATATACCAACAACGCTGGTGTCGATGCCGTCTACCTCGGAGTAGACCATACTACCGTGCTCACAGGAACTGCTGGAAGACCCTCAACTCGTGTGACCTCAAACAAGGCTTACACTCACGGCTTGTTCATCGCTGATGTCGCCCACATGCCCGAAGGATGCGGAACTTGGCCTGCATTGTGGAGTTTTGGTGAAGACTGGCCAACACGTGGAGAGATGGACATTATCGAGGGAGTGAACGCTGGAACCACAAATCAGATGACACTTCATACTTCTGAAGATTGTGTCATGAAAAACACTGGATCTGCCTCTGGCACCACTCTTGTCAACGGAGACTGCAATGCTGGCAACGCAAATACGGGATGTGGTCAGACAGTCAAAGACACAGTTACATACGGTCCAGGGTTCAACGCAGCTGGAGGTGGTGTCTATGCATGGGAATGGACCTCAGACCACATTGCCATCTACTTCTTCCCTCGTTCAGCCATTCCAGAAAATGTCCAATCTGGCAACCCAGACCCAAAAAAATGGGGAAAGCCAACGGGCATGTTCACGGGTAGCGGTTGCGACATAGATACTCATTTCAAGCAGCACAACATTATCCTCGACACTACTTTCTGTGGTGACTGGGCTGGTTCAGTCTGGACAAGTGGAGGTTGCGCAGCTAGCACTAAAACTGCCACTTGCGAAGCATACGTTAAAGCCAACCCAAGTGCATTCAAGAACGCTTACTGGATCATCAACTCAATCAAGGTTTTCTCCTCAAAATAATGAGGCAGTAAGAAGGAAGTCATGGATGAGCCGACATCTTGGGGGCGCTAGACACGCTCTTTTCAAATTCAATCCTTTTCTATTTACCACATTCACACTTTTTTTCACCTCTTACACTTCACACTATGTTTTCATGAATATTATTTTTGTACTTTAGCTTGCGTCGATAGATTCTTTGGCGTTCAGCAAGGGAAATACCACAACTTCATTCGCAGCATTGGCATCACTTTGTAAAGCGGAGGGCGTTTTGGTTGAAAAGCACCTACAGGATTGACTGCTGGAGCTGATTTACATAAAGATACCTATCAAGGGGGATGATTGATTTTTTTGGTGGACATGCAGATGCATGAAGAAAATGTCGTACTCTAAAGATTACCATTTATTTTCCTGTATTGCCAATTTTTGTTCAATGATAACTCCCGTGTGATGTTCTGTGACATGTTGACAGGTGATTGTGAAAACTTTGATCTCTATACTGAGGTGAAGAAGTTAATACTAACAAAATCAAGCAGAAACAAAAGCACCTGAAAATCAACTTATTTGCAGATACTACTTTTTCAACCAGAATGGCCATTTCAGATAAATATCATCGACATGCGCCAAATCTCCAGTTTTCTCTATCGAAGCGCCAAGCCTATAAAATAGAGCTTGATCCAAGCTCCAGGGTCTTCAAGCATTAAGAGTTTAGCGAAGATCATCACTAACTGTCACTAAATCTTTGACTGTAAAGCTTAAACATCTCTCCACTGCAAAATAAATTATTTCCCACGCGCGTAAACCTACACTCTAGTAAACAACAACACTTACCTCATATCAGTATCACCTATATCAAAATTATAACTTCCTAGCCATCTGCAGCTTGTGGAACTTTCCCTGTATTATCAATATGCATCCTTCAAGACAAGCCTATGTGGAGGAAGCCAAAGAAGTAAGTAATACCCCTCCAAGCCATTATGTTTCCAATCATGCATACGAATGAATACTAGGCAGATGAATAACTACACATTCACCAGCAGCTGCTAATCTACTCGCGCGCGCAGGATACAGGTATAGATCTCGCAGATGTTCGTAAGTACCAATTCCCGCGCAATCTTCCGCTGTCCACTAAAACTCCACTATAGCCCTCGACCGCGACTATGATATGCCCTCTGCTACCGCGGGTATTGCCCCCGAGCGCGCCAGCGCAATTCTTTCTCAATTCGATCGCAAACGTCGCGCGGCTGCCATAGCGGTTCCTACTGATGATGGACGCGTGCGCGCACGACTTCGGGAAATGGGGGAACCTGTTACGTTGTTTGGGGAAGGACCGGGTGATAGGAGAGATCGACTACGACAGCTTTTGACGATTGAGAGTGAGATGAAGGCGGAAGAGAATGGAGAGAATGATGATGGAGATGTGGATATGGGGGAGGGGAATAAGGATGAGGAAGCGGAGGAGGAATTTTATACGAGGGGCACGAAGGAATTACTAGATGCGAGGATAGATATTGCGAAGTTTTCGTTGCCGAGGGCGAAGAAGAGGATTGAGATTCAGAAAATTGAGAAGGAAGTTCCGTTGAGGACTCATATTAAGCTCAGACAAGGTATCAAGGAGAGACTAAAGGATTTTGAGCTTCAGGGAAGTCAAACGGCTGGAGAGAGACCAGTTAGTATTGTGAGGATTTCGCCCAATGGAGAATTGGTCGCAGCAGGCAATTGGGGAGGTGGGATTAAACTGCTTGGGATACCGGATTTGGAAGTTAAGAAGTCGCTGCGTGGACATACAGATAGGGTGGGTGGAATTTCCTGGGCACCAGGTGCTACGATAGAGGGATCGAGTGTCTCGCCTGGTAGCGTTAATTTGGCATCGGGAGGAGCAGAAGGAAAAGTTCATCTATGGAATCTGGAGCAAGATACACCCGTTTCGACATTGGCTGGGCATAACCAGAGAGTTTGCCGAGTGGAATTTCATCCATCTGGTAAATACGTTGCATCTGCATCCGAGGATACAACATGGAGATTATGGGACGTTGAAACCACGACAGAACTTTTACTTCAAGAAGGCCATTCGAGAGGAGTTTTCTGTCTTAATTTTAACGGTGATGGTTCACTTCTAGCAAGTGCAGGCATGGATAGTATTGGACGTATCTGGGATCTCCGAACAGGTCGTACAGTCATGATTCTAGATGGGCATATTCGACCCATCTACGCACTAGACTGGTCTGCGGATGGCCATCGTGTCCTATCCGGATCTGGTGACGGCTGGATCAAATGCTGGGATGTGAGGAAAGTCGCCAGTACCGGCGGAGTGGGTGCACATCGTAGCGTGGTATCTGATTTGAGATGGTTCAAAGGTACAGATGCTATGTCTTCACCGGAAAAAGACGAGAAAGGCATAGTGCAACCGAGAAAGACGGGAACGTTTTTCGTTTCCAGCGGCTTCGATAAGGATGTTAATATCTTTTCCGCGGATGATTGGGCTCTGGTACAGAGTCTGAGTGGTCATACGGGAAATGTGCATAGTTGTGATGTAGGCGCAGATGGAAAATGGATTGTTAGTGGTGGGTATGATAGAACGGTTAAATTATGGGGAAGAAATAACGGAGAGGGGATTTAAGGATTTTTCTTTTTTCTTTTATCTTCATGATCATCATGTGTGGTGGCTGGGTGTTTGGTGACAAAAAGTAAAATCTTGCAAAAGTTGGATCTTAGGAGATCTTATATCTGATTAGAGTAGGCTGTCTATGTACGGATCAGCTTCTTTCTTGCATTCGAGATGGCGTAGGGGGGATTATTCACACATACATATAACGGGAAATGGCATAGGGCGTTTTGAATTGGGATACCCGAGTTGTATATGTATGTATGTATGTATGTATGCATAGATAGAAAATATTATCACAGATTAAATTCTCATTCTTTCATTTATCGAGTGAGTAACTAACTATTTATACGTAGATCCCTTTCGAGAAATGAGATGAAAGTTTATATGATATTATATTATATGTATTGTATTGTATAATCATTGCAAGATAGCCAACCAAAAGACTCCAGATTAAAATGGGTATCAATCGCACGCATCGCTCGTAGATGTCTTTGTTTCTTCAACCATCCATATATCGAGTTATTCCCTTGGAACTGGATGATCCTATCCATCTCGAGGTGCACCTGGAAATTAGGACAGCATGTTCATCCCAAGTTTCCTTGAATGTCATGATGCGCCCTACTTCCCTTCTGTCCTGTCCCAACTCCGATTATAGGCTTCCTTGCCTTTCCTCTCCTATTTAGATGAGAATTCAACTCTCCTCTACCCTTAAACATCCTAAACAAAGTACCTCACCCTCCGTCCCTCTCTCCACACAACATCGACTACACACCATTCCCCTATGCTGCATACCATTCTCTCCCCATCCCTGCCCACCCTCTTCCTGCTTTCCAACCTCTCCACCCATCCCGAACTTACCCCCCCATCCCCCAAGACACTCCCTAATACAAACCCAACAAGTCCTCTTCGCACAGCCCTCACAATTCGCAAACGCATCCAATTCCTTCTTAACAGTTGGTTTACGACGACAAATATGACAAGCTCTTAAATCCATTGCTGCTGGACTTTTTTCTCTCTCCTTCATCTGTTCGATTCGCGGTTCTGTTTCGACGGGGAGATATTCCACTCGAACTCGTTTGTTCAAACTCATTTTTGATCGGGGTATTAGGTGGCGACGTTCGGGCTCGTGGTGCATGGTGTGTGGGTATGAGTTATGTGGATGCGCATGAGGATGGATATGTGTATGTCTAGGACTGTTTTTAGTGATTAGCTAACTTTTTTTTAACTTCTTTCCCCCTTCCCCTCCATTCCCAGATTTGAGAAACTAAACTACCCCAAAATACAATCTGTAAAACAAATAGCCACATACCTCTGAATCTTCATCTGTACCTCTTCCTCCCTCTCCCTTTCCCTCTCAATCACATCCCCCAAACTCGCCACATCCCTCCGCCTCTTCAACAAATTAACCGTAGAACCATTCGAAGCCGCATGAAAATCCATCGAAGGAATATCCCAATCTTCTTGAGCTATTGATGGCATATCCTTTTCTTTTTCTGCCCTCTTCTTCTATCTCTTCCCCCTTCCTCTCTTCCTCAAAAAAGCAAGAACTTATCCCCCCAGTCCTCTAAATCTCCCTCGAAGATTCTACAACCACAATCTCTCACTCTCAACCCCTCACCCTCAAGCTCGCAAATTGTTATCACCCGATCAATAACTATTCTAACGAAGAAACCGTTAAGAAGACAAAAACAAAACGAACGCAGATAGATAAATAAATAAATAAATCTAAAGATTCCCAAAGATCCGTATTGAAAATGAAGATATTGTAAGATTACCTCGACAGATTGAGATAATTAGAGATATAGATCGAGATGGCGATCAAGGAGCGATAAGTGGTTGTGTAAGGAAAGGATTGAGATCTGGATGTCTTGTTTGTCGTTTGTTTACTTTACTTTGTAGTAAGGTTAATTAAGAGAGCCATTGTCGGGATTACTTCGCTGTATCTGTGTAGACATAGCTTTCCGATTCATTTATTTATGCTTATTTTATGTTTTATGCATGTCCGTTTCATAAGTATCAGGAATGCATTGGATCGGGTTACTGTTCATGTACTCCGAATCTATGTTCAATTCATTTAAAATATAAAATATATATTAATCGTATGGGTATTCCTGTATAATTCCTAGGCTTCCTAGGTTGTTCTCATCTATCATCTACTCTGCATCTACTCCATTTGTAGAGTAGTAGGTATTCAATGTTCATAATCCATGCACGTTATATCGTCTTTCCTTTCTTTTCCTTACCTTCTTTTCCTTCCCTTTCCTTTGCTTCTGTACTGTCCATCTCAGCATGAAAGCCATAACTTTCTTCATCTTCATTTCCCCCCAGCACTAAGAACTTCCTGAAAATTACTCCAAGAACAGGAACAACCTCCCGTTCCTCCATCAAACCCTCCAAGTGATGAATCACTAACATTCGAGAATATACTCGGAGCCGGATTAACAATCTGGCCTCCAAATGCTCTATTCTCTCCATTGACAATTCCACTGCTGGCTATAATCCCCTCTCTGTCATTCATACTATAACAGTACAGCAACTTCCTCGCAGGATCTCCTCCATGTCGATCCGTTGTGATAGTAATCGGATAGGGAAACGATCCCGGCTGTGAGAAATCTTGCCCTGCTATAATAGTAGAGGCACCAGTAGAACTAGTTGCGTTGTTAAGTCTAGCAGTACCATTCATCCTAGTCCACATCTGTACCAAGAAACGAGTTTCGCCCCATGTACAACGAAAGTTGGCTTCTCCTTCAAGAGCCCCACCATTTTGGTCATCAGGGACTTCACCATTGGAAGTATTGGTATCGTTGAGTAATGAAAGGGATTTAAGGAAAATACTACGATTGAAGTATGTATAGAATCCATAATGCTCGGTAACGAGTCCTCGATCGTAAAGACGAATAGGTTGTTGAACTGGATATGGAAGAAGATTGGCCGGTGCGGCAGTACCATCAGCGTTTAGACTCGGCGCCGGAATACCAGATGTGATGTTTGGAAATAGATTAGGATCGGTAGTATTTGAAGTTGCACGCTTTACGCGGCTGTTACTTGTTAAAGTGGTGCTTGTAGTAGGTAGAAAGGTTATATAAAAGGGTGTTGGTTCTCCGGCCTTGTTGGTAGAAACAATACCATCTGTAGTATCGCCCAAAAAGGCTTCTTCAGCATAGGATGGTGGAGCTGGCGAGGGATTGAAGGTTATGCTTTGTCGTGCCTTTAATATTAGATCCCTGATGAATTTCCCAGCAGAGACTGGGTTTCCAACAATATTTCGTGTAACGAGGTTTTTGTTCCCTGTGACATTCGCAAAAGTTGCATTTGCCGCACTGCTGTTATCCCACTGAATTTCCAAAAGGAAATTGGGTTGGTTCGGTAGATTTGGCGCGACAGAAGACTGTTGCTCCTTTGGTAAAGCACAACTCCATTGTGTAGCAGGAAATACACAACCGGTGTTTGCCACAATATTGACTGGAGCTGCTATCGTCGACAGGCCGGCATAGATAGGAGGGAATCCAGTGAGGTTCAACCATTGAGATTGCATCACAACATGTTTTGGCTTTCGTGTCAAGGTCATAGCAAGGACTAAAATCAAGACGATCAATAAAAGTAATGCAATGAATATGCAGCAATACCATCTCCGTCTCTTTCGACCTTCTGCACCTTGACGGCCATGACATCCATTTTTGGGAATACATCCTCTACCGGCCCACAACCCACCTGCTTTGCGAGCCATTCTATCTTCCTTTTCGTTCTTTTGACGTTTTGATTCTGCTTTTTTAGCAGCTTTGACAGCAGCTTTGTCTGCAATTTGCTGGAGATGTTCTTGAGTCATAATCAAGAGAGTTGGGGTTGTCTGTCTAGTAGGTCCAGGATATGCCGTGTTCTGATTGGTTCTACCATGCGCCGGGCTTAGCGGAACCTCCGACAACTGAATACTACCTTTTGAGGCCATCGCTTGTTGCATGCCTGGAGATATTGGACCAGGAGAAGCAGGATACTGCATAGCTGAGACTGTAACTGGAACTGAAATTGGGCCTGAAGCTGGGCCTGAAGCTGGAGCTGTTTCGTGTGAGGGGGGTAAAACGGCTCGATATTTTCGGACTTTCTTTGGTGATTCAGTAAAGTAAGGCGGTGGAGGCGGAGGTGAAGTAGAGTGATTCATAAGTATTCTGGATTTTATTTCTGAATCATGCGAGTCCGTACTTGTAACCATACTCGAGTTGTTATAGAGATTAATGTTACTATTTTGGGTCTGAACAAAGGGATTATTGCTTCCAAGTTCTTTTGTTCTATTGGCTGTGGATGACAACGAAATGTCTTTGTTGACCGAAATAGAATTTTTTTGCAATGAATTTGAAACATCCGAATGGTCATGAGGCGCTATGAAATTTATAGAGTGTACAGCATTGACAGTGATATTTAAATCAGTAAATCTAGTCAATCTCGCGTCTCCCACATCACCTGAAGCTGAACGGACAAAGGGTAAAGCAGCTGTCGACGGTTTTACCGCATGTCTCGTCTCTTTATAGATTAACCCGGGGGAAACCTGTTTCTCTGATCTGAAACCTAAAGGAGTCACATCCCACCAATCATCAGATGCATTGGAAGCTGTTCTTTTGATCGAAAGAGGAGAAAACAATTGTTCCCAAGACTTTCGCTCTACCTTCGATTCCTGAGCTTTGGCTGCTGCAATGGCCAAGATAGGATCTTCAGGAACACCCGATGACTTCTTCTCCGTATATGCTAGTGTGTTTGACCGACTTAGGAATGGCGTCGTAATATAATTCCACCAACCCGAACGAGCCCGTACAGCAATGGTGTCCATACTTCCATGATTGTCCACTTTCGGCGCATCTGCAAGGGTGGGTAGACGGGCGCTTCGGACGATGATTGGATGTTCATCCTCCTCGTAAATAATACAAGACGACAAGACTCGGGTTGAAGATGGTTCCTCATCCCATTCAGTAGTGGCATCTGAATCGGGAGAGAAGTAACTATGCTGAGCTGCCAACCTCCTCTTCTCCTCCTCAGCCAAAGCTGCTGGCATTGTCGGCAATGGTGGTGCTCCATCTCTGAATGGGTCATTGGGGCTGGCTACTGAATAAGATGTTGATAAAGTTCGTGTTCGCGATACATTCGAAGCTGTACTATACGGTGACCACACAGATATCTCTTGCGCAGGCGTGATGACGATAGATGGTGTAGCCAATCCTTTTCCTGTAGGTGTCTCGAGCCCATAATTTCCCATCATAGTTGAAGCGATTGAAGTTGATGTCTGAGGGGTGGTTGTGTGATGAGCTAAACGCGCAGAGGGGATGGATATGCCAATAACAATTGGACGGTCGTCGGGAGATAGGTCATCACCCAATTTTAAATTTGTTGGTCTTGAAGACCCGCGTCGCTCTGCCAGTGGAGAGACAGTCAATGTTTTGCTCTGTACTGAATCCAGAGCATTGACCTTGGTCTTCTCGGGCGAGTATTCGATAGCTTTGCTTTTCTTATTCTTCAGAGATGTCCATAATGTCCCGTTGGGATGAGCCGAGACATTCTCTAGTTTTCTGAGAGTTGTCAGATCAACGAAAAATCCATTGGGTCGTGATTGTTGTGAAGAAAGTACTTGTGGTCGAGGTCCATGATGTGTTGAGAAGTTTGTTTGAATCTGAAGGCGGAGTTTCGTATGAAGCTTGCGCTGCCTTCCTTTTGACTTCTCTCGTGTCACTCTCGATATCGAAGATTTCCTCTCCCTCCTACTGACGGTGCGGATCACGTTCCCAATGCGGCCGGTAGTGATGTTTTCTAAAGATTTCGATTGTGATGGTTCCCCCGAGGGAATAATAGAGGATGTATGTTCGTCTTTCCAAGAATCTTCATCTTTGCCGTCAAATATGGTTTCAAAAGGATTTTCTGTAGGTACAGTGGAAGGACTGTTCGTAGATAGAGCTGGTGGCCTCCCAACCGGGGTTTTAGATATGATTTGGTTTTTTGTATTCATGGCGAAATGGTGTCAAAAATTGTCAAAATTGTGGTATGTGTGAATTGGCTAAAAGCGTGAATGATGCGAAATGTTCTATTTTATTGGTGGTAATGGTCGTCCTTGCTCTCCTTGAAATAAGTTGCAATTGATCGCTTCGGTTTGAGGAAGGTCGAAACATCAATTGATTATAAAAAGAAAGGTTTAGAACTTAGGGTCCAGCCACTTCATGGTCATGAATAACGAAAGACTGAAAATTACAGGGCCGACAGCAACGATCGGACAATAGGAGAATTCAAACAATAACAATATCTATTGAGGACTCAACAACAACCAAGAACGATAAACGAAAGTGAATGAATGTCCCACACCCCAAACAAAAACAAAAGGCACAATAAGAAGTGAGGATGGATGAATTTGTAACAATACACAATAAAACTACACGCAGAAATGAATGTGTGGTAGATAGGAAATAGAACATGAGGATAAAAATATAATGAAACGGGAGCGGAAGTGAAGATGCTTCCTATGAAATAGACCTACAGAATTGGCCATGAAGCACGACCTGGTAAACCTACGATGCAGAGAATCCAGACCTTGAAGCACCGAAAATAGCAAACTTTTTTTATTCGCTCGCAGTCGCAAGCAGTCAGAATGGTAAATCATTTATTGACCAGTCGATTGAAGATTTTCATCGATGGCGGTAACTTTACGCGCCGACAAGAAAAGTTTGATTTGAATTGATTGGTCAATGCTGCCCTTGGGGAGTTATTGCATATTGCGTTATACAACGGTAAAGAGCTGATCATTGTTACGCAACATAATGATGTCTTGGATGACTTTGAAAGTCATTATCGTGAATTGTCGTATGTATGAAGATGAAGATGGAGATGGAGATGGAGATAGAGACGGTCATGATGATGTTTGAAGTGAAAAGTCTGAAGAATTCGGATGAGAATTGACAAGAGTGAGAAGTAATTGATTAGATAAGAAAATACTCCACTGACTAAAGTGTTTTATATAGGTACCCTTCTACTCATGTTATGCAAAGTTATTGCGAGAAGTATAAAGTTATGAAATGAGGAATCAACGCCGCTTTATCTCCCGACTGTATAGTTATTCACCTCTTATATCAAAATCAATATAATGATTAAAATGATTACAATAATTAAAGAATGAGAGATACATTTTCTATGCTCTTACTGATTGGGCATTTTGAGTCATGATATATTAGTGTAACACATCAAATAAAATCAGTCAAATTATAGATAGAATTACTTCAAAGTAACAAATGTTCTTATATAAGCTTAGAATGTAACGAGATATTAATGTGAATGACTTTAAATGACTAAGCTGTAACCAAATCATGGATCACTTTTATACATTTCCGAAATTCAATCTTCTCTTCTCTTCTCTTCCCATCCCTCCCTCTCCTCCTTCCATTTTAGTATTGGCATTGGCCATCTAATCAGTAAATTACTGATTCGTTGCTCTCGTAGGGCAGGCTCCAGCACAACCAACTACATAAACAGATGCCCATCCAGATGCTGCAATTGTAGGTGTATACTGTAAAAAGTCATTCATTTCACAATTCAAAAAGAAATTTTTATATATCTTGTATTTACTTTGATGCCCTCCTATGTTTCATAAAATGGTTATTACAATAACACTCATCGTTAAACCAACCAAATATGAACTTTACCAGTGGTTATCTTACAACACCCATTCTTTTTTCAGCCCTCTGCAGATGTCTTCCGTGGCGCTCGCAATAAGCCACATCATGAAACCGCCTAAATGGCTCCCTGTCAACTCTTGTTATTGAACACCCATCCGTTGCGCATACTGTACCCTTTGGAATTGGTCTGGCTTTCCAAATCCTCTCATTCGTGCTACCTATGTATATCACAGATATTTCGTTCTCTTTGTTCTTACAAAGATCAATATAAACTCCCCATTTGGTTGCTGAATTATTATGAAGAGGTTTATCTGCAACAAGTGCATTATCCAATTGAGTCAGATCCAAAATCTTCGCACCTGGAACTTTTCTAGTTGGGAGTGGTATTGATTCTATAATTTTTAAAACAATCTGACTGAGAGACTTTTGAGTACTTCTCTCCAAGATTATTTTCATAGTCCTTTTCAGCTTTGGTAATCTTGAGTGTTGTTCTTTCAGACACTCGATGAATTTTGTCGCAGCTCTCATAAGCCGATCAAAAAGCTTGCGTTCAAACTCTTGAAGCATGGCTTCGGAAATAGTACAATCATCTACTATTTCGAGTAGACGAGCCCAGGTAATTTCTTCATCTTCATCATCATTCTGTAAACGAGCCTTTGATGGCCCATGTGACTCACTCGAGCCTGAAGCTTGTCGAGGGTGTTTATCCTCAATGACAATATTTATTCTCGACTTCTCAGCCGAGATTTCCTCTTGTTCAGAGGGTTTCCCATTTTCAGGGAGTTCACCTTCTTCAGGTGTTCATTTTTCAGGAAATCCCTTTTCAGGGAGTCCACCTTTTTCAGGTGTTCCTTTTTCAGGAAATCCCTTTTCGGGGATGATAGCCTTCTTTTTAAAGTAGGCATTGAGAGTGTTTTGTTGAGGGGGGGAATTTGGGGCTCTTCTGGTGGGCATGTTGTTGTTGTTGCTGATGCTGATGCTGATGCTGTGTGTCCACCTTGTTCAGGTAATCCTTTTTCAGGAAGATCAGCCTTCTTTTTAAAGCTAGTTCTAAAACACATATTTTCTACTAGGTCTCATCACCACCTTCTCCCGCAAAAGGAGTATTATCCCAAACATTTGATAAATCTAGATCCATGTCATCTTGTCCTTCCAAAGGCGTTGCAGCGGCAGCGGCAGCAGCAGGGGTATAAGCGACAGGGGATTTCGTGGTGGTGGTGGTGGTGATGGCGGCAGGGCAGATGGCTGCGAGGGATGGGGTGGTGGTGAAGGAAGGGCTGATAGCCACAAGGGAGGAGTAGTAGTGAGGACAAGGCTACTGGCAACGGCGGTGGCAGCAGCAGAGGTATAAGCGGCAGTAGCAGGGGTATAGGCGGCAGGGAAGTTGGTGGCGGTGGGGGGTGGTGGCTGCAAGGGGGAGGCTGTTGGCGGCGACGGCGGCGAGGTTGGCTGCGGCTTTTCGTCATTGTCGACGGTTCTAAATGAAGGTATATTAGTATAAAGGAATTCAAAATGAACTAGAAGGAAGTTGTGAGTAACTTACAGGACCTTTTCTAATTGGTGTCTGAGATGCAAGGTGGACTACTACACCTGCGGCAGCAGCGAGACTGGCTGTGGCTCTCCGTCTTTGTCGACGGTTCTAAGTGAAACTATATTAGTTTAAAAGAATTCAAAATGGACTAGAAAGGAGTGTGAGTACTTACGGGAGCCTTTCTTACCGGCGTCGAGGCTGCAAAGTTTACCACCGCTCCAGGAGCAGCATTTACCTATAAAATCAAGCATTAGTAATTGAGAAGTCAAAGGAAAAAAGAATGAACTTACAATCTGGTGATTTGAACCAAATTGCTGAACATCTTGGAGATGGTTAGTAGATGATGTTTTTTTTTAAAAAAGAATGTATGTGTGGGTAAATAATTAGATGGGCAGCATGAAGAAGAAGAAGAAAAAGAAGAAAGAAGAGAAAGGAATGGAACTGTCTGAACATGGTAGAGATGATTGAGTTTATGGCTTAAAAGAAAGGTTGTATGGTAAATATTTGGATTGACAGCATCAAGAAGAGAAGAAAAGAAAATGGAAGAAACGAGAGGGAGATGCTCTGCTTATAGATTTCAATCAGATCATGACAACACTAGCGACTTGGTTGCTCTGACGATGAAAAGACGGTGATTTTCGTGTAATTTCGCCAAATGGAGGAGTCGCCTTTTGACGCCCTTCCAAAAAACACCTCAAACTACGTACTAAGATAACAATACAGGCAGGCAGTATCTTTGCTTTGTATGAAAGATCGCCGATGATAAGAGAAAGTTTAGCTAGATCGAATATGAACCATTGTAATCTTATTATTCGACCAGCAATGAGGTCGGTCAAATAGGCTATATCTTCACTTTCTGTGATTGACCGCCGATGACAACAGAGAAAAGGTTTAGCTAGAGGGAGTATGACCGAGAGATGACGATTGTATTGTCGATCACCAATGAGATCAAATTGGCTATATCTTATGTATTGGAACATAACAACACAAGCAGTATCTTCGCTTTCTGATATGAAGCATCGCCGATGACGAAAGTAGCTTGGAGTAGGTAGTAAATAACACCTTGGTTACCATTTGCGCAGGACCACAAAAAGGTGGTGGTAACTGCTTTGTGTGAAGTGATTAATATGAATGAGATAGCTAGTACCTAATAGTGGTGGTTATGACGATTGATATCTCTTACTTAGATGTCCACGGGCGGGATGGTGAGTTATGTATCATTACTCATATATACACATATATTAGGACCCCGATTAATAACAAGATCAATCTCTGTCACAGGGCAAAAATTCTAATTATCAATACAAAATGACAACAACAACAGACTGACTTTTACAGTCTTTTCTTTTTATAAATAGAAACTAGCTATTGAGGTGCTTGAGCTCAATCATAGTAAATAATGTCATATTAATAATAATTCTAAACATTCGATACCCATTAAACATCTTCCTTCAACAGATCACAATCCCGCATTATATATAAGATTATGATAAAGATATATGTACAGTAATAGGACAGTCTGAAACCAAAAAACAAACTTGTGCTCTCTTTACGATACAGAAATATATCATTGCACCAATACCGATGTGTCTCTAATTGAAAAATTATACTTTCGAGACATAATCGGTTCTATTAATTGAGTTGAAAGAGTGAAAATAGTACGAGATTGAATAGGATAGTAAAGGATAAGAAGATTGATAGCCAAAAGAAATATATCAAATAATGAAAAAGTTCTCAAATCAGTCGATTCAGTCAACCCCTATTTCTTTTCAGTACATTCCGATTCCCATACACAAGACAGAACTATTGTCAATCATGTTCGTTCAATAGAGAGGAATGCTTCGGGTCTACAATCTAAAGCTCTCTCCTTCTGCCTCTCCCGCCCTCTCTTGCGACCTTTTCATCCTCACTCCAGTGCTCTAATTACGTACCCTTTCCTAGCTTCTTCATATCTCAAAACTAGATGTATACTTCGAGCCCTTCGATTAAAAAATCAAATTAAGTTACAGCTTAATATCTGATCAGAGATACACCTCTTTGTACAAGCAATAGCATACTTCCCATCGATAAAGAGGCGGAAGGTAACCCTACATTGGCCACTATTCTGGTAACCTTAAAATACAGAGCTGAGCAGGGAGATGCTCTTACCTTTTGCTCTGTTCTCTAAACTCTTTACTAGATAAATACCTCCTTTCTATAAAGTAGATTATTTTGGGATACCTCAGCTATTACACCAAGATTTACTCCTGGACAAATGGATTTACTTACTCGGGTAATTAATTAAGATGAAGAATATTTATCGAAAGATCTCTAAATAATCTCCTCATTACGGATCATACACCATATCCATCTCCAACCATAGAATACCGTGGTTGCTGCAAGGCTTGGTAGAAAATACATTTTTTAACGTTGAACATTGTAACTGCACAAGGTGACATATTATCACGTGACAATACATGAGCCCCCCTACTCCTGAGGCATCAAAGACCAAAGAACTTATAATCGAGAGAAACAATGGGAAGAGCATTATCTAAGTCTTGGAACTACACACGGCTTCTCATCCTCTGACTATCAAAAATATCTCGAGGCCAAGAACTCGATATTATTTTAAGCGCTCGGCCTGTTAACGATTCATTTTCCCCGAACGATCTACAGCAGGGTCTTCAAAACTTCAAGGGTATTAACCACAATAGATTGCCAAGTTATTTGATTGATTGGTTGATCTAGCACTATAAAGCTTTACTTCAATCCGCAATCCTCGAGCTTCCTCTACATCCACAAAAACAGAATCATAACAAAGGGAAGTATTGTTTGTGAACTACTGCGACCACACACTGTTCTCCGTAACTGACGTGATGCTTCGGCATAGCTTTCCAACAAGCTGAGCTTAATAAGCACGTTTGGGTATGGCAACCATGGAGATGATCTGCGGTCCATTGTAAGGTGGAGGCGGGACATCATAACGACTCCCCACCTTGAAGAAATTTCCGGGTGGTGTATCAACAACACTGCACAAGCTCTGACCAGGCCAAAAGTTCGCTCCGTTTGACTTGGGATTGCTAGCAAGTAAGTTGAGGCAGGTTTCAAAATCATTCGTTCTCAATTCAGGGCCCTGTATGGCCCGGTATATGCCGTAGGATGTGGTGGTTAGCCAAGGATGTGTATACACCATTACCGAACGCTGACAGTAGATTCTGAAGTTTTGCCCGTTGCGATTGACCACTTGCATGTTTGAAGCGGGGCAGGAGATGGCCGGCGGCGGAGGTGGTGGAGTAACGCAGGAAGGATTCGTGCCTGATAGAAGAGGGTATGTTAGACAAGAGGTTGTGTGCAAATAAATGGATTCAGAGAAGATGGACGAACTTACCGTCCCATTTAAAATTTTGCCCAGGAGGGCAGCACCCTTGTTTACCACTGGCTGATTGAACCGTGTTTGGGGGAAGACAGCAAAGTGTAGCTCCAGTTTGAGCTTGCGCATACCTTTATTGCTCGGATCAGTTTTTAATCATTTCACCTGAAGACTACCTTGTAGGTCTCAAACCAGGAAAGGATGAGAAACTTACTCGGTACCAAGACAGACTGTTTTGAAGTGTTAGAAAGTTGTAAGTAGGAAGGAATTCGGTGAGGGGACGTACTGGCTACAGCTCCGGTAACGCACTCCCCTTGAAAGACTCCCGACGCATCATTCTTAGGAACGTAATTTGGTCCTGCAGTTCTCTTGCAAAAATCCTGAATTGGAGTAAGGTCAGATATGCCATCTATAATACACGTCTATAGGTCGATAGTTTAGGATGTGAAGAGAAGGGCTAACATACCGCAGGCGTCTCTTGTTGAGCAAGTACGAAGCTTGCAATGGTGAAAACACCAATTATGGAGAGCTTGAATGTCTTCATCGTGTAGTAGTAGAAGATGAGGTCAAATAGATAGAATCCAAGTAGAATTGAGAAGTCAGTCAATGACCAAGGGAAGAACAATATAAAAGTGTTTTCCTCTGAATATTTGGCTGATATGATATATGGACAGGGTGATTCCCTTAGCATTATAAAAATGTATCACAAACCCCCATTATCTGTATCCTGCATCAACAAGCTGGAACGAGAACACTAACCCCGTAACGCCGTAATGAAGTGTCAATCTCTCCTCACTTGAGGCGGCTAGCTTAACGCATTGGCTTGAATCTCTCAGGGAACATAAATGAAACCCTTGCTTTCGATAAACACCACGACATTCCTATCACAACATCTTGACTCTTGATGTCGCCGACTGTTAAAAACCATCCGCAAGTCCAGCCTAAACGTACCTGCTTCAGCGTAGCAGTTGTATCGACCGTATACGTAGCTGTTGGCACAGCTCCACCATATTATGTTCCACCTGCACTCAATTCCTATGTCTTAGATGCAGATAATCTAATCCTAATACTTCGGCGCATCCTCTGCCAGTCGCTCGTAGCTGAAGATCCTCTTTTGGAATGATCGACATGATATATTAAACGGGTTCGGCCGATCACAAACACGGAACACCCAGCGCCACATAACCAGGGGTTCCGCAAGTAGTACCGAGCTACGCACAAATCTGGGGCCCCGGTATCGCACTAGCACACGTACAGAAAATGCCATGCATGAGCTGTTGTACTTGGTGTCTTCTCGGGAATTCTTTGGTGCACCAGTGCACAGCCTGAGACATTAAATTTATCATATATTTACTGGTGCATGTAGTACCCGGAGTGGAAGGGACAGAATAAATGTGTAGCTGAAACTTCAAAGAAATGAAATTTTTGCGCTGAAATCGGAAGCAAGGCGCTATGTAAGGGGTAATCCAGCGTTGTCTTCTGCCGGGACTCGGAGCGTTTTGGTCTCGAATAATTACATGGGTTGATTTCGAGTCGTGGTCAAAATGATAGACATATGCATGAAATGGTCAGCGGATGGATAGGTTGAGCTCGGCGTTTCTCCCAAAATCCCTACGTGCATGGGAGGTTGGAATGAGGCGTTTCTTCTATTGGGAATGAGGCTTTTTTTTCTTTCGAAGCGAGATCTCGTGATATTCTAATTTTCACCTCACCTCTCCATCTTCAAATCCTAGATTTACAGAATTTTGGCTTCAGATTCTTTATTTCATAATGAAACATTGTAATAGCAATTTCATGGGAATGGTACATCGTTCTATCCGGTTTCAAAAGTGTTGTCATTGAAATTTGAGCCTAAAGTAACACTTGATCTCCCGCCCCCAAAACCCGATTGTAACCTCCTCTTCTCGTCCACCCCATCATCGCCACTTTGAAAGGAAAAAAGGTTACATGAGCCAGGAAGTATTTGCGGATGCCTTTTTTACTAAGTCCTTTGTGTAGTAGGAATAGCACATAAGAAATCTCCTCCAGCAGGCGCCGTACCCTTTGGAGGACTGTCCCAGACGCTCGCCCATACGCAATTATCAGTAGGATTTCCATCGTCATAATAATTAACACCCTGACAGAATGGCTTTGCTTTTGCAGCTAGATCCACGAATTAGTATTTTCTCACTCTAGAGTCTTCCAGATCATCATGTCAATAATACTAGGGGAGAAGTAGAACTCACAGCATTGCTCCATACACTCCTTGAAATTCTTTGCACTTGATACCCCCAAGTTGGGATTAGATGCTGAGTGCCCTACGGTGCAGTACACCTTATACTCTACCCCCCCAACAATGGTAATTTTGCTATCGGCACCGGGGCACTTATCGGGGAAAGGTTCTGGCTTGGGACTAATGCTAGGACATACCGGGCATTGAGTAGTCGTGGGTTCCTCAATGAGATGAGCGCTATCATAGCCATCAGCTGTAACGGGTACATCCTTATTACCGTGGGTTCGTAAATAGCAGATTTTGGAAGATGGCGCGTAGATGGCGCGCACACAATTACTAATGCCGGAGCAACGACTCATGCAGTCGCCCATAGTATCTGCGGGTGCTTGGCCTAAATCATTTGTTCCATGATTTACTAGAATTTCGTCAGAACTGCACTGAATGGCTGCATAGAAAAGTGGTGACTAACTCAAATTACAGTAGAGAATATACTTCTTGCCACCAGCTGTGAACGTTCTTCGGTCGCCCTTAGGGCAAGTAGGATTTGGATTTGGCCTGTGTTTGGTTTTAGTACGAATACAGTAAATCCTACATCCGCTATTCTCTGGAATGAAGACTTACTTGCAAGAACAATCACAGGTATACACATCGTCCGAATTCTGGCAGCAGCTACCAGATAACGTCTTTGGATCCGCATGGTACGATTTACCCACATCACAACAGTCTCCCTTCTGCGTAGCAGAATCGAACGAGAACACACTTGGGGCGACGCAACATGCTCCCTCTGTCTTGATCACGGGATCTACACTGAAAGTTCCCTAGAAATCCTATATTAAACTTATGAATTAGAAACACAGCCGAAAGTACTCACCTTATCTTTGCCGCAACATTTTGATTTCTGGTCCTTTGGATCCTAATAGAGTTTAGAATTGAAGATTTCCAGTAAGAAGGGAATTTGTTACAGTGTATGGACCCCAATAACAGCTCGTGATAGGAGGAGCGACACATTGCCCAGTAGGTTCTAAACACCAGTAAGTACCGATCTATCAAACAGTCTGGGAAGAGCATACTGCCAGCTGCGTCGAACTGCATAGCTAAGAATTTCGTCAGAGAGAGCAGACAATTTGGGCTATTTCATTAACTCACAAAATTGCGGTCCAGCCTCTGCCTAGAATTAGCAAATCAGTCCATCAAAAGGTTCAGAAGACAATCTTACTTTGCTTACAGACCGCATCCCATTTAGCCTTATCTGCCTGTGCAAAGACCTGGACTGCCAGGATAGTAAGAGGAAGCAAAAGCTTCCCAAATTTTTGAATCAACATAATGAGATGGAATATTCAGTCTGTGATGCCAAATTGCTAATAAATTGACTTTAGTTTTGGAAAGGAAAGAGGATATTTCAAAGGTAACTCTCAAGAGATGGTCATGGAAGTCTATACAAAAGATTGATAGGAAGAGAGGTTGCCCGGTCAAAGCTCTATAAACGGCTACTATGCAAGTCTCGAATTTAGAACGGGAAGTTGTGTGACTCAATTGTCGGGATTCTTGTGAATCATTGATTAAGATTGCAATATGGGAAGCTCCGAGAGACCTCGATTGTGGATAGCTGAAAGCACAAGTGACAGTGAGTATGTTTTACTATACGATAGGCATGTAGCTCTCTCCCAAAATTGTTCAGATCAACATTCCGTGAAATTGAGTGACGTGTTGACTTGAAATTGAAAACGGTGTGACTCAATGTATCCCGTGCTACCCTTACTCTAATTTTGTTGTCAAATATTGACTCTGATGTATGTATAGTATCGGTAATATTATTTCTAGTGTGCATTGCATAACATTCATTGACGCAGTGAGGCGTACCTGAACTATCCTTGTTGTGTCACTACTTATGTATTTTGTGCTAGTGTTTGGCTGGCTGAATCTGCCTCAAAATGATGCAGAAGCACAATGCGGGGAGGTGATACCCGAAAAATGACAGGTTCCATCGGAGAATAAATTTGTGTCTAGCGAAAATAATAAGATGATACAGACATATATTGGATAAGTGCTTGCTAGGGAGCCGAAAAAGGAATGTATCTATTCTCAGAAGAGCTGAGACCCACATCCCGTTCTCGTTGTCACATTAACAAGTCTAGGACTCTTCTTCTTTGAACTTCCATCAAGTCTATCTTTAAAGGAGCGATATATTCGCCCTTCTGCTCTTACCACTTGCTTTAAATCATACTTTAATAACAATCATGATGGGCCTCACACGAAGCACCCTCGTTGTTCTCTTTTCCCTTTCCCTTCTCCTCCAGCCACTTGCAAACGCTCAAGATCAGGCTCAAGGTCGACCTGGTGCTTCTGCTCAAGCTCCTGCTGCCGGCAGACCCGGCGCTTCTTCTTCCGATCAAGTACCGGTCCAGGCGTCAGCTTCAAGTCAGGCTCCTGCTGCTGGTCGACCTGGTGCATCAACTGCTCCCACGACTGATCCCGCCCAACCACGCCCAAAGGTCTATTCCTGTCCTGCTGACAATGGAGCAAGATATACAACTGGAAATGGAGTCACCTTTGAGCTCAAGTGCGACCACGGAACTATAGCTAAACCGCTTGATAATACCATTACGAACACACAAAAAGATTGTGCCGACTATTGCTCTACGCTCAGTAACTGCCAGTCTTGTGATTGGAATATAAACAGCAAGCTATGTGCCACGAAGCAGCAGGTTTGTATTTTAACCCTTATTCGAGTTCGCACCCGATTCGCTAACTTCAGCAGTACATACCAGTAAGTATTACTAAGCGAGAACGAGAGACCTTTCTTTCGCCTGCTTTCCACTAACGAGTGAAGACTTTTCCTCTTCCAGGAACGCACACGTGGTTTCCTCTCGAAGAGCGAAGCCAGCGCCCCGAAACAGAGTACCGCTCACCGCCCGACTGTCCCGCAGCTAAGGTAGCCCTTTTAGAAAGTGTGACCACCAGTGCCACTTTCACAGCTGATGGCGAATGTCCAAGCAGTAAGAGCATCTTCAACCTATAGACAATGTACTTCTCATTGACAACTTCAGATGATGGAAAGATCTTCTTGACTCCTCAGGGCACGTACTTCCAAGTCAAGTGTGGTACACAGAATACAGCTCAAGTTACACTTCCCGACAGCAGACCACTTCATGATTTTGCAGAATGCATGACCGCCTGTGCAGATAATCCCGAATGCAACAGGTAAGAATAGGCAAATGGATCTACAAGGAAATTACTGACCTGAAATAGTGTAACTTTCGCTAGTGGAAAACCTGACTGGCAATGTAAAATGTTTGAAAGTGGTGTCGAAACATTGGCCGCAGACGCTACAAGTTGTTACTATCTATTCTTCATTTGATTACGTAGTATCTAATTGCTCTTTACAGAAAACAAAGCCTCCGCAGTCGTTATTGAGCCACCAACTTCCGCAAAGAAGGACGACCTGGTATATCTCTGCTCAACTGAATGCCCAAATGCTGACGGACAAACATGGGATTCTCCAACGGGACAAGTGAGTATCCAAACATGAAAGGATAAGTTTCAAACTGTGACTAATTATTGATTAGAAATTCCGTATGGACTGTTGCAAGAGGCATGGAACGATTACAATAGGACAAACCCAAGCAGGCTCTTTGGAAGAATGTATGAAGATATGCTCCTTCACTCTAGCTTGTCAAAGTGTGGACTTTCAACGAGACACTGGACGTTGCTACTTTGGAAAACATTCCGGCGCGCCAACCATTGCAGCATCTGGATGGGCGTCTGCTTATGCCGTTGGTTGTTCTGGAGCTTGCAAGAAAGAGGGATGCTGTGGTGGAGCTTGAAGTTGACCATCATAGCATCTGGACGGGCGTCTGCTGGAGCTTGCTATCACACACGTGATATCTGTCACGTGTTTCCACCAAACCTATTGTTAGATGAAGATCTGCTAAGGGACATCTCTTTCCACCAATTTTTTTATTAGTTTATTGACTTCCATCTCGTTCAATCTGAATTGGTCTGTAGGTGACTGTGAAATTATTGTAGAGTAACCAAAATTCAAAGTCATAAAGGCCGTTGAGCTAGATTCTGCGTCTCATTTATTCAAGAAGATCACATTCATTTCCATTTTGTAGACTCTGGTATCTGAATTCTTGTGCGGGCCTTCAATCAAGGAAAGCATCAACTCTACCGGCCTGTTGCAAAGGTCGGCCTACCAAATTAAACGCATGTGAGAATATGTGTTACTTTGAAGTAGTTCTATCCATAACTCGACTGATTTTGCTTGGAGTGTTACACCGCATCATTACCCAAAATGAAGACGGTATCATGCAGACTTGCATCTACTCGCGTATAATGTTCGTGTTTTTCCGGGTATAGAAAGGGGTGGCTGCTGTCGTTTTGTTCGGTTCAAGATCTACCCTATAATCACATCATTTTGTTTCCTCATCATGACTCTCTGGATTGACGTCGATCGTATATATGTGTTTCGTCGGTATATTTCCATAATTTAAGGTTTAACTTTTAAGGAGAGGAATAAGGTTAAGTGATAAGAAGTTAGTAATCGCTATCGGATCCCTACTTGGTTCAACTACTCCACCACTCCGTACTATCCAGCTATTAAATGCGCAATATGCTTACCCCTATCATAGAAGCGTAATTACACAAGTCGAATTAATTTCAGATTTGATAGTTTTATTAATATAAATGGAGACGGGATTCAGGAACAGAGAAAGGACAGTAACCTTAAAATACCTTTGTTGTCTTTCTCCTGCTTCTGCTCTCCTCATCTAGACCGGTACATTCATTTACATTTACATCTACATCTACATTTACATATACATACACGTATTATACCCAATTCTCAATCATTAGATGATACATGCTATCGACAAATCAATCTTCCATTCAACAAAACGCTCAAGCCAATAGTTCTCTAGAAAAAATAGAATTAACAAAAGTTACACCTTCTCTTATCTAAACACAAGGAACACGAAAACACGAGAAAGGGAACGCCAAGAACCTCAGGACACTTTGCATTCAACCAAACGAACTCAATTCTTGGGTCGCCATTCAAAAATCGGAAAGTTCAAGTAGGTAGACGGTAGATACGAGTTCCCCCGGTGGTAAAAGCCTCTTTTAAATTTTATTTTATACTTTACGACTCTTTGTCCTCTTCGTCAAGCTGGCGTCCTCCGGTCTTTCTTCTTTGAAATCCTCCCACCAACATCATCGAAAACGGTCATCAATACACATAAAGACAGGAATTGAGTCTGACGAACGAATTTCATCCCATTCATCCACCCGGGTGTTATCACCTGTACCTGGAACTCCAATTGGTTCAATGTCATTGTCGCGAAGTCCATCTCCAAAACCTGGAGGAGGATGGGCGAGTCCAGGTCTTTCAAGCCCTTATGCAAACGTCAGTGGAAGTTCTAGTCCGAGTAAAATGCAAAGAGGAGGTGGGAATGGAAGTTCGGTGACTTGGGAATCTGCCAGAGCAAAGAGTGAGGAAGTAAATGGTTATCCTTCATTTTCGACCAAAAACAATGGTTTTTTTAATCGACACATGAGAAATATCTCCAACAGTCTGCCGCATTTTCACATGGGAGAAAACACGAGTTATGCAGAAAAAGAAAAACTTGGGCGCGGACGATGGTTAGGATCCTCGAAATTGGCACGAATAAGAAATAGTCTCGCGAGAGTCAGTCGAAAAATGAGGATGCGATTTATGATTGTTTTAGGGTTTGTAATGATGATAGTTCTCTTCTACTCTACACGTAAGTCAAATTTTTGGGCAGGAAGACACAAGCAATTCTGACTTCAAGTAGCTTTACATTACTGGTGGCGCCGAGCAGCACATCTTGGAGGAGGTAAAAAGTTCGTTATAATACTGGCAGCAAATCAAGGAGGTGGAGTTATGGAGTGGAAAGGACCCAGGGAGTGGGCAATCGAGCGAGATAGTGTACGCAACAAACGAAAGTACGCAAACAAATGGGGCTATGAATTGGAGATCGTAGACATGAGCACCAAGAAAAGATATGCCCACGAATGGAGAGAGAGTTGGGAAAAGGTTGACACTATCCGAAATGCTCTGAGGAAATACCCGCAAGCTGAATGGTAATTTCAATTCTCATCTGCAACGACTGAGGCTTGCAAGCTAACTGCACACAGGTTCTGGTGGCTCGACCTCAATACTTTCATAATGGAACCATCCTACTCTCTACAATCCCACATCTTTAACAGCTTAGCGGAAAATACCTACCGCGATATCAACGAATATAACCCACTCCACATAGCGCACCCTCTCCAATCTCCCTACCTGGATGCAAAATCTCGCAGCACGGTCGGAGACGGCAAAGCGAGCTCCATAAATCTCATAGTTCCCCAGGACTGTTCTGGTTTCAATCTCGGTTCTTTCTTCGTTAAACGCAGCGCATGGACCGATCGTCTTCTAGATGTATGGTGGGATCCTGTAGGTTATGAACAAAAACACATGGACTGGGAACACAAAGAACAAGATGCGCTTGAATTCTTGTATATCAATCAACCTTGGATTCGTCCACACACTGCATTTATCCCTCAGCGCAAGATCAACAGTTTCCCACCCGGGGCATGCTCAGATAATGGAAATGATACGCGCATTCATTATGATGAGCATGATCGGGATTTTCTGGTAAACATGGCGGGATGTGAATGGGGCCGGGACTGTTGGGGTGAGATGTACAACTATAGAGAATTGAGTAATTTCTTGAACAGGACTTGGTGGGAAAGGTTCAAGGAGGACTGGGTGATCAAGGCATGGCAAAAGATTGCGCCAAAGAAGAAGTCAAAGGACTCGAAGGAATCAAACGAATCGAAGCAGTCATGATTGAACTTATTAGACGGCAGGATAATCGGCGGATGAATGAATAAAGTGGGGATGAAAGGGATATCCCTATCACGGTTACGAAAACGAAAGGACAAGTCATCATTTTCTCTGGATATACTACATTGTCTTTACTTCATGAGGAGATGCAAATCATAACGTTAATGAGTGTTTGTAACTCAACTACCGCTACCCACCTGTGTGTGGCTAGGAAATTGGCGTCTGGTTATCATTTCTCTCTTATAGATTTTGCTGGGTTATGGTTTTTTTACTTATGTTTTTCTCTTTCTTTTCAACCGGACTTCATCATTGTCTATCAAAAACGATGCAAAAGTTCGAACAGCGAGGAGCGGTGCGAGAGCAAAGGTGAGCGTGAAAGCGAAAGCGAAAGCGAAAGCGAAAGGGGAAAGGGGGTTTCTATGTATATGTCTATAATAGAAACGAGCGAATACATATATGATCTTAGCTTTATTGATGGTGATGGTGATGGTGAAGATAAAAGATGATTGATAGAATGACTTGAAATAATAGATGTCTTAGGATAGATATATTAAGATTATATATTTCGATTTATTTCTTTTAGAATATATTAATTATAAATTTATAAACTAGTCTTAAATAGTAAATATTTAAGATCCCATCGGTATAATTAGTATAATCAGTTTATATAATCCTTTCAATTATAATAATATTAATATAATTTTTTTTTAATTTCATATTTTGAAAGTTTTATTAAAAATTATAATATTATATATTTAAAGGAAATGACTTGCTGTGTATTGTATGTCTACAATATAATATAAACGAATAATAATAATTTAAAGATAAATTAAAGAAAACTTTAAACTGGTTAGGCGAAAGCTCAATTCATTACGTCATCACTAAATTTCCCATCTGGTGAAATTCAAGCTCCATATTCTCACAAACACAAGCCTCACGAAACATAAACAAGTTCACTACCCTCGACCCAATATCAGAATTGCTATGCGATCATTAATAGTACCACGGAGCCTTATGCGCTCATGCAGGACGACCTCCAGACAACCCATCGGCGTCCGCCACACAGCCATAGTTTGTCAAATCTGCCACCAGCAAACCAAGCCTCTTTTTCAATCCCCCACGATCTCCTCCCGCAGAAACGCATCCTCATCTACGAACCCCTCATCATCTACCTCTCCAGATCAAACAACCGCTTCTGTCACCTCCCCTCCCCGAACCCACTACGATCTTTTTCCCATCACTCTTCCCCGCGGTCCGCCACCCTCTGGCCCATTCCACATCGACGTTCGAGCGCTGCGCAACGAATTTCTCCGTCTACAAGCAAGCGCGCATCCAGATTTACATTCTTCGTCGAACAAATCGCGCGCTGAAGCAAAAAGTGCCCTCATAAATGAAGCATACAGAACATTACAATCGCCTTTACTACGCGCGCAATATTTGTTAGGGCTACAGGGTATAGATGTTCATGATGAGACTGGGAAGACTGGGGCAGAAGATGGGGATAAGGAGTTATTGATGGAGGTTTTGGAGACGAGGGAGGAGATTGAGGAGGCGGAGGAGGAGGGGGATTTGGATGGGTTGAAAGTTAAGAATGAGGAGAGGATTGCAAATTGTGAGGATGCGGTGGGGAAGGCTTTGGAGGCTGGGGATTTAGAAACTGCGATGAGAGAAACGGTTAGATTGAGGTATTGGGTTAATGTTAGGGATAGCTTGCATGCGTGGGAGAAGGGCAAGCCGGTTGTGATGGTGCATTGAGGGATTTGAGGAAATGGCGGGAGTGAATAGAGGTCAGGAGGTTTTAGAAAAAAGGGAAGTTATTTTTGGTTACGACAATGCCACGAAAATGACCAATCTTGCCTGCACCGATTTCGCCAAACTCCACAATCCGTGGGCGTCCAAACTGATCTTGGATCTACTTTGAGACCACCATTCCAATGGCGACCGAGGCTATATATCACCATCCCAAGACGAGCGCAATAAGCATGGTACAATGGAACCAAAATACGTTTTACACCCCTCTGAAGTACACGTCAATACATGGTTGCAGTATTCAAAAAGAAAAGGGCTGCGTGCAGCTGGCAATACGTCTGGATGACGACAATTACACGACCACACTAAAAACTAGAAATGGACATTAAAGGTAGATGGAATGTTGGAAGGTCACGACTAAAATTTAGATATACACGGCCTGAGCAATCATACGACCTCTTGCAGCTCTATATTGTATGATATCTCTTCTACACAGATATAACTGCGATCCGTTGTCGTCTATATGTTTCTTTTGCGCGTGGATAAATCGACGGCTTTGAAATAAGTAACCTCTGCAGTGATGCAACCATCTTCACATTATCTTCAGCTGAATAAAGAGCTAAGGCTAATCGTGGAAATTCGGCATCGAGCCGCCCTATAGCCACAACATAGCGTATGGAAGTGAATATCGAGGTGATTCGTGAATCCGACCGATCAATAGACTTTCGTCCTATCTAGCCACGTAGTTGTGCGTATTAGTGTGGGTTTTAAATCCCCTTTTTCACGAATTCATCTGGTATTGCCAATTCGGTTGACTCGCTTGATATGTCGTCTGATAGGGACGCTGATGTTGAATTTGTGGCAAAAGTTCGACAGCTTGATTAATAGCGTCAAGTAATTGATTGAGTCTTTCCCCCGTCATATTATGTTCCAACAACGGCGCCAGCTCATATTCATTTGGAACTGGAGCCGCATTTGCATTTCCATCGCCATTAGCCATAATCATATTTTCCCTCTCCTGTTCCTGCATTGCAGCCATTCCTAGAGATTGCAATCCTTGTAACCTCTCAGATCCTTGTGACCTCTCTTCTGAATCCGTACTCCTGTTTACATCCTCAACTGTTTGATCATCATCTTCCTCGCCCAAAGCTCTCTTTCGAACCACCCCATTACCTAACTCATCCACCAACTCCCCCCTTCCCCTCCCCTCCAAATCCACCTTCCCCACACTTTCCTTCTCAACATACATTCTCGAATTCCCATACATCCTATTACTAACCCTATGCGGAATTTTCCATGCACGAAGCAACCTACAAACCGTACTCTGGCCATACTTAATCCCCCATTTCTCCTCCATCAACCTCGTGATCTCCGCCTGTTTCATCTCAGGATGACGCACACATAATTGGGTCAACCATTCCTTAAGCTCCTCTTCCCTACTCCCATAACGAAATTTCGGTCCTTGCTTTTTACCCCGTTCATCAATCCCCGTATCACGGATCTTTTCCTGGCGTTTCCGGATGCGGATTATGGTTGTGGGGGTGGTGTTGAAGATGTTGGCGATAGATTTTAGGTCGACAGGTCGGGATACTTCCCATGCACATTCGATGGCTACTTCTATGGCTTGGACGACGTGTTTCGGGAGAGGAGGTGCCATGGTTGTAACTTTTATGGGTGATTATTTGTGGTGGATGGAGATAGGAAGCATGTAATGCATATGATTGGGGCCGTGGGTGGCTCGGTAGTTCTGATCACTAGTGCATTGCGGGGAAATTCCAAATGAAGTCTTACGTTCGATGACTAATTATATCTAGAATTCTCACCATAAAATATCAAACCCCTGCCGCTCGTATAGGGAACATGATGAATTGTCGTTCAATATATGAATCAGCTCGTATGAAACATTATTGCTTTTTCCACCCCAGAAAAAGTCTATTTTGTGAAAAGCAAATACTTAAACAGCATGTCCCGAGGAATATCGGTAGGCATGTGGTAATTGACTAACACTAGCTTGATTCATGAAGTCTGGAACATGATGAGCCAATGAATTACAAGGAGGAACTGCTTGTACATTTGTTGCATATCTAGGCCTCTTTTCTTTGAGCCCTGTTCCCTACAAGTATGCTGGCTGATTGCGATAGCTCGAGGTTTAATACCTTTACTAAAGTAGAAGTCTACTGACCTTAGGACTAATGTGCCGCATAGTCTATGTGATGGTCATTTAAAGTTAATCATGCGGGATCAAAGTTAGAATGACGAGCTAGAATATGCTGTTGACTGTAGTAGTAGCAAGTCTAATCATTAGTCTTGTCAGTTACAGATGTTTTCAGATATGACCTCTTTTTCGGTTACACATCATGGAAAAAGCGATCAGGAAGATCAAAATGCGCCCATGAGCGGTGATTGTTTCGATCTTTGGTACAGCTGCCCAATGCTTTGCTGAATTCTGTGATAAAATTGGCCGCTATCTTCAATTAGCCCTATCTCAGTAATCAAAGCTTCCTGATTTTCATTTGTTTTCGGATGCGGCTAAGGAGAAGGTCCTGCCTAGATATTCTGCCTAGGACTAGAACATTTTTACAGCAGGCTGCGAAGTACTGCTCTTTGAATACTCTGGTATTGTAAGCGAAATTTGTGCGAAAAGCAAAAAGATGCGCCTATGTTTAATATTCAAAAGTACAATTGGACCTGCAATCTTCTGAACTGACTTGAAAGAAAATGAGAAGCCATGATGTTAGCTGTACAGACCTTGATAAGCAGTATCGTTTTTTCCGTCTCTCTATCCAGAATATCCTATCCATTTTAACTCAATTCACTAAATGTATCCTCCCGGCTTCCTTTCAATCGCTTTCGCCTCACCCTTCCCGCCTCACTATTTCCCACTTCCCGCTCAGTTCCTCCCGCCCGAAAAACAACGAACAACCTCCAAAACAAAAATCCCTTGTCAAAGAAAAAGGTCAAAAGAAGGAGAAGTCCAGACAGCCTCCGCTGCGAAAGGTTTCTCGCTATCTAGGAATATTATTGAATCTAGGTAAAAGCAACGTCTGCGGATCTTAAGCCAATAACGCTACAGTCTCAGTGTAGATTAGAAAAGTGTTTATTGGTCTAGTTGTGTCTCTTATACTGAGCCTCAGAAATCCAAGCCGCCAACTCGGCAGTCTCTCTGGAACAATGCAAGGAACCTTTCATCCTAATGCACTTCAGTTCTTCCGTAAAACGATCGGATTCGCACGAAGTATAGCTCTGGAGCCTCGTTCTATGGAGCAGAAATTCAGATAGGGCGGCTTTTTACTGTGGCCACTTGAGAAGGATGAAAGGCTCTTTAGCCAAGAAGCCGGGTATTATAGAAGCATATATCTCCCTCCCCAACAGTTACTGCCGTATCTAACATCTAAGATTAAATTTTCCTATTCTGAAGTCATTACCGCTCGTTTCGTTCAACAATCGCTGAAGATATCAAGTTCACGTCCAACCTCATGATTCGGAACCACTAGTCAAGAGATCCCACTTGATGTACTTGTTTGTGCGATGGGATTCCTTATCACCAATATTCCTCCAATCTCTATCATCAAGCACAGGAAATGTCTCAAAAGTAGGTTGAGTCCAGAACCGAAGAGTTATCTTTCAGCCTCCGCTGAGGACTTTTTCAGCACTTCAATGTTGCTGCCTCCCAACTTCGGCATCCGATCCGGACTTCTTGTGGGGCTCTCTAGCTTACCATTTGAGGTTGAAAATTACGCCAGGCGGTAATAAATTTATTGCGACTCAAAAAGATTACCCACGTATACTTATTTCAAAATAGTAAAGAAACTTTCGGGAATATCTTGAATAATCAAAAGGTCTGATGGTTGGATTCAAATTTAGGAAAGCTCCGAATTATACAATCCCCAATAGTATTGAAAACTGTTGAAATTAATGATTCGGTGGTGCTAGCAAGCAGGGAGCTAGTCACAATTAATTAGTACTAGTAAAAGATTCGATTTATTCGAAGCTTTTCACTTTCATGGATTCTTTCTTTCTTCTTTAATGATTTTATAATAGTCTATATGCCTTCAATTCTATATCTTATACTTCCTATCATACCCTACAAGAGTCATAGTTAGAACAAAAAGGAAGAAATAGTAATTAAAATGAAGTGCTTATATGACTAATAGAGGTGTTTCAAAAACTACATTAACCCTATATTCATGAATGACTACGAGGTAATTCAAATTATTCTAAATAAATCTAGAAATTTAAAACAGGCCAATTGAATAATCCCTTAATCTAATTAAATTGTAATAATAGCTTACAAAAACTTCGGCGCAACTCTGACCAATCCTCCGCGAAGAAGCATTTTAAAATTATTAGGTGGCATGTCATTCTAAGACGAAATGAGTATGCAAAAACGGAGATATATATATAGCGCTGGGAGCTGGGGAAAATACTAATCCTAAAGGACAAGAAGGAAAAAGATTCAGTATTATAAGTGTAACAAGCAAGTATTCAAGTTCCCGCATTCCTACTCTTTGCTTTGTAGAATTCTAATACAATACTCGGATACATTTAATGCTTTAACTAACCGAAGTCATGTCACTCACAGGGGAGCGGAGCATCGAGTATTCCTTATAAAGATAGGAATACGTATAAGAACCCTACTTAATACAAATAACAAGTATATATACCCAGAGAATCAAGATCATACATCTAGAACTCCCATCATCATTTCCCCTTACTCATAAATGCCACTCCCAAACCTCACATTTCCTTTTCCTTTTTGTTTCTTCTTTATATTGTAAAAGTGGTAGGTCGAGATACGTGCATCCCGATAGCACGCTGTGAGGGGGAATTGGAAGAGAAAACTGATTAGATCATATCGTAATATATCACTTATAGAGCAAACAAGGTTCACAATAGTTTTAGGATTGAAACTATATAGATTCAAATGTATATATGTAGAAGGTTGATTATTATAGAAAGGAGAGGCAAAAGCTCTCCCTTTACATCTAACTATAAGAGGTCATATGATTGACTAATTAAAAACCTCTATGTATCTGGCCTATAATTCCAACTTTCTCACAATATATCTAGATATTATCTCAACATAATAGCTCACTTCCGATTGCAGAAATGAATCGTCCAATTATCAACACGAGGTTGAATTTATATCCAGTCAGCTAATTAATCATATCGACAGATGAACCTGCAGGTGAGATTGCGTATCTATCAACTAGAAAAGATAGAAATTACCTAGACAGAGTAGATTCAAGATGTTGTTGTGTGGATGGCTATAATTTATGGAGGGAAAAGGGGGTTTAGCGAAGTAAGGGGAAGGGGAGAGGAAAGACTCTAATTAAAGTGACTAAATGACATAAAGTACAAAGACGATTATCTGTTCATATTACTATAATCATATATAATCTCCTGGGAAATTGTATACGAAATTTATACACCTAATCTTAAAAATAAAGAAAAAAGAGAGAAGGAAAGAGAGAAAGAGGAATACAACCTCAGTCGCAAAAGGAAAAACAATCTTACATCAATACACAGCTTACTAATCTAGCACACAACTCCCATAACTCCACATCACAGTGTATACGTACAGCTAACTCATTACTACAATGTAAATAAAACTTCTTATTTATCTTTCGAATTTTTGTTTTTTGAAAGCAAATAATCGAACCTAAGCTAAAACCGGACGAAGTTGGTATATCCTACAAACTCCAAGAAACGTAACGATGGAAAAAGAAAAGAAAACCCAAGACGCCATTATTTTCCTATCCGGGTCCATTATACAATCCTCTAAACCTTCCATCCAACCAAGCAACCATCCAACCCACTAATTCCTTCAGCTTACATTAATCATCGTGATTCATTCCAATCGTATTTCCAACATTTCACTAAACATTATGCTACACCCCTTTGCTCCGCCTTTCGCAAACTTGCAAAGTAGCCCTTGGGCCACGAAGTCAAAAGTTCTCCCTCACTAGGTACCCTCCCAAGAGTCTCGCATTTTTGTATCACGTTTTGCAAAATTCTCCCTAGCAACTCTTCAGTCATAGGAAAGTGCTTGTCCATATCAATCTCCAGCGGATACAGGAATGTATCATCATCCCCTAATAATTCTTCTGCTGATGGTCTCTTATGCTGATCTCTGTTCAAGCAGTTTTTGAGTGTTCGAATAAGAGAGCTGGGGACCAGAACACCACCTACTCCATATGTCGGATATTCGATGTCATAGCTGAAGTTTATGATCGCTTGGCAGCGCTGCAGTTGGTTTTGGATATGACCAAATGGAGCACGACCGTAGGTCATTTGATACAGTATACAACCCAAACTCCAAATGTCGGATGGTTTTCCCAGCTTCATGAGTTTTGGTTCATTGCGATTTTTCCCGTCAGAAGCATTGGAGTCCATGAGTGATTCGGGAGACATGTAGTTTGGAGTGCCGATTTGTGTTTCACGGTGAACGTTCACGGTCTCCTCAGTTTGGATTGCGTTGGCGATACCAAAATCTATGAGCTTCAGACGACCTTGAACAAGGACAAAATTGTGCGGTTTGAGATCAGAGTGGACTATGTCATAAGCGTGAACGGCTTGAAGGCATTCGAGCATTTCTTTCCAGTAGTAGCGCACGAAATTAATGTCCAGCTTGGCTTGTTCGGATTTCATGCGTAGATTAAGAATAGTGTTCATATCCAATTCACCCATCTCCATGAGCTAGGTAAAAGTTAGCTGATTTCCTTCGCGTAACGAAACATAAGGAATATATAACCTACCACGCTAAGTATCCCTCTCTCGTCATTCAGCTCGTAATCATATAAATGAATCACTCTTTCAACCGAGCTTAATTTCTTCAATAAATCAATTTCACCCTTGAAACCACGTATTGCCGATTCATCTGCATCTTCCAAGGAGACCCGTTTCAATGCAAATATTTTCGAGTTTTCTGCCATAACTCGGTACACTTTCGAGCTACCTCCACGTCCAATAACATCCAGGCGGGTGAATATTTTTCCATTGACCTTCAGCCTGTTTCTCCGATTATTAGCGTGCGATGTAGTGGCAGCGCCAGCAGTACTAGTAGCTGCTTCTAACACGGACATCTTAGGTGGTGGTGGGGCAGGTCTTTGAGGAGTATTCTGGCTTCGGACAGCCAGAGGCCGTCTTTCCGGAGACCCAGTAGCACGCACAGAGTTCTTATCGAAAATTTCTGGTCGGTGATATTTCTCTACGCTATTCGTCTGTACCAGAGGCTGCTTATTCCGCTTGAAAGTTGGTGGTGCTTCATTCTCTTGATCATGAGTCACAGGAAAACCTGGACGTGGAGCTGGTATCTTGAATATAGGTTGTTGTTGCGACGCGGTGGGAATTGAGCGAGGGTCAGATGTCCGAGAGCTTGATAAAGTTGGTGGTGGTGGGGATCTGGAACGCAAGACGGAATTCAGAAGACTATTTGAGCTAGGAGGACTTCCTGAAGCAGCAAAATCTCTAAATGACGAGACTGGAGCTCTTCTAGCTACTTCTATTTCCGGAGTGGGACTCTTATCCTGGCTTTCCCGCTGCTCGTATTGCGATTCCTGGCTTTGAGGCTCCTGACTAGATCCAATATCGTTGCTGTTTGCGTTTTCCTCCATTGGGCTGTGTTCTTCATCTGACTGAGATATCCGCGGTCGTCCTCTCCGGGCTGGGCCTCTCATAAATGTACCAAATACTTTAGGTACTGCACTTCTCTTGACTCTCATTGAACTCTGCAATCCTATCTCTTCACCATACCTCGAACGACCAACAGTAGAAGGGTTATACCTCGATACACTTCCCTGGCTCGCAGCTAAATGTGATCTTGTAACCGTGGAAGGATATTCTTGTGGCCCGTCATTCTCATACACATCATCCTGCTGTGGCGACTCTGCTCTGCCAGACCGTCTCCCGGAAGACCCAATTGAAGATCTCCCGATAGATACCCGTACGGTCCTGGGTACTGGTGCCGGCGTGCTAAGATCCAATGCGCCCTCCCCCGCTTTTGGTGCCGCTTGCTGTTCATTATGTTTTTGGACCGCATTGGACAATGAAGCCCCTCTCCGTAGATTTGAGGAGCCAGGCGTACCACTCAATCGCACAACTCGTCGCGGATAGGTGGGACTATGTTCGCTGCTTCCTATCGGCGATTGGTTCTGCCTCGTAGATGTTCCCAATATACCCGCACTTTCCGCTCTTGTGTGTGATATGTGAGAGGGCTCAGGTGTCGTACGAGTAGTAGCAGGTCCCAGAATTGAGGCCTCATCGTTAAGTAAAGCTTTCGTTAAGGCACTCAACTTCATCGGCATGGGGATTTCGTCATCGGAGCTGTCATTGAGTGAATAATGTCGAGCTGTTTCTACATCAGGTCTTGTAGAAGATGGTCGGCTAAGAGGTTGTTTATATGCATTTCGTGAGGCAGGTCTTCGAATGGCTGCGAATTGGCTCGAGCTTGTGGGAGTTGGTGAAGCTGTCGCCATTGAAACGATGTGGTGGAGGGTAGGCAGTGAATTGATTGATGATATTTGATCGGGATATTTGTCGAATTATGTAAGCTGGTTCCTGTTAATTGCATCCTCTTTTCAAGCAAAAACAGTTGCAGATCTGGGTGATAATGCGCGTGGTATAAAAAATTGGCGCGTAAAGTTAAGGTTATGAAATGAAGTTGTCGAGACTTTCCAATTTCGTGGTTGAAATTTGATTGTTTACATGGCAACCAAAACTGGAGCCGGGCAACGGGAGAACCCGCGGAACATGGAAGCAACAACCCTTGAATCATGTCTTAGTCCTTGACTTACATTCATGATGTACAAAGTAAAATTATTAGAAGTCAATGGTCTTTTTCAACACACAGATAAATAGATTTCCTTCCCTCTTAAAAAACTTTAAACTTAAATCATTTTCTTGTTCATGTTCGCACTTTTTACATAGAAATCCTCGTAAGTACGTACCTAGTAGACGGTGAGATTTTGCAGGTACAAGACTCTCTACTACTCGGATACATTGGGTGTGGAGCACACAACTTCTCCCTATCATCATCATGCTTATTCAAAATCCTGTTCACATTCTTTGCTTTGGTAATTCATTAACCCAGGGGTGGCCATCCAATCATCCATACGCAATCGCATTGGAAGATACCTTTCAGACATCTACACCCTACATCTCGATAAGCACAGATGTGCAAGGATTGCCCGGAGATCAAGTTGTCAGTCCTCCAGGACACTACTTACCGAGACTTGATATCTTGTGTAAGTGACGTCCTCATACTTCAGCATAATGGTTATGGTGGCGGCTGTGGCGGTATGATGTTGGCGTGGTTGATGCTATGAATTTGAACCATATAGTACATACTGATCTATCACAGATAATGAGATCAAAGCTCCTTACAGCTGGATGGTAGTTTTGGGAGGGACGAATGATCTAACTCAAAATCAAGATGTCGACACCGTCTTTGAGTACTTGATGAAAGTTTGGGATTATGCTCTTTCTCAAGGCACTCAAGTCTTAGCCTTGACTGTCCCAGAATGTGGTACATGCAATCCAGAGCTTGACCAACGGAGAGACTATCTAAACGATATGATTCGTTCTCATCAAGCTGAGAATTTGTAAGTGTCCTTCATAAAAGTCCGAGGGTAATACTGAGCTGCCATCTAGTCATGTGTTTGACCTTCATGATGCTATACCATATTGGAGTATGCCGGAAGAAGAACGCAGTCGAATCTGGACCGATGGTTTACATTTTACAGATGAGGGGTATGATCGCATGGGAGCTTTGGTTGGTGGTGAACTTCACAGGTTGATTTCTGGTAGGGAATTAAAGAATGAGCGCGGACAAAAGACTCTGATGTTCCAGAGAAGTTGAGAGCTGGCGCATGGCAAGTCTTTGTGACGAGACTTAGATGCTTGACCTAATTAATGGCTGAGTTGAGACACCTCAAAAGGTAGGCGATACACAATTATACGATTGATAGAGATAGGAAATGATATGTTCTTGATCGTGATAATTATATTCATCTATTGTTCATTAATATCATAAATGCCATGGTGAACCTCGTCACGCTGAACTACTCTTTTGGTATGCAGTGACCACCCCTAACGCCAATGTTGTATCGTATAATTCATCTCGCATCGTCCCTAATTTTATGCCACCATACTCGCAGCGACGAACTCCTGATACATATTAGCAAAGTTAGTGGGGGGGGACTTGTCATATGCTTACCGGGTAAACAAGCTGCAACTCAGAAGTGACCTTCTCAACTTCTTCGGCCACGCCCTGAACATTAGCATCCCATCTTCTCAGTTCTATCCCAACAATTCCTTCAGCTCTACCGCTGCCTATCTCTCCAGTAGCTTCCCCACCCACGAACCAAATAACCCTCTCTACTTGGTCAATTCTGCCAAGCAATCGACCTTGCTCAATCATGCTCGCGGTAGTCTCCTCGGCCTTATCCGCATCAAGATTCAATATTTCCCCCAAGGCTTCGAAGCTAATGTTGTTGTACAGTCTCGATGCTGCTCTCAAGTTGTGCTCCACAACAGCCCTTTGCAATACCGTAGTGCCGTCTTGCGTCTTTGCCAGTTGATGTTGGGCTAGACCTTCTGCAAACTTAGAAACTTCGTCGGGGGACAACAGGCGATCCAGAAACATCTTTTCTAAGATACTAAACTCTTCTAAGCCGGCAGCTCGTTCATCCTTGTATAATCTCCCCAAGGCACGACTTCGAAGAGGGCCTGCAGGTGCCAGGACAGCACATTTTATGGCCATACTGAGAGTGTGCAAACGCTCCTCTTCGGCGATCACTGGCAAGAAACTGATATCCTGGTAGCCCTGAGCAGCAGCTAAGAAATTCCTCCTAGCATCGTGAATACGGGCTTGACTGAGTTGAAAGTGGAGGTTCAAATCGCGATCGGAGACTGTATATATGACGTTCTTGGCTTTGTTTAGATATTGCTCTGCCAGCGTTGTGTCATCCACTTCGAGGTAGTTCCGCGTGATACGAATCCAACATCGGACCTTCTCCTCATTCGTGACTTTCCGCTGCGATGATTCGATAACGATCCCAGCTAATATCTTCGCGGCTGCAAGATTGTCCTCATCGTCCTCGTATGCTGTGGCCATCAATTCGCGGATTTGGGCATTTTGTTCTTCGAATGAGGATGCTTGCTCAGCCAGAGTCGATAAAGCATGTTCGCCAACTTTGATTTTGGCCTCATTGCTCTTGATGGCTTTGAGTGCATCGACAAATGATATGATAACGGATCGTGTTGCAACTATTCCTATAGCATCAACGAATATGGCATCGAAAATTGCGATTAAGTCATCGGGTAACTCTGCTGGTGTAGATGTAAATTGGGCATTTGTTAAAAGGTTAATATAGCCTTGTTGTTTTTCTTCCGAGCCTCCAATCTGCTGCAAAGCTTCCGCTGTCTTTTGGGACACCATAATAATTTCAACTTGGTTATCTCAAAAGTGTGGAGTTTGAGGTTGTGAAAAGAAGGCTTTGAGGTTTAAAGTTGTAATAGAGATGGAGCTTGAGGCAGGGGTGTGTCATGATTCACAGATTAGATTATAGTAGTAATTGTCGGCTTGCCGACACCAAAACCTTGCTGTACACATAGCGTACCGCAATTTACCCGGTGTAGATCGTAGAAAATAAAAAACTCGCATAAGCGAGTCGCGATCCTGATAATCTGACTGGTCTAAAATATCCCAGTAAATAATCTAACAAAAAGCTTGATATAAGTCTTATAATCCTAAGTAAATCTGACTTAGTTTTTTTTTTTATTAAAATCATTCAATTTAACTTTATTAATATATTATATAATCAATCTCAAAAGAGAGATTATATATAAAAAAAATTATATAATTAATATATTTAAATTATACTTTTTTTAATATAAATAGATCTCTCTCTTTTAAATAAATAATAATTATTTATAAATATTTATTAGAATATAATATTATATATTATATTATATTATAATAATCTAATCGAGTATAATGATCTGATCGAGATAATAACTATCTAAGTATTACAATTTACAATTTACGATTATAATATATTGAGAGACAATAATCAATCTATTTATATAAGCTTAGACCTTTTTGAAAAGCAAAGCAATTTGTATATAAATTTATATAATAATTGTTTTATATAATCTCTCTATTTTTATATCACGATTTATAATTTTGATTATAATAATATTATTAATATCAGTGATTTATATACCGATTATAAAGAGAATATGATTTAATTATTGTTTTCAGGAATCCTGATTATTTAAGTTTAAAACTCTAGGATTTTTAAGATAAGTATTTGTTACAAAGGATGCGATCTAGGTCACGTGGAAGTGGCCTGGATCCTCGAATGGTTTATAATTAGACGTCAAATAGAAGCTTTAAAATAATATCAATGGTTGTAATTCGTAATTAATAATAGATTATATTAAATAATTGATCTTGAGTACAAAACTTTTATATATAGGAAACCCCTTTGGTTTATATAGATCTTTATATCCTGTAGATTTGTATAGATCTATAATTTATATAAATCTATAATTCGTATAGATCTATGATTCGTATGGATCTACGATTTGTATCCTTATATATATAGGGTTCATCATATAACCTCTAAGATCAAACTATATATCCGAGCTTGTTGAGGGTAAGAAGACCACATGAAGCGATTACTATACAAATTTGTATACGAATTGCCTTGCTTTTTGATGAGGCCTAAACTCATGTGAATAGATTGACTATTATCTTGTAACAGTATTCTAAATAATTATAATAGAATAGAATAAATATTTTATTTAATTAATTATAATAGGATTATTATTTTAAAGGATATTATATCTTAAAGTTATAATTTCTAAAGAGAAAACTTTTGGGATAAATGTTTCAAAAAAGAAAAAGTTTTAGGATATAAAAAGTTTCAAAATCAATTATATAATATATTAGCTTTGTTAATTAGTTAACAAAATTAATATTATAAAAATACTAATTGTATTAATTAATTAATATAATTAATATATAAAAAAAAGATTAATATATAATCAAAATAATTTTATAATTTAGAAATTTTATATTCAATTTAATTATCAATTAATTTATTTATATTCTAATTGATTTAGTAATATATTTATTTTCGAATAAATAATTAATGATTATTAATCTTAATTTATAATTATCAATTATACAAAACTTAAGATAGTTATTATCTTAATCAAATTGTTACACTTTGAACATTATTATAATTAAGTTATATATAATATAATAACTTTCAATCAATAATTTATTGAATTGTTTTTATTTAATTCAATTGAGACTCTTATTTAGATTATTATTATTATAGAATATAGATAAATAATTTAGATATTTATTTTTAATCTATTTTATAAAGATTATAACAAATATCAAGTTTTTGTTATACAAATTAATCTTTATTATACTTTTAATAAACAATTTTTTTTAATTCTTATATAAAGGATTTTATAATTAATTTTTTTTTTTAAAGAATTATATTCAATTGAATTGAATCATTTTTCAATAATTTAATAATTAAGATTATTAATAATTAATTGAATAAGAATATAAAATCTAAGATTCATTATTTATTTTTCAATTATAAATTGTTCAAATAAAAATTTGATAAAGTATTCAAGGAAATAAATCTTAATTATATAATTGAAAAAGTATTATAATAATTTAGATAAATTAGATCAATTATAATCTATATTATCAAATTTCAATAATATATTGAATGTATTATATAAAATGATAATTATCTAAAATTATAATTTTATAAAGGATTGAAAGATATTATCAAGAATAAATTAATGAAAACTTCGAAATTATTTAATCTTTTCGAATTAATCTAAATTTTCATTTTTATTGATAATTGATTTTATAAACAATGAATAAAAAAGAAAGAAATTATTTAAGAAAATAAGAAATTTCAAAAATCTTATTATTAAAACAAATATTATAATATTAGTAATTTAATGAAATTGAATGATATCGAATGATATTATATGAAATCAAATAATCTAAATGTTGATGAAAAGAAGAAGTATAAAAAAAATAACTTATATTATATTTATAGAAAAAATGAATATATTATGAGAAAGTTGAAATTATAGATTAAATATATAAAGGTTTTAACTAGTCAATCATATGATCTTTTGTAGTTAGATATAAAAAAAGAGTCTTTTATCTTTTCTTTTTATAATAATTAATCTTCTATATATATATATTTGAATCTATATAATATCAATCCTAAAATTATTATAAATCCTGTTTTATTTATAAATGATATATTATAATATAATCTAATTCAGTTTTCTTTTTCAATTTCCTTTTCATAATATATTATTAGAATATATATATCTTGATTTATTATTTTTATAATAATGATCTATATAGGGAAATCGAATTATATTGTTTATAAAATATGCAAAATCAATTTGTAAGAATATTATATTGAAAAAGAAAGTAGAATTAATTATTTATTGATAAAAGAATAAAAACAGATTTTGAAAAAATAAATTTTTCAAAAGTAAAAGTATCAAGTAAAGAATAAGGAAGATTTGGATTTTTAATTATTTTTATTTTTATTAATTTATTATATTATAAATAAATGATTTATTATCAATCTATTTATTTATATTTTATATAAAAGGTTTATATTAATAAAGTTTTATTCAAAATTAAACTTTAATAATTTATAAAAGTAAAAAAGATTTAATTTTGAAATAAGTTTGATAAAATGTAATTAATTGGATTGAAAGATTTTATATATTTTGTAATTAAACAAAATATCTTGTTATTTGTTTATAATATAAAAGTGGTAGGTCGAGATATGTACGTCCCGATAGTATATTATAAAGAGGGAATTGAAAGAGAAAGCTAAATTAGATTATATTGTAATATATCATTTATAAATAAAATAGGATTTACAATAATTTTGAGATTGATATTATATAGATTCAAATGTATATATATAGAAGGTTAATTATTATAAAAAGAAGAGGTAAAAAGCTTTTCTTTTATATCTAATTATAAAAGGTTATATGATTGATTAATTAAAATCTTTATATATTTAATTTATAATTCCAACTTTTTTATATTTTTTTTTTTCAAGATATATATATCCCTTTTTGTTTATCAAAGAAAATAATTGATTAGAATATAAAATATATGAAATATTGTTATTAATAGCTTTTTAGGATAGATATAAAAATTGAATAATAAAAAAAAGATTTATCGAATTTGAAGATAATTCTTTATTTTTTAATAGATAATTGAATAGGAACTTTGTTTTTATTAATACTTTTGTTAGTTTTCGAATATTTGGGTTTTGATTTCAAAGATATATTCAAAAAGAGAAAAGGTTTGTTGGATTCTAAATAAAGATATTTAAAGATTTGAGAAGGCAAGGGTAGCTTTTTTCTTGATTTTGAAGATAATATAGGGGGAATTAGATTTTGTTATTTTTGAATAAAAGAAGGAAATAGTTCTTATATATTAAAAGGATTAGTAATAGATTCTTTTTATTATAAAATTTTTCTTCATTTCAATTATATTTCAAAAATCGAAAAAAGATTTTTTAATTCAGATTCAATATAATAAACAAATTCCTTTTCTTTCCAAAATGATTTTTGAGAAATAAACAAAGAAGTTTCTTTTTTTTGAATAAAGATTTTTAAATTAATAATCTCTTATTCTCTTTTTGAGATTTCATCAATAAATTCAAATATTATCAAATTTTTAATTCTAAAAATAATTTGTTTTTATTTATAAATTGAATTTTATATAAAAAAAGAATATACTTTTTAAGACTTTTTTTTTTTTATTCTAAAATTTCGAAAATCGTTTGTGTTTTTTTAAATTTATATTCAAAAAGTCCTATATATATTTTTATAAAACTTTTAAGTTTATAATTAAATAATATATAAATTTTGTTTATTATCAACTTCAAATATTAAGAGATTTTTCTTAAAAGGATTTATAAAATAGAAATTAAAAAAGATAATATTTCTATATCAAAAGGGAATAATTTTAGTATATAAAATCCTTCTTTATTAAATTTTTGAAGGACAAAAAGGATAATTTGATTTTGAAATGATTAAAAAAGATCTTTCTAAAAGATACTATCTTCTATTTTATTATTATTAATATTTACAATAAGGTAGATAATTAATCTTATAATCGAATTATGATTTTTAATAATATCAATAAATTGAAGGATTGTATTGAATAACAAAACGATTATACAAAAGTTTCTTTTGGTTAATGTTTATCAATAAAATTTATTATCTTTTTTTATTTATTGAAAAACCTTCCTTCATATAAATCAATCTAGATTATATTAGAATTAATAAAAGAATAAATACTTTTTAAAAAGTTTTTTGATTAAATAGAAATCTTTATCAGAATTGATTGATATTAATATCTAATATTCTTGATATATTTCAATTAATGTTTTGTCAAATTTAGAAAGATTTATCAGAATAATAATCCTTGAAAATAGTTTTATATCTCAATGTTTAGATATCAGTTTTATAAGATCGATAAAAGAATAATACAAAGTTATCTTTCGATT